AGCTCATGCAGCGCCGCCACAAGCCCAGTTTGGACAGGGCAGTGGACCCATCTGGTTGGACAATGTTAGATGTCTGGGAAATGAATCATCGATCACAGACTGCAGTCATCAAGGATTTGGGGTCCACAACTGTGGTCACAATGAAGATGCCAGCGCTGTGTGTAAATGTAAGTTTATTTTTATGTTTTTCAGAGTTTATTGAGCTTGATCTCAGTCAGTGTTGTTTCAACCTCTTTCTTTTATTTTTATCTGATAACCCTATGTCTTTTTATTCAGTCCAGCCCTCTTCACATAAGGCTACTCAGCTTAGTTGCAAAAGTGATAAAATCTGGGTAGGACTACATGTGGACAGCATGACAGCTGCCGGTTTGAGTCCATACTCGGGCAACATGGCTTCCCGTAATTGCTCCTGGCTCTTCGTGCATGATGATGTGGTTTGGTACGAAGTGGATGCACGGGCAGGTGCCTGCGGAAATGAACTGAGGGTAAAGAGTAATTGTTTTTGTGCTTTCTGTCTTTTTTCTTTCTTTCTTTTACAAATCTTGAAAGGTTTCTAACTTTCTAGCCCTCAAACATCACATTTTGATATTCCAAGCAGTTTTGCCTGATTGCCAGTGTCCATATATGCACTTTTTAAAAATTTTAATTTAAAATACTATTTTTTCCCCCGTAAATATAGAAGAATCTTAAGAATCTGTACAATATCACTATTTTCTACTCATGGAAGCATCTATGCACTTCTAATATATGTCTACACATAGAAAAACCCTGTTTAATATTGTTATCAGAATGTCTACATCTAGGAGAATCTGTACAATCTGTATCAACGATGCATTTTTATATTTCTTATTTATATTTTATTTTTCTACTGATGTCCCTGTATTTTTACACTTTGCTGCTGTTACACTGCAGATTTCCCCACTATGGGATTAATAAGGCATAAATTATCTTATCTTAGTATCTAAGGCATTTTTAAGGTAATCATTGAACTGACTCTGTCTTGCAGACCAACAGGACACATGCCATCTACTCCAATGCTTTGTTTATCTACCCATTGAATGAATCCTTCACTGTTCCTGTGACTCTTCCCTTCTCCTGTGCTTATCCTCTGGACACAGACAGCTCCCTGTATATGACTATTAGGCCTTTCCTGCCGTAAGTATCCTTTTAATATATACATGTAATGCCACTTATATTATTCTATTCATCACACAATGAAAATTAAGACAAGCCTGGCGTTGGTTTGTTATGGTCACACTATCATTTCAGACAACAAAAAGACTTTTTTTATTTTGCTGTGAATGTACACTTACTATTTTAAAGAATTGTTCCCTCTCTGTCAAGCTGCAGTTGTCGCAGAATCATATCAGAATCAGTTTTATTTCCAAGCAGGATGTCACATACAAGGACTTTAAATTTGTTTTAGGGCATAACAGTAAACACAAACGTATAGATTAACAACGTGTTGCAAGTCAGTAGAATGTGAGTGTTACAAGACAAAATAGCAGCAAGTGTAATCAAAGGATTATGAGTCATAAAAAGTAAAAATGTACTTCCAGTGTTCAGGAATATGCAAAATAATCACCTGAGAATGTGCAAGATAACATAGTATGTAATGTAAACAATTTGAAATGTGCAAAAGGAGAACAAGAATCCTATTCCTAGATTCGTGGAGGATTCATATATCCTCACTATCAATGTCCAGAACTGTATAAAATCTTAGAAATAGAAAGCTTTAATTTTCATTGTATTCAGGATATAACAAGATTAGGAATGCCACTCCTGTTTGGTGCATCGAAGTAGGAAAAAAAAAACATTGCATATCAAACATTAAGCACACTATAAAATAACTTAATGCAAAATAAAACAGGCATCTGTACTGTAAAGTGCCAGAGTTAATAGTAGTGATTGCACAAGTCTAAGTGGATATTCCCCTGTGAAATATAACATAAAATACAATAAAATATGAAATAAGTATACTGTTAGTATAGAGGGAGTATAGTTGTGAAAGTGTATAAGGTAGTTCATGACAACTGTTCATATTTTACGTTGATTAACCCTATTCAGGACTTTCATGTCGCCATACGTAGAAGATCTTTTGGTGTCCATTGGACCCCAAGAAAGAATATGTGCAAAATATTTGTTGGTATTCATTATAGTCTTTCATACTATGTTAAATAAATTTTCTGATAAGTTGACGTAGTTTTGGTTCCAAATGCATGACAAATATCCGTCTTTTTATATTTAAAAACAAATAAAAAAAAAAACAATACCTGTCACCTAAACCAAATGGCCTGGGGGTCCCAAAAGGCCTTGAATAGAGTTAAGAGCGGTGATGGCCTTTGACAATGTTTTCGGTTCTGGAAGGATAATGTGTGTTTGCAATGTCTTGGAGTGAAGGAAGGGGCTAGCCAATAATGTTCTAAGCTGTGCTGATGACTTTTTCAAATAAAGTGGATATAACAATAACAACAACTGTGACAAAATGACCTGCTTGTCAACATTTTAATATTTTCTGAATAGGTTGGAAGGTGGTATTTCAGGCGAAGGTCCAAAACCCAGAGCCTACATGTATCTGTATCGTGACTCCAACTTCACCAACCGTTATCCAGGAACCCAGGTCAGGCTCCCGATGGGCTTGCCGCTGTACGTGGGCGTCAGTGTTCCAAACGTAGACCCGAGCTTTGGGCTTGTTCTGGAGGACTGTGTCGCCACTCACTCAACAAACCCCAATGATACCACACGATACCCCCTCATCCAGAACCAGTACGTGCACCAGATTGAGCTTCAGCAGATAGTTTGTGGGTTTCGGTGACCGTGATGATCCTCTCCTCTGACAGGTGTCCTGCCGCTGGCCAACTGGTGTCAGTGATTGAAAGCGGCTCGTCCCTCCATGCTCGTTTCTCTGCTGTGCTGTTCCTCCTGCAGGGTAATTATCGAGATATTTACCTGCACTGCAACCTGAGCCTTTGTGACCGGAGAAGTTTCAACTGTATCCCAGTGAGTTACACATTTCACTTTGTCAGTAATCCACATTCACTGCTTGTATCTATCCTCATGGTTTCTCCACCATTTTCCACCTCATAGCATTGCAGAAGTAGGACATCTCGCTCTGTTTCCAACTCTGCTCCTATGGAGCCCATCACCATTGGGCCAATCACTTGTGAGTATGAATTACAATCTGGTTTCAGAAGTAATTTTTCAACACAATAATCTGCATCAAATTAGTAACCACTGTTTTCTTTTGTTTTCAATCTTTACCTTTAGGGGACAAACCAGCTCAGTGACTTGGTAACCTAAAATGATAATATAAATCCATTCCTTATTTTTGATATTAAGTTGATCTTATTCACATTCCATGAAATAATCAAATTTGGATTAAGTTGTACATTTAATTCTTACCAGACTTTGTCTCTTTCTTCAATTGTACTAATAATATGAATAATATGAAGTCACTCCATACTTTGGTAGTAAATTGTGTTTATTGAAATGAAATATTAAAATGGTTTTATTAAACTATGTTTAAAAAATTGGCTACATTGTGCGCTTAAATCTCATCGGACTTTGTATCATTCTTCAATTGTACTTCTCTTGCAAATACCAATCAAAAATAAAATATTGAAGTTGTCGCAAAAAGTAAGGTGCCACTGCTTTCTTTCCTTACACTGATTTTTAGTGTGTGATTATGGATAACCATATTATTTTGTAACAGTGTACAATGCATTTTCTGCTTTCATTGATTTCTTTTTAGATCTAACCACAGATTTTTTTCCTGTTACTTTGTAAAACTGTGCAACTGACATGTCTGCACCATATTTATAAAACATACAATTAAACACTATACCTTGATGGTGGAATGTGAAGTAGATAATAAACAACCATTTCATGAATTGACATTGAATTTTGGTGTAGACATCAAGGAACTCTGGGCCAGTGTCTGTAGTTTGTAATGTGGTACAGGTGACCAGATGTCCACGATTAATGAAGATTGAATCCTAACAATCTTAGTGAGTTGCTGACTTTTCCTCTGGCGCCACCAAGAGGTTGACATTTGTGCTTCACCATTAAAAACTGTATCCCAAGCATTGTGAGATTGATCACCATATAATTTGATAATCTGATACCAAGATGATATGCTTTTTGTTCCTCTTTATCATGAGCATGAAAATGTCACATTATCAATGGGCTGATTGACTTCCTGCTCATCAAGTACTAAGTAAAATCTTGGGCCTTAAATCCTTGTCAAATTCCTTAAAATCACATGCAAACACAGAGAAAAAGTCAATTCCAGCCTTTCTGTTAATTAAAATGTATTTTTTGAAGTAGACTACAGACATCAAACTTTTCCTGAAGGGTTTCCTATGAAGCAAGAATGACACAGCAATTATTTTTTTCACACAGGTGTGTTGTAGAACCCGATTCGTCAGTGACGAGACATAAACTGTGACATAACATTTGCTGTATGACCCTGTTGTCCGTGTTGCCACGGTTCCACATTAAATGAGCAGATCTGGTGAATCTGTTTCAGTACTTCCCTAACATCATCCTGATTATCCATTTCTTCTTCAGTGACTAGATGCCATTTTGATCTGATATCAAGCTGTTGTGGGCCATGGTTGGACACTGACTCATTCCTAGTCCCTATCATTTTGGTCCAACCTTTTTAGACCATTCTTCTTCCACTGATTTAGGGGACCAAAATTTCCAATTTGATGGTCGGGAATTCTCCGATTACTGGGCAGATGTGTTGAAGAGGTCGCCTGGTCTATCACTGACCCCATCAGGCGAAGGGTCACCAACAGAGGCACACTGTCAGGACAGGCAAACCAGGCAATTGCCTGGGACTCCGTTGGCAAAGGGGGCCCCCAAGCAGCTATACTTTGATACATTTTGCAGTGACGACCATGAACCCCCTTAAACCTATGCAGGCCCCTATACAGTACATTGAAAGTGGTGTCCCACAACTCTACCTAGTGGGGCCCACCTCCAGCTGACGCTTACTGATCCATCTGGTTGCCTGATAAACAAAGTGAACTTTCAGCACAGTGATGCGACACTTGTCAGGTTTCCAGAAAAAGAAGAAGAAGGAGGAAAAATGTTAACTAGAAAGTGGTAGGTGGATATGCTGCTGATAAATGCACAAGAAGGTTGACTTCAGTTAATATGTAACTTACAGGTGTCGGCCACATTAGCATGTCATTCTAATCCTCTACTGAGTTGGAGATGAGCTCACAGTAACAAAAGTCACTTTTAATAATCTTGTAGTTGTTAATTTTATATTGTGGTGTTTTATTTGATTTATTTTGTTTTAGCATTTTTATTATATTTTTATTTTATTGTTTTTTATTTTATTATTTTTTTTGTCAGCATTGATCCATTTTATTTTTTGATGCCATCTAACTGTGTGTGTGTGTGTGTGTGTGTGTGTGTGTGTGTGTGCCCGCCCGCCCTCTGAGGGGAGGAACAAGTTGAGATAAAATGAACAACTGATATGATCACGTGTTTCCAAACAAAAATAGATCATATAAACCCACACAATACCCAGCATTTACATTCAAACTGTCCCTCCCCAAGTGTAGCTTCATTTCATTCCTTCACCTTTCTGTTCATATCTATCACCTACTCTTCTTCCTCTTAGACTTTTACAAAAACACATAAACACATACGTCTCACTAATCAACTAACTTAACACTTACACTAAACAAACATGAACAAACAAAATTAACTTACTTTTATTCATCAATAAAAGAGCTCTGTCTGACACTATAGCCACTTATTTTCTTTGCACAATAAGATCAAAAGTCTAAATCAATACGTCTATAATTCAACAAAAAAATATCTTATCAAAAGTCTACAAAGCTTAAGGGCTCATATCAAAGTGGAAAAAGTTTATTCATACAATAATGGATAAAACAAATATGACAAGAACCGTCAAACATAGTCAACATAGGTACAATTAAGTCCAGATTTAGAAGCAAATCACAAGTCATGAAATATAAACTGAGGTAAACACCTCAAATTAAATAAAGATGGACTGATACAGACTATTTGTGATCCAAACTCTCCTCTTGACTTTACTAATAATTTGGTTTTATGTCACAAATGAATAAACGCACTTTATCATTTAATTTTTATATATTTTTTCTATCTACCACACACAGTTCTCGTCACACTCAAAGTAAAAGAGAAAAAGAGAGCAGCGCACAGGATCAGCTCAGAAACAAAACCACACACTATAGTATTTTAATAAGACAAAGCCGTCTTAATTTGTAAGGTAAGATTCTCGGATCGAAATCAAACGAAAACCCAAAACAACACGCTGAAATGCCCCTTTTCTTTGAAACCTTAATGTTAACCATATGTTAAACAATACATAGCAATTTTTAAAGTTCCTTTTGGTGATTTGTATTATTCTATCAAAGCAGGGTTGTACCATTGAAGACCATNAGTGAATCAAGGCTCTCTGAGTGTCGTCACCAAGGGTTAGGATCTCACAACTGTGGGCACAATGAAGACGCTGGTGTTGTTTGTGAAGGTAAAGAAGGGTTTATGCTACAAAAGACAATGTTACTGTCTGTCTGTGATATAACATTTAACTGAGCAAATATCAGTAACTAAGTATTACATAAATATTAAGTTTCTTTACATAGCTTTTTTTTTATCTGCAGGCATTTCCACATGAAATGTTGTTTCCCCGTTTTCAGTCAAAAACCTGTTTTTGTAGTGTTCAAAGTATCATCCTACTGGAAGTCAAGTTCCATCTGTCTTCCTTCAACAGTACTGGCATAGAGGGTGTCAGAAAAAATACATTAAAAAAAAGTGTAATTTTATATCCATCCATCTATTTTCTTTCTCTGATCCGGGATCTGGCCACGGAGGCAGCAGATGAAGCAGGTCATTCCAGACATTGTTCACTCTCAAAGGAACAATGGCCCTACTCCAAGCTTCCTCCGGATGTCTGAGCTTCTCACTCTGTCTCTAAGGCTGAGCCCTGCCACCCTACCAAGGAAACTTATTTTGGCCACTTGTACCCACGATGCTGTTCTTTCAGTCACTACCTTTAGCTCATGACCATAGATGAGGGTTGGAACTTAGATGGACTGGTAAATCTTGAACTTCATCTTCTGGCTCAGCTTCATCTCCACCACACTGGTCCAGTACAACTACTGTACTTACTGCTAATGCTGCACCAAGCCACCTATCCATCTCACACTCCATTTTTTTGTCACTCGTGAACAAGATCCAGAGATACTTGAACTCCTTAATTTGGGGAAGCAACTCTTCCCCAACCCAGAGGGAGCAATCCACCGGTTTCTGGCAGAGGACCATGGCCTTGGACTGGGAGGTGCTGACTTGCATTCCAGCCACTTCACACTCAGCTGCAAACTGCTCCAGTGCATGCTGAAGATTTGGTGAAGCAAACAGTACCACGTCATCTGCAAAATGCAGAGATGTGATCCTGAGGTCCCCAAACCGGACACCCTCCTGCCCTCAGCTGTGCCTTGAGGTTCTGTTCATGAACACCACAAACAGGATCGGAGACAAACGGCAGCCCTGGTGAAGTCCAACACCCACTGGAAACACGTTTGACATTGTGCTGAGAATGTAAACACAGCCCTCACTTTGGTTATTAAAGGGTCCAAATGGCTCATGACAATGAGCCTGATACCCTATACTCTCACAGTACCCCCCACAGAGCCCCTCGAGGGACACGTTTGTAAGCCTTTTCCAAATTCACATAACACATGTAGACTGGCTGGTTGAGCTCCCACGACTCCCTCAGCAGCTCTGCAAGGGTAAAGAGTTTGTCCACCTTTCCACGGCCAGACTCTGTATTTGTCCTCCTGGATCTGAAGTTGACAGTTGGTTGGAGCCTCCCTTCCAGCACACTCGAGTAAACTTTCCCAGGGAGCATGAGAAGTGTGATACCCTGATAACTGGAACATCGCCTCCAGTCCCCCTTTTTTTTCAAAATGAGAACCACTACCCCGGTCTGCCACTCCACAGGCACTGTATCCATTGCTGACATGACATTGAAGAGACGTGTCCGCCAAGACAGTCCAACAATGTCCAGAGCCTTTTGTATCTCAGTGTCATACACACTTGGCACTTTGCCACTGAGGAGTTTCCTGACTACCTCGACAACCTCCGGTAAAGATTCACCTGAGTCTTCAGGCTCTGCCTAACCATTGGGCCCTAAGGCTCAGCCACCAGATGCTCCCTGGCGAGCTGCTCTCTTGGGCCTAACACCAGGAGGCGGCCCCTTTTAATTACTATTTTTAAAAACACAAATTATGTTTTGGCTTATTCTATTCACATTCAACATATAAATTAACAGTTTGGTTACGGTAGATATTTCCTTCAGTTTACCAAAAGAGGGAACTTCTGTAAAATTACGGTTCAAAAAGGATAACCTTATTTTAAAATTGTTATTGTACAAAGTCTCTCTTTCATATAATAAATATCTGTAAAATAAGAATATATGTCATACATTATCATAATATTTAAAGATAACGATAAACATAATCATATTTTTGATCATTTAATTACAGTTTTTACAATTTTACGGCAATCATGAATTGCTATTTATTAAAAATACAGAGTTATTGATTATTTACAGTTTAAGCAGGGTTGGCTTTTTTTAGGAATAACATGTAAGTAAATACTTTTTTTTTGCTTTTTTGGTAGTTATTATCTGTAATTGAACATAACAGGGAAAATATGTAAAATAACAGCAAAGCGTTCAAATAATTACAGTTAAAAACTGGTTAAAAGAAAAGTTCACTTTTACAGAGTGTGCTCTCTGTTCTTCTGGTAGCTCTTTCACCAGTGAGGCTGGTCAACTCTGACAACCGCTGCTCTGGCAGAGTGGAGGTCTTCCATAATGGACGATGGGGGACAGTGTGTGATGATTTCTGGGACATGAATGATGCTCGGGTGGTGTGCAGACAGCTGGACTGTGGTGAAGCTCGTGCAGCGCCGCCACAAGCCCAGTTTGGACAGGGCAGTGGACCCATCTGGTTGGACAATGTTAAATGTCTGGGAAATGAATCATCGATCACAGACTGCAGTCATCAAGGATTTGGGGTCCACAACTGTGGTCACAATGAAGATGCCAGCGCTGTGTGTGAATGTAAGTTTATTTTTATGTTTTTCAGAGTTTATTGAGCTTGATCTCAGTTGCTATTATTTCAAGCCCTGTCTTTCATTTTTTTTCTGATAACCTTATGTCTTTTTATTCAGTCCAGCCCTCTTCACATGAGGCTACTCAGGTTATTTGCAACCATGATAAACTCCTGATAGGACTGCATATAAACAGCATGACAACTGCTGGTTTGAGACCATTCTCGGGCAACCTGGCTTCCCGCAACTGCTCCTTGTTCTCTGTGCATGATAATATGGTTTGGTACGAAGTGGAGGCTCAGGCAGATGCCTGTGGAAATAAACTGAGGGTAAAGAGAAACTTTTTTCTTTTGTTCTTTCTTTCTTTCTTTCTTTCTTTCTTTCTTTCTTTCTTTCTTTCTTTCTTTCTTTTCCAAACTTTAATTGTATCTATACCTTGGGCTCTCTTATGAGTGTCAGGATGTCTCAGTCTTGTGTTTCCTTAAGTTCAAACCTCTCAGTGACATTGATTAGCGACGTTAACCAAATCCATGTTTCTGGAGCCAGTCTCTCTTTTCCTTAGATGTGGCCTACTTAAACAGCACCCTGAAGGTTTCTGGCTCACTCATCCCTTAAACATCACATTTTGATGTGGGGAACCTTTCAATCATGTGCTTTTTTTGTTTGTTTGTTTTTTTTTGATTTTTGTAGACCTTATACACAAACTGCACTGCCATACACACATAATGCAATCCCAATATTCAATGCATTAATGTATTCCAACTAATTTTGCCTGATTTTAGTGTTGATATATGCAAATAATTTTTCCACCTCATTCTAGAGAACATCAGGCTTTTTCCTATAGTTGAATTAAGATATTATTGTGCTTGCTTGTACAATGATGGCCCACTGACAGGTGCAGACAGAAAATAAGGAAACAGCTTCAACTTACATGTAAATTATGCTATATTTGTTTGATTTATCATGTTCAACCAAAACTTTTTATTTTAGGCTGACAAGCATTTACAACTGCTCCTAGTAGACCACACATAGAATAACAATTATACTTCACCCTATTGTAACATCAATGCATTTATCCCCTTTGCTGCTGTAACACTGCAAATTTCCCTACTATGGGATTAATAAGGCTTATGTTATCTTAATGCTATCTTATCTTAGTATCTATTCTAACTTATTCTATCTTAGTCATTGAACTGACTGATAATGTAATCCTCTGTCTTGCAGACAAACAGGACGCATGCCGTCTACTCCAATGCTTTGTTTATCTACCCATATGATCAACGCATCACCATTCCTGTGACTCTTCCCTTCTCCTGCGCTTATCCTCTGGACACCAACAACTCACTGTATATGACTGAGTATTAGGCTATTCCTGCCTTAAGGACCCGTTTATTAAATATAAGCAAAATCGCTTACCATATTCAGTTGTAAAAATGATGACACTCCTGCGAGTGTTTTTTTTTTTCTCCTTTATCTTCAGTGGACAAACCAGCTCAGTGACTTGGTAACCTAAAATGATAATATAAATCCATTCCTTATTTTTGATATTAAGTTGATCTTATTCACATTCCATGAAATAATCCAATTTGGATTAAGTTGTACACTTAATTCTTACCAGACTTTGTCTCTTTCTTCAATTGTACTACTCTTACATCAACAATAAAAAAAAAAGAAAAAAGAAGTTGTAATTTAAAAAAAGGGAGGTGCCAATGCTCACTTTCCTTATATTAATTTTCAGAACAAACATAACATGAATATATTATGTGTAATACTATTTTTTTGCAATGTGTACAATGCATTTCCTTTTCTATTTTTTTATGGTTTTTTCTTCTTTTTTTTTTTTTTTAGATCTAATAATGGATTTTTCACAGTGACACTATAAAACTGTGCAACTGATATATGCATCTTATTTTTTAAAAACAAAACAAAACACAGCCACTCCCCCTTGACTGTAGAAGGGGAACTAGGTAACAAAGACAATGTGAGACCTGATTGCAACCTTAACACACAGCTTTGAACCTGACTGAAGATTTTGAACAACTCTTTCATGAATTGGAATAAAGTTTCAGTATAGACATGTTATTTATCTTCTGTTAAAAGCTTCAGAACAATGTCTGTTGTTTTAAATGTGTTGTCTAAATAAAGGTGAGTTGACTTTTCATTCATTGTGCTCAGATAGTAAATCCTATCAACTTTGGAGAGCTGCTTACTTTTCCTCTGGTGCCACCAAGAGGTTGATGTTTGTGCTTCAGCATTAAATACTGAATCTCAAAAATAGTTAGATGGATTCCATGTAATTTGATGCCAAAAATTATATGCATTTTATAGTGAGCATGACAACATCACATTATTGATGGGCAGGTTCGGATCGATACCGGTTCGGCTCAATTTTGACCTGGACCATACTGTGAAGAAGTCCTGTCAAGAATTCTCTCATAGTAAGTGTTTATCCCAAATTTTAAACTGCAGGTCTATTTAGAATGTCTGTTTAGCCTAAGCCACACTAATAAATGTAAATTTAAAAAAAATTAAAAAAAAAAAAACGTTCACAGTTTCAAGATTCCCTAAAACCACCATTTTCCGTGATTTGACCCACACTGGTAGATCTAAACCCCATCTCAGTGGATGCAAGTGAAATTTGACCCGAAACAGTGTACAAAAATTTGTTGAACCTGTACAAAAGTATAACATTTTAAAATATTTTCAGTTTTGTGTATTTTCGGTCACACTTTAGGAAAAGTCATCAAATTTCAGGCTATGAGACTGACGTTAAGGGTATTTTTAGTGCTGTTAAATGTCAAAACAGGTCAAATTTGACCCGAAACAGTATGTAAGGGTAACAGAGTCCTCCCCAATGTTGAAGTGAAGCCCCTGGGTTGAAGGTCACCACAGCCTGCTGCTCTGCTCTCTAGGAAACTTACAATAATGGCCAATGTATGCAGGGGCGTGGCTTTGGCTTAACTTTTTTTGATTGACAGGCCCGTAGCCCAATACAATGGGTTCATGTCGTGGTAGGGGGCGGGGCGGAAAGTGAGCGATGTTTCCCTCGGGTTTCGGGTTTAGAGCAGTTGGGGTTAATTTCCGCTCGGTCGCTGCCGTTTAAAAAAAATAAAAAAATAAAACAAGCAGCCTTCAGCTCTTCTGTGCCGGACAGCCGCCGCCGTCATGTCCAACAACAATGCCAGTAACAACTTAATTATCGCTCAGAGGGCCGTGAAGCAGCTCCGGTTGGAGGCCAGTATCCGGAGGATCAAGGTACGAACCCCTCAACACCGACACACAAACACGGAAGACCGAGCTAACCTGCCGCTGAATGGCGGAGGCAAACTGAAGAAATGACACAGTGAACTCTGGCCGAAATATATTCAACAAGTTGCTCCACAAAGTTACACATAACACACTTTAACCGGTTTCTGGTTGACGAAACCGCAGCTACAGGCGAAGAAGTTGTGTCAGTTTCTCACTTTAGACTGTCTTTTAAACTGTAAACACATCGACTAAAGTTACACGTTTTTAGCTGTTCAACCTGCTTGTGTTCGTTATCTAAAGGAAACAGGTGACTTTATCTCCGTAAAAGTTACACAGCTGACACACCCATTAGTGTAATGCGCCGTTGCTTGCAAATGCTATGCAAAAAAACCCGAACCAGTTAGTCTGTGTGGGTAGATCAGGCAGGCAGGCAGGCAGGCTGTGTTGTGTTGTGTTGTGTTGTGTGTTACAAGTACTGTACATGTGATAGGCTTTCTGTGTTTGCACACACACGCCATATGTGTATCTCTGCAGGTGTCCCAGGCTGCTGCTGATCTGAGAAACTTCTGCTTGCAAAACGCCTCCAAGGACCCTCTCCTGATGGGGGTCCCGTCCAGCGATAATCCCTTCAGACCCCCCAAGTCCTGCTCCCTGTTCTGAGGTAGGCCTGCTGCTGCATCCACCCGGGAGTTAAAGGTCCCATATGGTGGAAATCCACTTTTGTTGTGTTTTGCGCTAGATGAGATTAGAAGATGTTTATTTGTGTCATTCCTTGAACCCCCTCCCACAACTAGCTTCAAAAACTAGTAAGAGTTCAACCCAGGTGACTAACCCGTGGTCATCCATTTCAGTCAGCGTGTTCTTCCTGAAGAGAGCAGAAACAGTAGCGGTTAATTGTCTTTTTTTAGAGCAAAACAGCCTATTTAGAATGTACCTAAAACAAGGAGTCATGGTGAAATGAACTATTTTGAGCTGAAAAATTGTAAGACACGCTTTGGGAATGTGTGAGACTTTGATTAGTTTGCTGAAAAAGCTCACAATATAAAAACTTGTACAGTTTAATTACATGAGGGAGGAATTTAAGGCCATGTTCACGTTCAGTCTCCATTGAATTCAATCTGTTAAAATAAGGACGGCATTATGGAGCCCCAAGACCTGCCAAAAGTTGTACGCCTTCTTTAATCACTTACATACAAGTTTGGAGTTACTTAAATGTTTATTCTATCTGTTCATTCTTCTCATTAATAATCAAATCACATTTTCCCAAGGTGGCATCTTTGAAGTTTCTATCCAGTCACTGGATAACCCTCTGAACCCCAAGCAGTTTCCTTTTCTTTCTTTTTTTTTGTGGTCCCGTTCAGTTTTTATTCAGTATGTGCTCATTTTTCACTGCAATATAAAGTCCTGCACCTCTATGGAAACAGTTTTAATGGCATAAATCATTTTTTAAAAAATAAGACACAAAAGTTCAGTTATTGTGAATATTTGATTTTTTATTTTTTTTTAAAAAGCAAAACTTGGAATAACATTTTACCAAGTGCACACAGGTGTTACGAACACATTGTTGCTCCGCATGCTAGACATATTTTCCTACTTACAATTTGGATTTGTTTCCATAACACTGCCTGCTGTCTCTGAATTTAGTTATAGTTACACATTTAGAGGTTTGTTCTTGTTAAAGTAATCCGTTGTTGGCTAAAAATGACTTCAGCGTCACTTCCCACTGTCGTTTTCTCAAGAATCTGCAGCTTTATAAAGTCCCTTCTTTTTCCTCCACTCACCTCTCTCTGCTCGCTGCAGCCCGAGCACACCAGTTCACCTACAACTGTGCTAAAACTACTGGTTGCTACACAATGACAAGCTGTGATATATGAGTAATGTAGCCATACATGTTCAAACTGGAAACTGATTCTGAAGAGGAACAGTGATACAGAAAGCCCCACCCTACTAGTCGACAGAAGTGGTTTCCTTGGCTTGTTACGTATGAAAAAGTCTGAATCCATGTTTGTCTAGCAGTCATCAACACACTGCAGCTTCAACATGGAGATGCTTATTCGTATTCATTGACTGCTTATTTCAGTCATGACATATTTCCTAGCATACGGAAACAAAAAAACACTGAATGGACAAGGTGAAAAACGTAGATTTTCACTGGAGGGGTTCTTTAAGTTAAGACAGATTCTACAGAGCCTGAAAAGCAACTAAGAAATTGTATACAGTCTTTACCCGCCTATATACAAGTTTCATGTTGCAGAAATTGTTATTTCCATTTTATATTTATCTGCAAATTCTAAATCTACAGTGTGTTGTATGATTATAGTGTCATTGGAGAAGCAAAATGCCTCAAATGATCAAACAAATCTCAAAATGACTACAGATTCATTTTCTTTCCATTTAATTATGAATTGATTGATATGTTGCTGGTAAAGAATGCTCCTTCTGTATACTTTATATTTATCATAGGTACTTGATCACCTTGTATCGCTAAAGGCAAACTGCCACCTTTTGTCTGATTATTCTTTAGCCAAGAATAGATTTAAAACAAGAAATAAACTAACAGATATGAATCAGGACTTATTGCATTTGATTTAGTGCCAGACTTTTGATCATGAGTTTGTTTCTTCTTTTTTTTTTTGTCTTAACACAGTCATTAGTCTTTTCCCATCTTGACAAGTGTACAGTGGTCTGGGGTTTCCATAGCTTAGATTATTAAACTACAAATAAAGCTTGAACAAAGCACCACTATGTGCGACTTGTCGGTCTTATGAAACAGGAAATCTTACACAGTACCAGCAGCTTATTTTTAGTTCATACAGAGCATTATATGGAAGTGCTGCTCTTATAAAGTTAAGCAAATGTTCTGCAACAGTAAATGTCGACATCCTGATTAGGCCTCTTTTGGGATTGAAGCTGGGTGGAGTTCTACAGGGAATTAATAAGATATAAGAACAGGCTTTGTCACATCAGACATTTTGACTTGTCAATACAGGAAAAAACACAGGTGTTACTAATAACCTCAACAATGGCTCTGGTCCAGCCATGCACAATTCTGCAGCTAACATGGAATTCGACCATCAGTAATGATTTAGAAAAAATGCGATTTTTAGCTTCCTTAATTTCCTGTGTTTTTCTGTCTACAGCAACATGAAACATGGAGGATTTCAGAATATGTCCGTCGAAGGCTTTCTTCACTTCTAAATGATGTCACTGTAGATCTACCAGCAGTTCCTCTTGGGATGACGCACACGAGGCTGATGGGTTCGGGCGGGGGGGCGGCGGGGGGGGGAACTGGTCCACTTGTTTGCCAAAACTAATAACTCCCATCTGTTACATTAACGCAGCAGCAAACTCTACATGTTCAAAAACGGAGCAGAAGATGTTCTAAGTTGACACTAACTTGACTAATGATTAAGCCGTTCTTGTGTGTACTTAACATGTCCGGCATTGATTTTTACTGACGTTACGTGTCTGTTTCCAGTCTGTGAAATTCTGCTCATGTTCATAGGTCCTGAAAGACTTACTTCCTCTTCTGTTTTGGGTGGCAGGTGGAAAAACAATCAAGCATTAATTTAAAACAGGTGCTGTTACAGAATATTAATATTTTGTCATACACACACACACACACACACACACACACACTCAGTTGTCTATTTATTAGATACACCATTCTGATATGAACGCAGTTTCATGCAACACTCCTACAGCAAGTCTCTGCTCATAAGGATTATCATGTCCAGTTTTTGTTTCAACCCTCTGAACCCCAAGCGGTTTCTAGGTTTTTTTTTTTGCTGTGGGCTCATTTTTTTCTATTGATGCACCTTTCTGGAAACAGCACAACCATGGGTAGAAAGAGAGCTGTTACTTTTACAAAAATTGATTAAGTGGAATCACAATGTATAACATTTTTCTAAGATCCCACAGGTGTTACCAACACTAAAAAATAAAAAAAAATGTTTCCATTCTATTTGCTTTGTGTAAACACAGCCTGCAGTTCAGCCAAAAAGGCCCTGAATTTTTTTGTGACTGTTGGTTGCAGCTGAATCAGTCATGGCTTCACAGTTGCGCCAAAGAGGGCAGAATTTGTAGTTTTTTACAGAATCTAGTTCAAGCAAATGGTAATTCTTGGCACATTTTAAAATGAGACATAAAATAAAGTAATTTTGAGGAATTTTAAGATTTGGCTAAGTTTCCCAACACAACGGCATGACACAGATGAGTAGTTTAATGACAGTCAGAAATCTGTGTCACAGTTTCTGGCTCTGGGAAATAGTGTAATTTTGGGTGATTTTTTATTTTTATTTTTTTTAAACACAATATGCCTGTAAAACCTGCCGGCGGGTTTTGGAATTCAGAGGTTTAACTGTCTTGGTAGGGCAGCGCAGTGGTCACATCAGACTGCAATAATTTTAGCTAGGTGTACCTAATAAACTGACAACCAACCATATATACACTATGCCTCATATTGTGTGCCTTTTATTCAGCACTACAGACATGAGACTATGATTTAACTGTGCACGTGGCCAACAAACCTACATTTAGCTTTTCAGCTGAACAGGTGTCTTTTAACTACTCTTGTATTTTGTGTGAAAGTTAAAGGTATTACTATTAATCTGATTTACGACAACATGGTACAGATTTTTACTCTGTCAGTTCAGGGTATTTGATTGTTAAATAAACCTTCATCCTGTCCTTTTTTCTGTATATATTTAACAGCCTGATGAGGGTGCTTTTATTAGCTTATACATGTTCCTGTCTTTAATTTAAGAAAAACAAAAAGGAAGAATACACATGAAGGCCTCACACTATTTGGATAGTCCGAGCAAATTTATTGTAATGTCACTTTAGATTCACAAATGCTCATGTCCCTGTTCAAATCCTTCAATATTGTTTGTATTAAATGAATCATGCTGCAGTGACTTGTTGCATTTATTGCTTTCCACACTGGAGTCATATTCCAATGAACCAAAACCTTTATTGCTGTTAGTCGGTATCTTTATCAACTTTGCTACTGTGGGCGATCTTTTAAAAATTAAATTACGTTTCCGATGAAATGCTGTGTGTGATTATTGAATTTCATTCTTTTTCTGAAAATTATGGTTTAAAAGAAATAGTTTTAAATGTATGACTGCAAGTTTTTTGTGATGTTGCCACCAAAATAATCGCATATGAATAGAAGATGTTAGATTGCAGCCTCGGGTGGTTTTGTGCAAAGTCAGTGAGATGCTGAAATAAATCTGCATCAAATACTGTACTATAATGCTTGTCTGGCAACATGTTGAAAATCTGCAGGACATCCTGTTTTCTCTTCTGCTTATGAAAACAATATGACGTCAAGCTCAAAATCAGTAGCGGCGACAGCATGCTGATACGACAATGATTTTGCGATTCGAAGCAGTTTCAAGCTAAGATTGGGAAAATAAAAGCTCATCTCAAGGTGATCAGCTGAGCCTTTAAGTGTGGGTGTGTCTGAGGGTTCATCAAAGCTGCTCCTCCTATTCTGGACACATCTGTTAATTTGGCTCACAGCACCATCAGAAACCACTTACCTGAAAGGCAACGTCAAAACTGAACTGAAGTTGGAGGCTTTTAGGAAGCAGTTTGGCCGAGTAGTTCAGTCCAAAGCTCGAGTCTATACACTGTCCATTATCAGCGATAATTAGCAGAAGTGCTGTCACCTGGAAATAAACGAGGCTGCCTCTAACTGAGGAAGTGTCCCTGCTCAGGTGAGGACGTGTGTAAATCAATATGTTGCATGAACGTGTGTACACATTGTGATCCTAAAATATACACCAGGTAGGTTTGTATCTGTGCAAAATTTCTGCTTGTTGCGATGAATGTAGCACCCAGATGGCTTCCAGGTTTGGTCAGAAGAGAGCTGGAAGATGCCAGGAGGACTCAGGTAATAGCATCCTCTTTCACCAAATTTACATACACACCTTCAGACCATAGATCCTTGAAGATTAATCCATTCATATCTTCCTTTTCCCTCTCTTAATACCATATTTCTGCCTTTAATCCCTCCTGTTTTTCTGGTTCACTATACTACAGATTCCTACCTGCTGAGAGATCCTGGCCTCAATCCTTTACGCAATCCCCCTCACAGCACCTCCTGGTGGGCTGACAGAGAAGAGCACAGAAACCAAGGAGATTCACTCAGGGTGGGTAAGAATTAATTGGGGGGAAAAACAGATTAGTGCTTTAAATTCTGGGCGAGAACTCAACTTTTATTTAATAGGAGCAGCTAAAAGAGATGGATGAACACATGGCCAGGCTTCAGGAGATGCTGAGAAGTGAGCGGGCTAAAGTAAGGCTTGTGTGAAAGAGTATTTAAACACCTCCACACTGTTTCCTTCCTTTCTCAAAAGCACGTTTCCTCTTGGCAGTGCACCCGTCTCCAGCTGCAGTGTGGCCAGCAGGAGGCCGAGCTGCGACATCGAGAGCTGCACAGCAACAGACTGAAGGAGCGACTGTCACAGCTGACCGACAGACACAAACTGAAAGGACCCAGTGAGACTCCCTCTGTCAAACCCACAGAATAATGCAAACACATCTCAGATATATCCTGAAGCGTTTATCTCCTTGTGTTTTACTGTCCAGCCATCGAGGTGTTGAACTTTCCACCTGGAGGCAGAGGCAAAAGAGAGCAGCCAGTCAAATCATTCAGGACTACTGCAAAGTATGTCAGCTGTTGTTTTCATTCACTTTCTGCTCTTTGCATTTCATTCTTCTACTATTTTATTTTATTAAATTTTTTTATCCTCACTTGCTTTCTCCACCTTGCAGACGAGAAGAAGCAACTCTGCGTGTGATGCTGGAGCGCAGAGAAGCAGAGCTCAGAGAGGCGATGAAGCTGCGACACAGCCTCACCACTTTGCTTCATGCACTCAGAGTGGACATGGAACAGGTCAGGATACGCTGACAAGCCTTTTTTTAAAATTAAGAACAGGGATGGTTAGGAACTAACAATTAGACATATCCAAAAAGAATGACTGAAGATCCCGTCCAATGAAAATCAAGTTGTCAACATGTCCATATGGTGTTCTTTTTTATATGCTGGAAGACATATGATGAGCGATGTAAGCAGTCAACACCATTCCTGAGCATTTTATACCTTGAAACTACAGTGTGCTGATGACAGTCTCAAAAACACAGATTTAATTTGTGTTGCAATAAATGCAACACAGTGGTTTCATGTGCAGCTGCAATGAAATGACAAAACTAGAACAATCATTTTATTATGAAATATATTCTGATTGTTGTCTGTTGATTTATTAATTGTTTTAGATCTAGTTTTGACTATATTGAGATAAAAGCTGGAAATTTGCAGGTGAGTAAAGAACGCATACAATTCCTTGGTGGCTCTTACGGCTCTATAGCGCCTATATTCATTTAAAGATCACAAATCAAATTTTTCACTTGTGAACATGTACATATGGTGCTTTTTGATATGCCGGTAGAAAGATTATGAGCGAAATAAGCAGTCAATGCTATGCCTGAGTATTTGTGACCTGATGAGTCTCAAAAATACACATTCAGACTTCCAGGGTTTCATATGTAACTAAAGAACTATTCCCTTTAATTTGCAGTGTGAGACTTTCTGTATCATTATTCATTTTCAGAATCTGTTTGCAGTTCAGACTTGTATGGCTGAATTACTCCAATATTACAGCTTGACATTGTGTAGCCGAGACTAGACTTACAGTGTTTGAGCAGAATCAATATTAAGTTGGATTCACCAGCTGCAGGGACTTCATGGAGCTGTGCATTCCAGAGGAAGCAATGCTGTAGAATTGCCTCCAAGCTATTTTAACATTTAAAAGAATTATTTTCATGAAAATAAATAATCTAAGTATGCAATTTAGATACCAAGAGATGAGTTTTTAGGGGTTACATCCATGACTGATTTTTTAAGATTTACCGCGTGATCTTTTTGCAATAACTTTGGATCCTAGCAAAGTAGAGTTTACATCCATGTAGGTGTAAACTTTGAGACTATAGGTAATTTCTGACATTGGAAACAACATTTGACCCTTTTAAGTAGCTGTTTTGGACCTTGAATGTTCACTGAAATATTAATTCACTGAGCAGCGTGGTTAGGGCATAGACCAAATGGCGTCAACAGCGAGTTTAAAGTTCAAATCCTTGCCTGCCTGCACTTGTACTGCATGTCATTCCCCTGCTCCCTTTCCCCCATTTCTTATAAGCGCTTCCTTGTCTGATGATGTTTTAAGTAGCCATGAACAAAGACCCTTCAGATCACTCAGAAAATGTGAACATCTGCAATTGTGTAAAGCACCTGAGTGCTACTAGAAAGAGATTGTTTTTAAGATCATTTTGACACTCAAGGTCAAAAATTAATTGTAATTTTTGTATTTAAGACCGTGTCGGACTCTGTGGATGTGGCCCAAGCAGACAAAAGGTTGGATCAAGCTGAAGTAGCCCTTGGTGAGCATGTGACGGGTGGAGTCATCCAGAGTTGGAGGCAGGTGCAGATAAGACTGCTGGACATCCTGTCTGAAGGTAAACACATTCAACTATCTTTTAAACAATTCTGTTACATGTTGTAGTTTGTAAGAAAACTACAGTTTTATGTTTGCTAAACCACTGACTGACCAAATCCACTGCAGGCCAAACTGCTGCTGGTACTGACCACGACAAGCTCCTGGCTCAGCTGGAAACTGAGCTGAAAGAGAGTCAGCAGCTTGTCAGGTTACAACAGCAGCTCCTGCAGGTATAACGCTTTATTTTGCACCTACAAACTTTTGTCGTACGCGCTTGTCCAAGCATCAGAATCAGAAATATTCCCTGTGGTTTTCCTGCTGTAGGATAGTCTTGCTTCACCCGTCCCGGCTGAACTGGCTGATTCCTGCTTTGTGGAAGAGTGGGAGCGTCTTCAGGTGCACTGGGCTGAGCTGGAACATCAGAGGAGGACTTTTGTGAGGGAGAGGCAGTCCTTCACTGATGCTGCCATTCGACTGAGTCATGAGGTGAGAAGAAAACGAGGCAGAGACAGTGTTTTAAAGGGTTAACTGACTGGTTGGCTCATTTTGAGTTATGCTGTAGGCCCCTGTAGAGTTAAAGGAGCAGCATGTGAAGTAAATATTTACTAAAGCCACCTTGTCTTTCAGATTGTGCATTTACAGCAGTTTTCTCATACACAAAAAAAAGAACAACATCTCTAAGTCCTGCTTTTTACTGTGTAAATATAAGGCTTCAGTAGAAAGCAACTGGCCTTCTCTGTTAGGTTCCTGAAGACATTTCATCTCCCATCCAAGAGGCTTCTTCAGTTCTAACTACCTGATGGGGAGTCCAAGATATTTGTTGTCACCCCAACGTCAGTCCCATGACTGAAGATGTTAATGGCAGTGAAACTTTCAGGGCAGAGCTCTCAAGACTGCAGTACAAGTAATTAGTTATCCTGTGAGCCTTGGCTCTTTAACAGGCCATTATTCATGTGAGTTGGGATTGACAGTATATATCTGGAACTCATCATCAGTCCATTTGCCTTCTACACTGTTTAAAAAATAAAAATTAAAACCATAAAGCAGTAAAAGCTAGCAGCGAGGGTGCCAAAGAAAATATGTTTGGAAAAAAAGTGGAATACTATATTGTATAAAAACTGTAAAAAAAATCTCTGAAAATAACAACTAATGTCAATAAAATAATTATATTTTTAGTTGGCCTTCGCCCTAAGTTGGCTGGGATAGGATCCATATTTTTACAACGTATATTTTATTCTTGTGTCTACAGCGCCGTGATTTTGAACAGCAGAAGGCTTGTCTTGTGAAGCAGCAGTATCTCTGTGACTCGCCACTGTTTGGCAAAGGAGCTCCAAGCGACAACAGAAGAGAAAGCACCGCTCTCAGTGAGTGGGGCCGATGTTATAATGTGGTGAAATAGTTTTAATGAAATGTCCCCAACAGCATCCATCTTATGTATTTGTCTCCAGATTTCTCAGGTTTAGGGCCCAACAGCATATCCGGCTGTCTTCCAATCTCTCCGTCGTCCACCGAGTCGGGGGCTGCTGCTGTTCATGGATTACATCAGGGGAGAACCAGAGTTCAAACCCCCAGCACGCCTGAGCTCTACTCTGCCCTCAATCTGTCCTACAGGTCAGTGAAGACTCACAGCCACAACATGATAAAGACCTGCCTGATATCATGCAGTTCCCCAGTGTGTCATGGGGCATCAACATGAGATCTCTGGGATACTTTTTTGTGGATAAGGCATCCCATTGATGCTCAGTCAGATTAGGATCTGGGAGTTTTGAGGCCTGGTTGGCACTTTGAGCTCTTTGTCCTGTTTCTCAAGCAGTTTCTGAGCATTTTTTTTTTTCAGCGTATTGTCCTGCTGGGGGTTGCACTGCTGTTGGAGAGTTCTGGGAGGAATGTGTGTTTCATCAGTTTATGTGGATGGTACATGTCAAACTAACAGCGATGCCAGGAGTCGAGTTCTCACAGCAGAGCACTGTATTGTAACGAGACAGCTGGTTGGTTTTACTGGTTGTGGCTGATTGGTGTATGTTGAAGTGTCGATCATACAGACCTAATATAGTGTGTTGCTTTTAGGGCCAATTTTAAATTAATCCTTGTTCCTAGCCAGTCTTTAACTGAAATGATGCTCAAGATATGATTCCTTGGTGCATTTATTTAATGAGCATATTTCTGTGGCACTGATGCAAAATTGACAAATACAACTTCTGTATGTCTCTTTCCTCTCTTTTTGTGAAAGCTTTGCTAGCACTAAAGCTGACATAGATTCAAACTTCTCCCTATAACTGCTGCAATCACTTTGCCATCTCTCCTCCTTCAGATCCAGACTTGCTGATCACCCGTCAGAGACATGGGGCGGTGGGGTTTACAGGACAGAGGACATGACTCAGGGTCCACATTTAGACTGGCCGTTTTACTACATTACTGATGATGGGCAGTAGCAGTGAAAAGCACATTGTACTTTTAATTCCACTTTTCAAAAATAATTAATAAAGACTAATGTTACTCTTCTGCAATTTGTTTTTTTCCATGTGGACATTGTGCCATTTGCTGCATGTTCTAGGATTTATTGGACGGTTGATACTGCAGAGGCAGGAAATGAACAAAGAGAGAAATTATATTTTAATAATGACTGCATTCATACATAACGGAAATCTGTTTTAGAAACGACACTTTATTTTGTTATATGTGTGTGACAATCCACCAGATTAGTTGTAGCTCTGCAAGCAATCAGCATTTCTTTCACTTACTATTTAACTACAACACATTCTGTCTGTCAGCCTTTTTTTTTTTCTCAAAAACTATCCTGGCTTAAGGGTTTCAAACTTCTTAGCACAGTTTAGATTTAAATCGAAGTTTCCATTAATCCTTCTGAGAGGCTGAAGTATGGTGCGGACTAACATTGGGGCCACTGCCTTCTCATATACAAACTGGACCTGCTCAGTTTGAATCCATCCATCCATGAACTATAAACCGCTTAATCCTCACTAGGGTCGCGGGGGGCTGGAGCCTATCCCAGGGCGATGACACCCTGGACAGGTCACCAGTCTATCACAGGGCTACATTTAGAGACAGACAACCAAACACACTCACATTCACACCTACGGACAATTTAGAATCACCAATTAACCTCAACATGTTTTTGGACTTGTGGGATGAACCCAGAGAGAACCCACGCTGCACGGGGAGAACATGCAAACTCCACGCAGAAAGATCCCGGTGCCCCCACCAGGACACGAACCGGCAACCTTCTTGCTGCGAGGCTACAGTGCTAACCAACTGCGCTACCCTGCAGCCAGTTTGAATCCTATCATGATTATTCCTGCTATGTTTATAGTAGAGCTGCACAATAATATAACTTTTTAGCTGATACAACAAGAAAACTCCATTTATTTTCTATGACTAATCTTCAAATTAAGTCTGTCTAATAGAACATAATTTACTCTGATTTGAGAGTTCTCAAATGAGAAATTTATTTAGAAGACCTAGTTTGACATGCAGGCTCTTTTTTTCCGTATTTTGTTGTGGTTGTTATTCCTACATACAGTACATACGATTTCTAGTGTCTCGAAGAGTACATTTTCAGAATGCTCTGGATATTAAAGTATGCTGTCCATGTTGGAAGCAACAAACTGGCGACAAATTAAAGAAAAGCCTGTATGATGACTGGACAAACACAACAAATGCAGATGCTCCCACACAGGTGCACTGCATGGTACAATTAAGCAGTTAACACCCAGTATCACTCTGGGGCAAAAATGCTGAGCAGCACCAGTTAATTCTGAGTTTGTATAAAGACTTAAATGACTTTGAAAGATTGTTGGGGAACAGATTGCAGGAGATTCAGTCAGAGACCGAAGACTGCTCCCCTAGCTTTAATACAAACAGTGACATAAGGGACATCTGTGTTTAGATTTATAGGGAATAACTATGGTTAAAAACTGTAGTCGACTGTGTACATTTGATGACTGATGTTTGTGTATTAGCGTGATTATGTAAAAAGAAAAATGAGGAGCAGCTTTTACTGAGATAGCTGAGAATGTCAAAGCAGGACACAATCAGACTGTTGACAAAAACAGATTATTGTCAATGACACAGAAAGGGATATTATATAGCAGGCCTGCAGTGTGTAAACCCCTCATTAAAAAGATGACTGGGCATTTTAGATTTCAATAGTACCAAAACCATCCACACTGGTCTACTGAGATTTGAAAAAAAAACAAAAGGGCAGGGCATGTGTGGCACAAACCAAAAGAAAGCAACAAGCCTACATGTTTGATCCTTAAAGAAAGAACATCCAGTGGCTCTGTGATGTTGGAGGGGATATTTTGCAGTCATGGATTGAGTCCACTTGTCTCCTTAGAGGACAGGATCACTGCTAATCAAAGATGTTCTGAACGATGAAACTGACAGCAGTGTCTTTCATCCATAAGCCATGAGACGCCACTGAATGGCTGATGAGTATAAATCAATGTACATCTTAAACTATAACCTCCACAGTCTCCAGATCTGAAGCAAACTAAACATCTTCAAGAGGTTTTGGATTGAACATTAGACAGCATTCTCCAACACCATCATCAAAACACCAAATATATTTTGGAAGAACATGTGCATCCCTCGAGTAGAGTTCCAGAGACTTGAAGGATCAGTGCTACGATGCACTATAGTTGTTCTCCAGACACAGTGGTTCCCTACAAGTAGTTTTTCCTTTAATGTGTCACCACTCTGCACATAATCAATTTGCTTTATTTATCTACCTATATAGTACGTGCAGGACTCAAAAAAGAATGAAAGAGACATCATAAATAATGAAATACAAGTGATTTTGGTTTTTCAGTTTGAAAGTGTGCATGAAGAGCCATCATCCAGTTTTACTGATTGGAGCAGACTGCACGCGTTGGTCATGACCTCCCCTGATTGGCTGCTGCACGCCTCTGATCAACACTTGTATTCAATTACCAATCACTGCTGTTCAGCGCGCATCCGGCACCTTCACCTTTATCGCTATTTCAAAGTCAACAACCGTGTGGCCCCGGCGACAGTCTGGCACACCTGACGGAACACACAGCGCGGAAAGTGCGAGAATGAACGGCATGGTTTGGGGACTTTTTCATCACCCGCCGCGCTTCATGGAGTCCGACAACAAAAGTTTCCAGCCCTGGAGAGACTACATGGGACTGTCCGACACCATCAAAGAGATCTTGAGCCGAAATGCTACCTCTGAGTCCTCCCTGACTGCATCCAAACCTGCGCTCTCGGAATCTGGTGATCTGGCTCTGGTGTCTGGTTTTTACGCATCCGGCAGAAGTAACCAACACGCAGACAGTGCGCCGTACTTCCTCCGTAAATCTCCACTCCAAGGTAACTTGAGTCACCAGCACCCCTGTGATGATTTGCGTCCAAATTCGACTCACACAGTGAATTTGAAGCTTGTGCCCAAACCGGCGAGTTCCGGAGCGCCAAAAGAGCGCAAGAAGACGACGCGCTTCAAAACACCTGAGCCGCCTCCGCCTACTGAGCGCATGTTCTGCAGCTTCTGCAAACACAACGGGGAGTCCGAGCTGGTGTACGGATCCCACTGGCTGAAGAACCAGGGAGGAGACGTTCTGTGTCCCTACCTGCGGCAGTACGTGTGTCCCCTGTGCGGAGCCACGGGCGCCAAAGCTCACACCAAGCGCTTCTGTCCCAGAGTGGACAGCGCGTACAGCTCCGTTTACGCAAAGTCCAGACGCTGAACCAACAGGTGGGAGGTTGCAAAGAGACACTGCATATAAGGCAGAATTCTTTTTCAGTAATGAGTGTGATTTTTGTTGTGGGTTTTTTGTGTGTGTGTGTGTTTTAGTTTGCTTTTTTTAATTGCATGCTTTGCTTGCTGTGGATCCTCTAGTGAGGCTGATTGCGCTTGTTTTGCAGCTGGTCTTTTTGCTTTACCTGCGTCCGTTCGGATCCCGTGAGCCTCTTTAAAGAGAACGACTGCCGGATATTATGTTTGGGAGGAGAGAAAAAAAAAAGAAATGTATGTTTTTGTTGTACACACTTTTAAAACATGGCCAACTGATGTCCATTTTCATACTTCCTGTCCATGCATTGAAGGATTATAACCATATTGTACCATTATACGACGTACAGTTATCAAAAAAATAACTCCACTGCGGCATGAAAACATCATGTGGCCATGTCGGCGTTTTAAAATTTTAAAATGAGTGTCTTGTTCTGAGGTGTGCAAGTAAATCCAAGTTCTTGGTGCATGCTGTTTTATTTTCATTATGATCCATGTGGCTCTTCTAAATATTCTTTGTGTAAGAAAAAAAAAATGGTTGAAAGTTTTTTGTGTGGATATTCTAAAGTTACATCTAAATTGACCAAATCTGTGTTTGTGTTTTTTCATCACTCATATATATGGCAGAATTTTTGAGCCTTTTTTTTTTTAATCAGTGGTTGAATCAGGAATGACACAGAAGACTCAGATTACTGACTGAACAAACACCACACAGCTTTATTTGGAGAGAACTGCAACAACAAAGGAATTAAATGGAACACTCCAGCTGTGAAGAGTGAAAATGTATTTGTGAAATATCTAAAAAAGTGTCTTCTCTACCCATGAACCCTTGGGTCAACAGATCAAGATTAGGATGACAAATACTTGAAACACATCCTCAACGTATGGGGCTCCTTGAACCTTTGCTGCCTCGACGCAGGTTCTCCAGCTCTCGATGAGTAGCCATGACCCTCCGACTGGAAGAAAAGGGACAAGTGTGTGTTTTCAGATTTGTGAGCACCTGAATAGCTTATTTTTATTTTGACAGCATGTGGGAGGGAGGTAAAAGTTAAGAATAGGTAAATGACAGAGGGGAATGTATGGCAAACATGAAGGGAAGTGTATGATTCAATTTTCTGCACTTTTAGAAGCACAGCAGAGATTTATCAAAGCAACTTCCTAAATCCTTTATTCTTGCATTTAATTCTTTCTGATCCAAACCTGTGACAACATTTTGCCAGCACATTCGTCTGATTTTTTTTTTTCATATTGTAATTGCTGGCCGCATCAGAGATCAGATAAATCTCAGCCTCTCTCTTGTCTGCATATTTTTTTGTTTTTTCAGATTTGTTGCTGTATAGATTTTTTGCCTACAGCGAGGTGATGCAGTGGTTTGCACTGTCACCTCAGCTGTTAAGTGCCTCCCTGTGCTTGCATGATTTTTTTCCAGCTTCTTCCCAAAATCCACAGACATGCGTGATATGGTGATTCCAATTCGCACACCCCTTTGGTGTGATAGTAACTGTGCATGATTGTTTGTCTCTTTGTGTTTACCCTCTGCTGACCTAGTGACCTGTCAAGGGTGTACTCTGCCTTTCAGGTCCAGGACAAAGTGTGTGTAGCTAATGAATGTGTAGATGGACAAACCCATTTCATTTCAACTTGATTTAAGGCATGGACTTTCTCTCAGCACACACTCACTGACATGATGCCTTTCATAGTCCTGCACTCTAACCTTGATCATCATAACTAAAGCTACGTTCAGATAGCGGGTTAATGTGACCCAAAACTGATTTTTTTTTTTTTTTGCCCCTATGTGACCTGTATGATCTTTTCATGACAGTCTGAACAACACAGATCAGATTTTTTAAAATGCGACCCAGGCCACTTGGATAGCCAAGTGACTAGATTCAAGAGGGTATTTGTCATGTGTACAGAAAACTAGACACTGTACAATGAATGAAATCTTATTTTTCTGATCCTTCTTAACCAAGTCTAACTCAACCTCAACCTAAGGCCTGGTTCACATTACAGGACTTTTAAAATCTGAACAAATTTTGAAATCAGGTAGCTCCACACACACAAGGAGAAATTTCACATATAATAATCTCTCTAATCTCAGACATGCAGACAGTAAAACGCTGGAAAACAATGACACATCACCCACTACTGGATGTTACTACAATGATAATGCCAGACAGAGCCATCAGGAGCCACCTCACATGACCTCATAAGGAGACATGTAAACAAAATCAAAACTGAACTTGCTGTAAGGTTAACAATACTTTGAATTAAGAAAAAAACTAAAGCAGAAAGTCCACTGCTCTGGGCACTTCTGTGATAATTGTACCATCTCGAGTTTAACTTGTAATTTGGAGGTCTAAGACTGGATCTGTAAAGCTCTAACAATAGCAGGTAATCTAGGCTGAACATGAGGTCAGAAATGGTGATAAACAGTCCACCTGATACTTAAGTCCTAGCCCTCAAATAGCTCTAAAAGTCCTCCAGTGTTCCCAAAACAATAGTTCTTAACCAAAAGTGGTCCTCAAAGATAGAAAAACGAACTGGGGCATCCTTGGAGCACTGAGATCAATGTCTGGGTCACACACAGGCAGACGGAGGAGACAAGGAGGCACCGAATAGAGTAAAGGGATGAGCCTAAGATCTACAGCAGAGCTGACCAGCCAATCAGAGCACAGAGGTGAGTGTGAGGAAGATGAACTGACCAATGGCAGTGGAAGTCAAAAGTTCAGCTTTGAGCAGATAGAGAAGGAGGAGGTGAATACAGATGAAGGTAGGGAAAGAATGACAAAAGAAAAAAATAGGTCAGTAAAGGAGAAATGAATCTACTAACTTTAGAGCAGAGAGTTCTCTGATGAGTCCACAGATCAGATCTGAGGCATCTTCAAGGCATTCTGAGGAATCAGACTCCTCTTTCTCCATCATCTTCTCGTCACTGAATGGAGAGAAAGTAAAACATATAAGAGGTGCTCAACCTTGTAACCTCTAAGGACATCTTCTATGTTAAAATTGTCTTCTTAAGGATCAAAGTGAAACAGGCACTGAGAACAGGAAAGAAAACAAACAATGTGACATCTGACTATACAGCATGTTCATCGGATATTTGCTTAAATAAAATACTATTTCTTGTTTACAACCTTTGAAGTGTCAGATGAGGTTTTGCTTCATATCTAATAGTGACTACAAAGCCAACACTGTCAGATTTCGTGTGGTATTTAACCTCCTTTCCTACTTTCATACATCAGAATAATGGTGTTCAGCTGCGAGTCCGACACGTAATCCAGGCATCCAGATCCAAACGGGTCAGCAGTGTCTCTGTTCTGAGTGTTCTCAGTGCTCACTGCAGGAGAACCAGCAGCAGGTTTATCATCAGGATCACACTGTGAGCAGAAAAAATGGATTAACAATTTAAAATGTACACAGTTAAACAACTGTCTAAATAATGTCAGAACACAATCACATAATCACAAGTTCAAAGAGCACAAGATAATGTTGTGAAATTATTCCTTTTGCTTAATGAGCAGTCCACAACCCGAAATCTTTAATTTGCAAAGAAATAAATAATTAAAAAGCAGCAAATCCTCACATTTGAGAGTTAAACCAGCAAATATTTGATATTTTCCTTGAATAAATAACTTAAACTGCAACACAATTAATCATCTAATTGTTTAATGGTTTTAGCACTAACTGACTACTTCTGTTGCTGGTGAATTATTAGCATCTTGTTACAAACGCTGCACAGTATTACATTGCAAATGGATGATATAATTTGCAAAACACAGTAAACTGCATAGTTGCAAGGAAAGTAACATCTGAGCAGTGACTGAAGGACACTTTAGGGCAAATTTTCCTTAACACAATGACAAAATAACCCCTAATTTTAACTAAGATATCTCAACAAAAACTCAACGAGCTGCTCTGTTATTAAGTTAGTGTCTCCACTCACGTTGTCGTTCCTCTCTGAGACACTGTGTGTCACTGCAGCCTCACGGAGCTCCACAGAGCCACAGTTTAATCCTCCTGACTGGGTTTCTGCTTCTTCAGCTCCATCACCACCCACTGCTTCACCAGTTGTCGCTTCCTTCTTCTCATCTCTTATCATGGTCACACTATTCACCTGCAGAAGGGTAGCCTCGATGGCATCCCTGTTTTCACTCTCCTCTTTTGTGGAAAAAGTGATGGCAGAACTATAGTTGACTTCAGCTGAGCCCTCCTCCTCCTCCTCTTTCCTTTGTTTTTGAGGTATTTCAGCCACAACCTCAGCAGTACTTCCCTTAAGCTCTTTCAGCTCCTTGTTCTCCAAACACTCCCCATCTTCTTTCTCTGGAAGTGGATCTGACTCTGGGTTACCAGTTTGTTCTGGACCAGGCACTGTGCCTCCTTCAGCCTCACAACTTCTTACCTCTGAGCAGCCTGGATCACACACAGAACCGGTCCCATCTGAGACAGTGGCAGCGATGAGGACTTTTGTTTCTGCGCTGTGTCAGAAAACAATATTAATGTTAAAGAAGGAGGCAGAGAATGACTTTTGCCCCTGTTACTGTAGTAAAGCATCAGTTTCACACATCTAATTTTTTGGAGTAATTTCAGTTTTTTCATATTAAATGTGACAGTTTTTACTGAAACAGTGTCACTGAATACATTAAAACTCCATCTATCACAGCAGGATGTTGTTGACTTCAAGTGAACCTATGAAAGAGAGTTGCCAGGAGGAAAATATTAACCTTCATTTGCACTTTATTTTATTAAGTCTTGAAGCTAAAACAATCTAAAATTAACTCTCAAACTTTTACAACAACTCATGTTTGTCAAACCAATAAAGATCACATAGGTAAACTTTGTTTTGAATGAGCGACACTTTAAAATTTGGTCAAGTAGACATAAAGGAAATATAAATAATGTAACAGTAGCTGCGTCACACATAACACGTCTTTCCGCTGTGCTTGTTGTCATGATAAAATACAGATGAATCTACAAAATGTATGACACGATCCTGACCTGTCATCTCCTCCGCAGTGACTGGACTGAAGCTGCAGCTCCGTCTCGCTCTGTTCTGTGATACATTCTGCTGCGATGGACACAGGTGAAGGAGGTAAAGTGGGTGAAGACTTATTCTCTGCCAGAGCCAAAGGGTGACTTGTGTTATTACAAATCTGTTTCTCAGCTCTTTCCATTCCATTCGGCCCACTTTCACGCTTCTGAGTCAGTAAAAATTGACTCCTCTCCCTCTCTGTTAGACCGCACATACCCATCCTTCGCTTCTTTTTGGCTGGTAAACCTGCTGCCGACTCCTTTGTGAGTTCCTTGACATCATTTGTGCACACAGTGCTGGGTTTGCTGTGGTCGGTTTCTTGATTTCTTTCTAAATTAGAGCTCGCCTTTGCCCCCAATTCCTTCTCCAAAGCAGCTGCACTGGATCCGTCATCCTCTTCGGTGATTGACAAGAGGAGTTGATCAGTACATGCTTGATATGTTGATCTGTTACCCTCCTCTGAAGCTTCTTCTTCCTTGTTCTTTCCACTGTGGTTAATATCAGGCTCAGTATCTACTCTAAAGCCCTCTAGATGAGAATCATTCTTGGGTTCTTTTTCTTCTTCCTGCCCTGTAACTGCCATATTTGTTAAGTAAATATTGGCTGCTTCATTTGGTGCTTCTGTGTGTTTTTTGACGATGGAGTCATCTGGTTTTGTGAGATCTGACTGTTTAGCTCCCTGATCTTGTTGATTTGTAATCATAGCACATTCATGCGGAGGTGACTGTGGCGGTGAGGAAACAACTGCTGTATTATTTCCTTCAGTGTCCTGAAATTGAAAAAAGAATTGCCTGTGAAATGTGTCAGTAAGCAATATTTTGGACATGCAGACCATCCAAAGCATCCTGTGGCAGATCATTTGTTGCACCATGCTCTCTGAAACACTTTCTTAGATGGCAAATTTTGGAGTTAGGAAAATTCAAGTGCCTGGTTACAGCCCAAACCCCCCTCCAGCAAGTCAATATCTTGTGCTTGTTTTCTCTTCTCATTTAGGATGGGCTTTTATAGTCCATAAGGAGTGTCAGTGAACAGGCCATCCTGTTTGACTACTGTCCTTTAAAGCCACACCTAGTGAGGCGTACATTTTTTCAATAGCTGGGAGTTTGCCACTAGCGGACTGGCTCAAAAACGTTTTGTGCATAGTTGGCTAAATTTAACCCTTTTCTAACCATAACAGGAAAAATAAGAACTTCAACTTATTCTCAAAGACAGAAAACAAGACTATTTGCAAGCTTGATACAATGTAAATATGAGTTCTGTGTCATACACCTACACTACCTGTTGATGGACAGTAGCTTGAACATCATCAGTCAGGGAAATGTGATCACTTGGACATTCCCTCTTTCTTGACCTGAGTGATGGAGGCTGGGGTGGAACGAAGTCCTCTTAAAACAGAGGGATCAATTTGATTATTTAAAAGGGAATCATTACAGCAGGTAAACACTTTACCTGATGCTGTTTAAGTAAACACTTAAATTACAGTAAAATGAAACTAAATTGCTAAGTTTATGAGTTGTTAAAAAAAAAAATCCTGATAATTTGCATTTAGCAGCTAAGTTAGCCCTTATTTTGTCATAATAGCATCTATTTTTTACCTCCGTTGCTGTTCTTTGCTTTCCCTTTGGCCATCTCACTTCACAAAAGAATGACAAGAAGTCAATTTAATGAAAGACAGAGCCACAGGACATGTGAGAAATGTAACCTAAAGCTACCAAAAATACTGTTTCTCATTGTTATGGTTGCATATTCATGGTTCGCTTATAGCCAACTTACTGTTTAAGACATTTATCTCAAAGCACTAGTCATTTCAAAGGGCTTTACTGGCATGAAAGTTTCAAAAAACAGCTTTGTCAAAGCACTAACATATCATCAGTCATAATATTTGGACAGTCTACAATACCAGCAAATGTTTAATAGCACATTAAATGTTTTTATTATTAGTTAGCTAACAAATTTAAGCTCAACGTACTCAAAGAAAAAGTAATGGATATGACAGGTGTGCTCAATAAACTTCCCTACTGAGATTTAATAATTGATTTATACAAATTAGAAACTTACAAACTGTGAAAAAACAATGTAATTTCATTTTTTTCCCCCCAGATATAACACACCCACCTGAACAGAGCTCTACTGGAGATATAACGTCGCCGCTTTACGTCAGTAAGGGGCGTGTTTCGTCCAGCCGTAAAGCGCGTTGCCATTGGAGACGCAATGTAGGAAGTAAATTCCACAGCTTACCGTTCTTGTTTTGATAGCTCGAAGTAATCGCTAAAACACACCTGTGTCTTTCTGTATATCTGCTCCGTGTTTCCCCCTGTTGTCTCTGAGCTTTATTCGACCTAATTAAGCGACCCGACGAGCTGTAACATCCCGGTCCGTGAAACTGTCAAGGTAAAGAGCCTCCCTGAACATTCACTAACAATTGTGTTACATATCGAACTAGCTGTAAGCTAACATGAGCTCAGAAGCTAACTCCATACAAAACAGTTAAAATCGTGTGGTTTATCACACCAAAGTGCACAAAGTGGCTGGTATTCGTGGGTGCAGGTTTCGTTTGAACATTAAGGGAAGACCCCACATTAGACAGAGGTCTGGGGGTCCTCCCCCAAGATATTCTGACTGTCTTAACACTCAATTTTCTATATTCTGGTGAATTGTTTTGCATTAATTTCTGCATTTTCTGTGTCAACTTGTAGAGGAAAAGTCTTTTTTTTTCTGTAAAGGCAAACTCACTTACCAGGTGAGCATTCAAAATAGAATTGAACATAATGCAGGGAGTGTTTAGTGTTGCTTTCCAATGTTTATTCTCTGTAGATTGACTTTTCCAGTTTATTATGATCCCTGCTCATTTGGCACGCATAAAGGAATGACTAATTCTTGTGTTCTCGTCCGTCTGTGCTTGTGCAAGTAACCTCTTTAAATGTGCAATTATACATTTATTTACTTTATTTAATGTAGAACTCCCTGTAATTGAATTGTTCATATACATTTCAGCAAGATTTTTGTTTATAACATATGCTGAAAAAAGACCCATCCCTGTCGTAAAAGTGACTTTCCAAAGAAAAAAGTCCTTTGCTTCTCTCATGTCTCTGTGAGGGAGGACGTATCCCCTGCGTCCCTGAAGCTACACCTTGGCTCGTATTGAAGTCAGTTTTGATTGAGATGCACTAGAATTGAATGCTGTCAATTACCTAACCTCACACGCCCTTCTTCTTTCTCTATTTTTCATTGGCTTGGTTATTTTAATAGGCATTGAAAGCCCATGAGTCGCAGTCGGAACCCCCCTCCTCGGGGTCAAGGGGCAGCACGGGCCAAACAGGTAATACTTGTCATATCTGATAATAAGATCTGTAATGATTTCTTCTGTTAGAATGTCAACAACAGGTATGATTCAGCAGCTTCCATCCTATCTGTCTATCTGTGTCTCAGATGGGGCTGCTCCTCGACCTGTCCCCGGATGGAGGGATGGATGACGATGGAAATGATGACGAGCTGGAGGCAGAGCTGCTTAATCTGGTGGGAGGAGGTGGAGGGGGGAGATCACAAGGGAAGAAAGGTGAAGGGCGAGGTGAGGAAGACGAGAGTCACTAATTTTCTGTTGCAGTGAACTACAGTTTTTCTCACCTATATTATATCATATTTAGTATTCTTGATAATATAGTGCTGCATGTCATTATTTGTTAATGTTTAGCTCCTGTTGCCATGGCTGAAATTGAGCGAATGGCAGCTCTCTGTATGAAAGACCTGGATGATGATGAAATGGTGGACGAAGACTTGGATGATGATGAAGATCTGCTGGTAACGCACACACACTTTTAATACCTTTTAGACATGAAACTACTATCAGATGGATTGGTTCGTTTGCAGGGAATAAATTGTCAGCTTTAGCCACGCATTTAACTGTTCTTAACTTCTCCAGTGTGAACATTTCCTGCTTTTCTTTAACATATTTAATGATATAGTGAAAATCATCAGGTTCTTAAGTTTTGGTTGGACTGGAAAGGTGACTTGAGGGGGTCGTTTTAGAGGTTTCAGAATTTGTGATAACAATATTATTGCCATTTTACAGACAAAATAATTAACTGAAACATAATTGACAGATTAAGCTATGATAAAAAAATATTTTCACTTGAAGCCCTGATTTCTTTTATTCTACATTATTGAATTGCTTTAAATGTCTGGACTTATCTCTGAACTATATATATTTTTGTCTCCATCCATAGGCAGAACTGAATGAAGTTTTGGAGGATGATGAGCAAGATACTCCTGCTCCAACGCCTCCTGCCGTCACACCGACAGCTCCTAAAAGAAGCGTCGCATCGCACCCTTCCCCTCCAGCTGCTCCCAGTGGTGCAACTGGGTTGGAGTCCCGCTTGTTGGAACGCATTGAAATGTATAAGACAGCCATATCTAATGCCAAGTCTGCAGGCGAAACAAGCAAAGTGCGAAGATATGACCGTGGATTGAAGGTAAAGTTCAGAAGAGAAGTGGGGGGAAGCACCTCATACATACCACCTCATTCTTTAAATGTTGCTTAATTATTCAAAACATACTGTGTTTTCATGACTTTGGTTTTCTCCACCTCTAGACGTTACAGTCCATGTTAACATCTGCCAAGAAAGGAAAGCCAGTCAATGAGGAGGAGATGCCTCCCCCTGTTGCTCTCGGAGGAAAGTCAAACGTCACAGCCGAGTCTGAACCAGTTAAGGAACGAGAACTGCCAGAGCTGATCCCCTCCCCTCCCACCAACCAGAAACCTCTGAGGGAGGCGGCGGCAGCAGCTCCGAACACTAAGCCACAGCATCTGACTCCACCCCAAAAACCTGCTGCTGCAATCACCCCAGAAACGCCTGCTATCTCTCCCCTCACCCCCAGCCAGCCTGATGGACAGCACTCAGGTGAACTCACGGATGATGAAACAGAATTTACTTCTCTGGACTGTGTACCAGATCCATAAAAGTAAAGATATGGTGATAGTGATCCGCTCTAAGAAACACCATAAATTCATTTCATCAGATGGAGTCATAAATTTCGTCAGATTATCACTTGTTACTCACAGATTTTTTTATTTTTATTGATCAGGTTATTTATTCCGTTAGAAAAAATTGCTCAAAAGATTAGTTGAATAATACATGAGTTGATTAATTGTCCTCTTTTCTCCCCTACATGGAAGCTGGAATTTACAGTTGTTGTCTTTTCTATATTCGAATGAATGCATTGTAGGGCTTCGAACTGCTGATTACATAACAAATTTTATACGTTTCTGTTAATGTTTGTAATTAACAAGCATGTGTATTTTGCAGTATACAAACAAACTTAATAATTCATTAAGTGGATGTTTGACAACAAATATCATTAATGCACAAACAGTCGCATTCAAATGTCTCTGCCAAAAGTCACATCCCTAAATGTCAAAGTTATTTGTTGTTTTGTTTTCTATTTTTGACACACAAACAAACCCGCATTATGTCGTCTCTTCTTTCAGAGCTGAAACAAGCAGTGATGTCCAGACAGAGGGAGTATAAGATGGCTGCCATACACGCCAAACAGAGCGGTGACATTATGCAGGCCAAACAGCACTACCTCATTGCCAAGGTAACGCAACTGATGTCAGTTTGATCCCTCAATAAATCTGATTGAGTATAGTTCTTGTGTAACATTTGTCAAAGAAAGTCTCTTCTAATAATGTTGTCCTCCATTTATGTAGAAGCTCGACGGGCTGCTGGAGGCGCTGGACCGAGATGAACCAGTACACCTGAGCTCACTTCCTCCTCCTCCTGGTCAGTGTAACTGTGTTAAAGGAATGCTGTACCTTAAGTTTTTGACATTTACTCCCACACTGAGTGGAATCAATTTACTTTAACCCTATGAACTCCAACCACCACCATTTTCACTGTAATATAAAGTCCTGTACCTCCGTGGAAACAGCACAACCATGGGTAGACGTAAAGAGAACTCAAAAATGTCTTCTATGTGGTATGACATATATAAAGCCATTAATCATTAAAAAAAGAAAAAACAACAGGTGATTTCTTGATTATTTAATGTTAAAAACCTGGACTAATATGTACAACATTTTTCCAAGTGCCCACAGTTGTTATCAATACTGAAAAAATGCTGGCTCTACGTACTAGAGATATTTTACTATTTACATTTCTTTTTTTTTTCCAACTTGTTTTCTGTCTGCTCTGTGTGAGCATGGCCTGCACGGTCCAGCTGAAATATCCTGGAATTTATTCAAACCTGCCAGTTGGGTTTGGGATGAAGGGCCGATTTATAAACCAAATGCCCATAAATTCAAATGACCCAACGTCATTAAGACATTAAATGCTTATCAAGCTATTCTGACCCAGTGTAATCCAGATCTTGTTATTCCAGTTGTGTGTCCAAACACATCTTTACTACAACAGGAATGTTGCTTGATAATCACGCCACACACTGGTTCCACAGGTATCTTAGACTGAGTCCTGCTCAGTTGTGGCTCATTCTCTTACTGGCCTTATCTTTTGCCAGTGCAGCTAAATTGTATTCAGAGATTATGAAACTGTACAAGACAGACATTTGCACACAGGCAAAGAATAACTAAGAGTAGCAAACACATAATCTTTAAACTCACTTCCACTCCTATTCTTTCTCTTATTGTTTCATTAACTTTATCTCTTCTATGCAGTCTCTCTTTGCCTATTACCGTTAACCTGTGTATCCGATGATATATGACATTCTCGACACCACAAATCAGCACTGTACTACACTACTTGTTCATACTATTAACCACTGTATTGTACTAAACAAATAACTTGATTTGGATGGTCACGCTTAAACTGACTCCATGAAAATTTGTGTGATGCGGGCAAACTGCACTGATCTGCTTGGACCATAATACTTGAACACATTTTGTTACTCCAGCACAGATATGCCGATTTTAATGCAGATTTGACAGTCTTGCATGTGCGTGATTCCTTCTCCAACTCTAACTAGATTACAGACTGCCCTTAAAGTTATTTATTTCTGTTTAACCTCCAACGTGATACTGACAATGAAGTCTTTTGGTCCTGAAATATCTGGGAGTTTGACAGTGGCCTGAACAACTGGCAAAATATGAGGATAAAAACAGGTTCCTTGATTGTAGATAATCATCATGCAATCAGGCTCATCAGTACATCAGAAGTACATAAGAGCTGCAACAGTACGTAACCACTCGTCTTACATTTAAAGCTACTGTTTATCAGACCAGGGCAAATACATACTGAACTTGGAAAGACTTCCCACTAGAACCTTGCACCATAAATAGGATGAATTATAAAAAGTAAGTCTCTTCCAATGGGGTGACTTTAAACAGGTGATGTTTTTAGAGACATATGCATTTGTTTCTGACTAAATAATAAGGTTGTAACAGTAAACTATGTCCACCCTTGCGCTGCTGTCTGATCACCTGCAGGAGAAGTAGTAGCAGAGCATCGTGCACCTCCTCCTCAGTCCTCATCCAAATCTGCTGCTCCTGCGGCTCCTGCACCCAACCAAGTCGCCGCTGCTGGTAAGACTTCAGAAGCCCTGATCCTTCCTTTGCACTAGTTAGTATAGTACAAGTGATTTTTTTTTTTTTTTTAAAGTGAAGTATGTGTCTGCTGTCTCTTTGCAAAGACCTGCCTGCTCCCACCAGTTTGGCAGAAGCCCTGCAGCAGCGGATGGACATATACAAGTCGGCAGCAGAGGGAGCCAAGAGCAAAGGAGATGATCGCAAGGCTCGCATGCACCAGCGGATTGTGAAGGTGCACACCATAACCTTAAAATATTGTGCAGATGGTTTTCAAAGTGCTCTTTTTTTTCCCAAAATACCTCATACTTAGTGACTCTAAACCAAAAATACAACTATTTGTCATGCACATTCCTGGCACTGTGCTGCAGTTTGGCTCTGTTTGTCTTATTTCCCTGAATAACTGGTATGACTCATTTTATTTTGACTTGGAAGTATCCTCTGTTTCTTGACTGTAACTGTTACTATTGCTCATTTGACCTACTGCAGTAACCTACATTACAGTCTGTGTTGCTCCCTCAGGATTGTTAAAAGACATTGTGAGAAAGATTTTAAGTCGATCTAACCAACACGACCACAATATACAGGAAAATGCATGTATAAATTGTTTTTTGTTGCAGTGAAAACATGTTGATGACTTTGATTTCCATGTGGGAGTTACGCTTTTGTATTATCTCTGGGTTTTGTTTGTTCGTTTAATCTTTGTCTGCAGGACAGCCACTTTGTGTTTGTGTCTGAGTGCAAATGAATAACTGGGGAGGCCGCATGCTTGCAAATAACCTATGATTTCTTCTGATTTACAAAGCAGAAGTTTATATTTCAGAATATATTTTGCAGGTCTTGCAAAAGAAGAAAATCACATATAAAAGTGTAAGAATGTCTGAGGATGTAAAACTGAAAACAGAATTATCAATAATTTCCTCTTTTTTTTTACCACAGCAATACCAGGATGCCATCAGAGCTCACAAAGCCGGCCGACCTGTCAGCCTGTCTGATCTCCCTGTGCCACCAGGTAACATTTGAATCGAGGTATGTGTCGGGATTTTGCTTCTAGGACGATGGTTTCACGTGTGTGTTGCTCTTCTAGGCTGTCCGCCACTTCAGGGCTCAGAGGGGGGTCAGCAGAACTTCATGGGTGTCCTGGAAACGGCCATGAAAATAGCAAATCAGGATGCAGACGCAGAAGATGAAGACGAGGATGGACAAAGAGAGGCTGCCAAGGTAAGAACAAATAATAAAAGCAGTGCCAAATGGTCAGATTGTTTCTCTGCAGCCAAAAAAAAAAAAAGAACTGATTGCCTTTGGACCAAACTAAAAAATCCTTTATTATCTGCCACCAGCCTCTGCAGCTTCTGTGGCAGGTTGTTTAGTCAGTTCCATTTTCTGCACTGCACCTCTTTCCAATTGTAATTAAGTAAATTAATGAGGTAGCCATGTAAGCCATTTAAATATATTAAAAACGTAGCTGTTAAGTTAGTTTGAAATGTTAAATCCAACTGATGGATTTCTCAAGCTGCACCTGCGTGACTGGACAATATTGTACCTTGAAATCTGTCCGTATGTTCATTCCATTTGCCATTTTCCATCTTCTGCAGCCTGCGGTGCGTCCACCTGTCCAGAAAGCAAAGTCTCCGGCTCCTCAGGCCCCCGGAGGCTCCTCGGCTCCAAAACTGGGACCTAAAGGTGCATTCGCCGTGTGGGTTTCTCTGAGAAGGGGAATGCACGTACACACTAGCCTGCCTACACATACCAAATGTGTCATACAAACAGTTTGAGTGTTACACAAGACATACTTTTACTTCTTTTTCTCTTAATTATCTTTGTAGCCCAGCAGCAAGTGGATTTCCTGTTGCTAAGGCGACAGGCTTTTTTGCGTGCAGCGCTGCGCTCTAAGCAGATGAAGGTAAGCTGTGGAGTTTTTTTTTTCTTTTTTTCCACTTCTTTCTTTTTTTGTTTGCTGTAGATTGGTTCCCTGCCATCTTTTTATTTTTTGTGGATGTTTTCAAGCACAGCTGTTTTGTTCGAATCTTGAATGTGTTTCATTAATGCATCTGTTGCTGCTCCGTTGTTTTGTAGGACATGACGGGAGCAGCGCAGCACCTCAGACACGCCAAGGGACTGGACCCCATGATCTCTGCTGCCAAGTCTGGCCTACCTGTTGATATCACCAAGGTTATAGAAATCTTTTCTTGTGCAAATCAGTGATGTGCAGATGCTTGTATATGTGTGTGTTGAGCAGGTTGTCACAGCTGCACCTGAATGTGTGAGGTGTGTTAACAGAAAATGTGACTGAAATAGAAGTCGATGAAGAAACATGGGGTGAAATAAACACCTGGTCTCACCCTCTGTGTGTTCATGTCTGTACTTGTGCGCGTGCTTATTTTCAGCTTCATTTCGCTGTTTTTATTTCATACGAATGCCACTTATCCCATATGATTTTCATTCACTTTGCCTCACTTTTGTTTAACTTTGCTTACATAACTCATTTATTTCTCTATGACTCAGTCCCGCAGTGTAATTACCAAGAATATTATGCCTGTGCCTCTGTTATTTTGTCTTATTGTCTGTCAGCAGGATATCACACAAGCGTGGAAACAGATATTCATTTCTAGACTGACAGATTGGAAACAGAGTGATTAGATTTTGGCGCGAGCTCGATCAGGGGTTTTAAAAACTGTGTTGTAAATCAATTCAACTTTTAATTGAATTCATACTCGTTCTCTGAGTGCCCACTTGTTTTTCACCTTAGTTTAGAGAGAACATTTCTCCTTTTCCCTGTGCGTGCTCTTTGTTTCTCACCACGTTCTTCTTCCCAACAGATTCCAAGCACTCCAGTAGGCGAGGAGGATTACTCCCTGTCTCGCTCCCGCACCTCTCCTGTCTCCCCTCGCTCCAGCGAGCAGTACCGTGGCCTCATGGATCTTTTACGAAAGCAGCACGAGGTTAAACCACACCTTTCCCTTCCCTTTTTGAAGTACATTTTACCTTAAAGTGCACCTCCAAAATTTCTGTGTATCAGTGACCAGCTTACATCCTGGTGTTATTATGATGTTCTTGGCTTTAAAGATTGCTCATCACTTTCCTGGTCATGCAGCTTTTTAAACAGAAAAGCTTCAAATTGTATATATTATTGTCCTCGTCTTATGTATGTTTTCTTACCCACACCCTCCTTTATTTTGTATCTGAATCAACAGAAATGTCTGAGCTGCTCTCAACAGTTCACACAACTGGGCAGCGTGGCTGAAGCTTTAAAGTAAGACATGTTTTTATTTGCCTGTTTGCTCATATATATTTCATTTGTTATTGGTTATTTGCCGCCATGATGGAATTAAAAACCTGCTCATTTCTTTAACTGTAACTCAAGTCACAGTATTGTTGTTTTTCTTGCCACGAAAAGATCATAGGTTCAAAATATTACAGCTTCTAGATCTGCTAACTGATTGCTAAATTTGCAAAATGATGGACTAAATGTCAGTCAAAAGCCCAAAGACATGTTGTCACCCATTAAATTAATATATTATTTAATTAACTGTTTATTTTCCATAGAGTACCTCATTAGCATACTGTATGTGGCGAACCTTTCATGTCACACTGAATATTTTGCATGTTTTCCTCACAGATATTTTTTTCGCAAATTTGCACATACATATGACTGTAACACGTTACCTTTTGTCATCATCCCTGAAGAGTCTGTACTGCTTTTTCTTCACTTGTGCTTTGAAAAATAATAGTGCCTATACAAGAAAGATTTCATTTTTTTATTGATGATGCCTGTAATTTTCTTGTTTAGTCCTCATGTTAAAAATGAAGTAATACGTGTGTTTGTTTTACTCAAGAGTGAACAAGCAGTTAGCTGTCTGTTCAGGGATCAGATTGTGGTATTTCAGGAATCCGACCATCCTGTGAGACCACGATGTGAGTCGTGTTGTGTTTCAGCTCCATCTCTGCCTCTCCAAAGGTTTGAGAAACTAATTGAAGAGTGCATGAAGAGCATAGACATCCTGAAGAATGCCCACGCCAAGGGTCACCCGGTTCCCAAGTGCCGCACAGAGGAGAGGACCTTCAACTCTGTCAAGTCAGCAGCAACCTCACAGAATATAGTTTTCAATTCATAACAGATATTATATAATAGTATATTTGAAGGCAATGTCAGTCAGTTGGTGTGTCAGCTTTACACTTTGGTGCAGACTAAAATATCCCTGTTGGATGGATTGCCTTCACTTTTTTTTTTTTTTTTTCAAACATTTTTCCCTGAGGATGAATCATACTTTGGTGATCTCCTGACTTTTCCTCTGGCATCACCCACAGGCTGACATTTATGGCTGTTAGTGAAATATTTTGACAGTTGTTGGATGATGGTAAAGCCATTATCAGGTCAGAGAGCACTGACAGCTGTTTTAGTTTATTTCACTGTAAAATGTTGGACTCAGTTCATAACTCAGATATTCTTAGATATTTTGGGTACCTTTCAAGATGATAGGCAACTACATTTTTAAAAACTTTGCAAATATCAACACATTAAGTGTAAAACCCTCTGGATTCCAAGCTGTTTCTTGGCATTTTTTGTGCCTGTCAAGAGCTCATTTTTCACTGCAGTATAAAATCCTGCACCTCTATAAAAACAGCACAGCTTAAAATACTTTTTATTCAGTGTTACACAGGTAAAACAATCATAAATCATAAAAAAGAAAAAAAAATATCAGTTGCATTTCTTTGATTATTTATTTTACAAAAATTGAAAAAAAATAAGAGAATCCACATGTACAACATTTTCCAAGTGCTCACATGTGTTAGCAATACTGAAAGACAGTAGTGGCTCTACATGCTGTAATTATTTCACAACTTACATTTTCCATCCTTCTCTCCTATCAACTCTGTGTGAACACAGCCTGCAGATAACCCAGTTCAGTCAAATAGTCACTGGATTTTTATTATTTGACTGTTGGTCACAGCTGAGACATTAATAGCTTATCTGTTCTATCATGGCACTCAGAATTTTTAGTTTTCTACAGAATCAGATTAGTGCAAACGACCTATTTTTGATGCTCTTTTAAATTAGACACATAGAATACAGCAGCCTTCCTGAAATATTATGGTTTTAAGGTTAAGTTGGTCAATTTTGCCAATGGAGTGGCACAACATATGATTAGTTCATGGAAAATTGATTCATTCTCGTTTTTACAATTTCTGACAGTGACAAGCAGCTTTTTTAAGACAACATGATTTTCAAACCTGCCAGTGGGTTTTGGGGTTCAGAAGGTTGCATCTTGCTTTAGTGTAATCAGCAGCAGGGTGTTTAGCACATGATGGAATCTATTCATTCAGAGGATTCCTACAATATAGTAAATGAAACTTTTTTTAGCAGTCTTCTGGTAATATGTCTGCCCACCCCAACATAGAAAACCCATCCATCAGTCACCGTACCATTGGTCCGTTAGACCGTCCGCTTTATTGTGATTTAAAACAATGTTTATCAGACTCTGTGAAGCTTGTCCTTTAGATTTAATTCTCTAAACATGCATCAGTTATTTAATTCTGAAAACAAATTACAGCGACATAAAAAGGATTGCTTTACCCGACTGGAGTGGTAGATGAGTCAGAGTGACTCACTCTGGCTCTGCTCCAGTATCATATCAAGCTAACAGCTAGGTGACTCTGGCAGTGACTCACTCCACAGTTTGAGTTGTTTAGCTCCCAGTGATGCTGTCTGTCACCTGTAATGCCGGTTCTGAACGGTCATCAGTCCTGTTTTTTTGCTCCGTAGGATCTACCAGAACCTGACACTTAATGACCTGGTGCTGTACATCATCCGAGGCATCAACCTGCCGGCTCCCTCAGGTACTGAAGGCTTCTGCATCTTCAAAAGTGCCCGGCAGTAATCCGTCACATCTGTGTGCACTCACACCTACTGCTTTCATTACAGGTGTCTCACCTAATGATCTGGATGCCAGTGTGAAGTTTGAGTTTCCTTTTCCTAGCGCGGTAAGAATCTTGCAGTGATTGCAGATGTTTCCCTCTTTGGATATATAGGTATGTTTTAATGAATTCATTATGTGTGTGTATGTGTGTGAGTAGGAGGAGGCTCAGAGGGACAAAACCAGCACAGTGAAGAGCACCAACAGTCCAGAGTTTAAAGAGCAGTTCAAACTCAACATCAACCGGGGCCACAGAGGCTTTAAACGAGTTGTCCAATCCAAAGGCATCAAGTTTGAGATCACACACAAAGGGTAAAACACGGCTGCAACATAAGGCACATCCATGTTTCCATGTTTATCCACATGGTGTACTTCTACAATGTAGTAATTTGTCACGAGCGATATTTCATGATCATGTGTAACATTTCATATTTATTTGCAACATTCTGATCACATTTGCAATATTTCCGTTTCATGCACAACATTGTCAGTGTAATATACAATGTTTCATTTTCAATTTCATCTCATTTTTCAGGTTCAATATTTCATTATCGTGTGTTTTGCCAGCATTACTTTTTACTTATCTATTGTAGCCATATTTTGGCTTTCTTGTGTCATTTTAGTAATGTATTGAACTTAAATCTCATTGCTTTTCTACTTTTTCGGCACTGCACTATATGTGACACAAGAATTTCCTAATTTTCCTAAACTTAGCTTAGCTTAAATTAACTTGCGCTGTAACTGTCGTGTCTGTATGTGTTCACAGAGGCCTGTTTAAGACAGACAAGGTAGTGGGCACTGCTCAGCTGAAGCTAGAGGCTCTGGAAAACCACTGTGACTTTAGAGAGATCATAGAGGTGAGTGCTCATCAGATGTAATGCATATACTCGCATATGCAGCACATCTTTAGAACAGTGCACGTGTTTTTTGTAGGTGATGGATGGACGTAAAGCTACAGGTGGCAAGTTGGAGGTGAGAGTAAAGATCAGAGAGCCGCTGTCAGGAGTCGATCTGCAGCCGATGACTGAGAAGTGGTTGGTTCTTGAGCCGGTCTCGCCGCTTTCGCCTCCGGAGAGACAAAAGGAAAGAGTGAGTAGAGTTATCGATTATCCTGACCTGCATTTGTTTTTGAGCACTGTTAGAACTTAGAATGTCATCAGAAAACTCCAGGTCACTACATAGATCCTTATAGTGTGAAGTCAACTGTGCAAAACACAGAGCCAACATGCTATCTCGAAAATTGGAAAGTCGTGTGTGTCAGAACACAAGTTTCAAGGAGTTTTAGAGACAAAGTGCTTGTTGGATCAGAAAAACAGTGCCTGAAACCACATCCATCTTGGAACTGACAACAAAAATATACCCACCTCACCCACCGGTTGGCCAGATGTGCAGAGGCTTGAAAGTGGACAAGATTTGAACTTCTCCCTTAAATTCTCCTTTGCCAGGTGGTAGTAGTCTAATCTCTTGGCACATAATCAATTGGCAGACATTTGTATTCACGCAGCTACATTTCTTATTAGTTCAGCTTGGAGTAACACCGTGAATGCCTTTTGAAGAAAGATGGAACGCGTACATCTCTATCCAAATGACATTCAAGTCTTTCTATATGAATTTCCTTCCTTTTATCTCTTTACTGACTAAAGTAAAGGGAAAGGTTGATTTATTAGTGAAAACACAATGTGACAACACTCAATAGAAAAAGGCTTAGCGAATGAATCAGTGACAAATGTGAATCATCTTGCTTGAAGAGAATATATTTATACTATTTCTTGTCATAGATATAATGCTACAATATCAGATATTTATATTAAATTTGGCCAAAGTTTCAAAAAATTAGTATGGCTGGAGCATATGGGTTTGTAAAAGTAATCCTGGAAGACAAAAGCTCAACCTTCATACAGATCTAAATACATGGTTTTCAACATTTTTTTGACTTTTGCGACAAGCTGACATCAGCTCATCACAGATTTCTGTATAGTCATCTGCTCCAGGCACAAACTACAGTCTGCTTAGTAATTTTATGCAGTACGTGAGCCTGCTTGATTGGTATTATAGGCTTTCAATCTACTCCACCACTCAAATAACTAATGGTGCAGAGAGATATTTTCGAATTGTTTGTTGACAACAGAATATTAAAGCTGTGCTATCTTTGTTTGAAATTTTCACACCAGCAAAAAGATGAGGTGGTGCTTATACCAATCAGAAAAAAAACTTGTTTAAGAAAAACATTGAGCGAGAAATGAGAATATGTCCTGTTTAAACATCATTCCTCCAATGAATACATGATCATTTGTGTTTATTACAAACAATACACATTTAAATCCTATATTTCCAGCAGATTTTCATTTCACCTCATTTACTTACATCAGCTTGATATGCCCATATCTTCTGACCTGACTTGAGAATGAGGATCACCAACAGTTTATCATGATGAACCAATTTCTAGCATTCCCATAATGGCAGTGCACTTGCTTCCTCATTGTCTGTTACTGACTTTCTGCAAGTTGTTTAGAATATGCGCTCCGTTTGGATGGAAACTTGACGTGGGACAGCAGATGTGTTAGGAATATAAACTTGCTGGTTTTGAGCTTAAACCAGCCTTTTAACCAGGATGATTTGGCGTCATCCTGCAGCTCCTTTGCGCAGCTTATAAATGAAGGTGTTACAAAAGCTAGCACCATCGACTTCACTGCATTTACATGCACTTAGCTAAACGAATTACTGGAAGAAACCTGGTTACGGAAGGAATCAGATAACACATCAACATGCACTGCAGTAACCTGGTTACACAAAAACCAGAGTACACAAGTCGATTGTCCCATACACCTGTGTAAAGCAAAATCTAGTTGGAAGCCCTTTCCCTCCCTTTCCATGCATTTTGTTGTCTTTGTTGACAATTCACCTGCAAATAAAGGCATTAGCTGTTTCATTCATCATGAAATTTATCTTTGAATACGATCCACTTTTCAGCATGTTTAGAATTGTTTCCTCCAGAGACAACTTCTTGGGTTTCTCCATGCACATGTACACGTTAACATCTCTTATGGTTATGCGTATACATGACAAAGAAATCTGTATGTGTCATGCGATATCTACTTGGGCATGTGACGTAACTCTAACCTCCTACCTTAATTACAGAAACCAGGTTCCTCATTGTTAGTAAAATATCAGTGCACACTGGCTTTTTAAAAATTTTCTATTGTTTTTCTAAAGATCTGACCTATGTATTAGTGTTATTGCACAGCCTGGAGAACAGTCACTTTTCATGTGACACATAAAAAACTCTTCAGTCTTGAATCAGCTGACTGGGCGGCACACCTCAGCAGGAAGTCCCAGTACAAATCCCAGCCGGTCAGGCATGTACTACATATCACTCACCTGCTATCTCTTCTTATATGTCGTGTCTCGCTTCACTTTCCTTATCTGTAAAGGCACAAATTGCCCAAAACAAATATTTAAAAAGAAATCAGCTAACTGTAACCAACTGGAACCTGGTTACTGAAGAGCATGTAGCTTATGGATTAATAGTGCCAGTGCAGTGAAGAATCTGTCTGTTTGTTTGTTTGAATCAGGCTCCATCTCCTCGCTCTAAACCCAGACAAGAAGCGAGCAGCAGGAGCAGTCACCCCAACAACTCTCCTCCACAGTACAAACTCCACAGCTTCAGCCTCCTCAACTATGACAAGGAGCGGCTGGAAAGAAAGGTGAGTCCTGCATGTTTGTGTGGTCTTGGCCTGTCAACAACATCCATTTCTGTAATGTTTGTAACAGCCCAAAGGTGTGAAGGTCTCGTCACTCATCGCGCTTCTCTCTCAGTTGGCAGAGTACCGAAAGAACCGGCGGGATCCTCCGCCTGACCTCATCCATCAATACAAAGAGGTCACACACAGACTGCAGTGGCAGAAAGCACAGCTGGAACGAGGCTCCCCTGCTCTGCTCACAGGTAACACAAACAGAGAATATACATGAGTGACTACATTAGGGGTCGACTGACTATCAGGGCCAATGTGCTGCGTTTTTAAAATTTTCAGTCTCGTTATTTTTACTAACCGATTACCAAAAAACACATTAAATGCGCTGCTTTGGCTCTGATGCAGCCGTCCATGACTGTCATGAGTAGCAGCCGATCAGTACTGAAAGCTACTGAATACAGACGAGTGTATTTGCAAAATGGAGCAGCTCCAGTAAATTAGCTGTGTTACGAGGACATGAGGGTGCTTAAAAAAGTTCTTAGCCTCACCTGGAAACAAGGCGCATAACTCCCATTTTAGGACATAACTGTATACTATAAAGCCTTACAGCACTCTCATTTACTTCCAACCTTGACACCAGACCAGAAATTGAAGAAAATGGAAATTTCAAGGAAACTTTCAGCTCACTTTCAGGCCAATCCAGCAAATTTCCCCATGAGATTTATGACCCAGGATGAGACATGGGTTCAACACTTTGATCCTGAATCAAAGCAAACAATGGAAACACGTCTCCCAAGAAGTTGAGGCATCTGTCGGCAAGGTGATGGCTTCTGTGTTTTGGTGCGAAAAGGAAGGAAGTCATGTGTGCTGTTGAGGTACGTTAGAACCAAGTGCATTGAAGTTAAAGGAGGCTATGTTGAAAAATAATGCAAAACCAGTCTTTCTCCTTTGACATTTTCTGGTGAAGCCAAGAACTTTCCGAAGTACCCTTGTAACAGCAGATACTGCTGAAGCTGTAAGAAACACCACAATCGTACACAAGCACAGCCAGTTTCCCAGTAATGCTGAAAATGCCAAAGTCATTCACTTGTTGGTGTCAATGCATCTTATTTCACTCACAGCGCTATGCTAAGGTTCTCACTTAAAGGTTTGATCTCAGGTCTGTGGCTAATGCTATCTGGAGTTCCTGTAACATGAGCACCGTGTTTCCACTGTTAACTGGAAAGACGTGTTAGTGATGCAACTTGTCATCTGATGTCTTCTGAAACTCAGCTGCATGAGGTGCTTTCCTTCTTAATTTAAACAATGTAGGTGATCCATTTTTCAAATCATGTATCTGATTTATTTATTTATTTCGTTACTGGTCTTAAGGAAGACTAGTAATTTGCTGTAGCTGATGGACTCGTCTCTCTACCTACAGAAACTGAATAAGAAGCGCAACCGTCAAGTCATTTACAGTGACTAAGGCTACACTAACAGCTAGGACTAAGTTAAGGCAGCCACAGATTACCCCGAAACAGTGTCTGGACAATAAGATTAGGGTCTTAGTGGGCAATAAAAGTGATAAAACAGCGAAATATTGACTAAACAGAAGAGTAGCGGATGTAATTGGAGGAAAAGAGGAGACAAACTGTTCAGTCTCAGTTAATCGATCTCAACCAGAGGAGAGCATCCCAGTGTCACGTGACGCTCTGACATCATCATTCCTGTTTATATTGTGCATATTCAGTCATAGTAATCATTATTAATGAAGCAATCTAGTTACAAATGACGGGTTCCCTGCTCTGACATGCTGTTAATATCAAACGTTTAATGTGTATTGGTTCCAGATATCAGCTATCAGTCTTTCTTGATGAGAAATATTTAAAATTGGCCGTTAAAAAGCCATATCAGCCGATCTCTGGTTTACGTTATATAATTATCCTGTATGTCTCAAGCCTTAAAGCATGTAACCGACATTTCCCTCCACCACCTGTGCAGAGTATGAAAATGTGCTGCAGCGGTTCGTCCAAGGGCTTTCTGAGTCTGTGAAAAAATACTCCAGCCAAGGCAACAGGGTGAGTCTAGAGTCAGGGCTGACTGATGAATATAGACTATTGAATGCAAACACTTGTGTGTTTGTGTTTGTGTGTATCTTATTGTGAAAGGTTGTCACCCTCTTTGTATAGGAGGCTGCAAAGGATGCACTGGGCAGGCTGAAGATGGTAGAGAGTGAGGTAAGGGTGACTATGAATAGCAGCAGTCAATATAAAACAGTTGTGTAATCTTAGCGTGAATAAAAAAATACAGACTATAATATGTCTACACTTGTTTTCTCTGCTTTAGCTGGAGTCGCTGAAAAGGAAACGCAGTGGATGAGAGGAGAATAAGGAAGTTTGAGACTTGGCTGGAGCACTGTTATCTCTCTCTCTCTCTGTCTCTCTCTAATACACACTCATATACAAACACTACAGTGGAACAGCATTCACCTTCAGCATGATTCTGTCCTGCAAAATGTCCAAGACAACTGCATGAACCAGCCAACTAAATCCGTCAGTCGCTCTTATAACTTGTGTCACATGTGGTCAGTCACCTGCCACAATACGTAAACAAACAACTGTAAGGGACGCAGAAATTCAAGAAAGCATTCAAATGTATAAAGAGCTAAGGGAGATGTAGATTTATTTGCACTTAAACAAATCAGACACTACAGAAAAGTGCTTCTAAAGTACGGCTTTCCGGACTTTACATGTGTTCTGTTAATGGTTTTCTTGATTCCCAACTTCCTTTGAGAAGTGTTGGTGAAGGTATCGTCAATGTTTTACATTTTACACCAGCTGACAGTCTTTTGGTGTCCAAAGATGACCAAAAAAATGTGTGTGTGCATGTGTGTGCGCGCTCTGAGGTGTATTTAACCAGCGGACTGAGGTGTTTTTAACCCTTTTTCCCGTATTTTATGTGTGTAATGAGCTTAATCTAATCTGTCTGCTCCAGTGTTCCCAGATTACAGTAATCTGCTCCGTTTGGAGTGCTGTGATATGGGAATAAAAAAAAAGGGGGCTTCAGGGTGTCGCAGCCTACATCCCATAATGAGGGATTAGTGTTTATGTCGCCAAGGAGACGACTAGATCAGACGTAGAGTCGCCTTTGGGGGCTGGGAAGAGGTGGTGTTAATAGCGTGCCATGAATGTGGTAGAAGCTTAGCTTTGCTGAGGGATTGCTGCTCCTTCTTCTTCATCAGCTGTTTTCTCTTTGTTGTTTTCCTCATCTTCACTTTCGTCATACTAATTCCTCTGCAGAGATTATTCAGACTGTCTAGTAATAGGTCGTCCCACTCGGAATTTATTTTAACTCCTAAACAATATTAAGTCCATTGTGCTGTCGATTAGAAAATAATTAACAGCTGCTGCGTCAGTGTGCTGCTTTTTTTTTTTTTTTTTTCTCTCCACAGAGTTTGGTGAACTCACTTTCACAAAAACAGACTCTGTCCCGCTGAGCTCTCCAGTAGCAGCACAGTGGAGGCTGAAAAGTCTGCCCACAGGATGGCAACCCAATATGTGTCAGTATGGCGAGGTAATTGCTCATTTCTATTTCTGTTCCCCCACAGACGTCCCTGTCATAGTCTTCCTCTCTACATTACACACTACTGAATGAAGTCAAGGGGACAAAATAGAGACACAACCAGTGAAACTTCACAACATGTAGTTTCCAGCTGACAAACACACAGGAATTAATCATTTGCCACAACAACACTTAACGTGACTAAAGCATCACACTGCCACCATGCATTCTGTGCTCTAGTTAACGCCGTAGACAGATGTTTCCTCTGTGTGCTCGACAACCTGACAGCACATTCTGTGGGATCCACGTCGATTGCATCCAGCAGGGATGAGCAGACTACTTTAAATGAGCCTTACTGTATGTTTTAATTCTTCGGTGTTGATGATTTCTCCACTAATAGTTTTTTTGGTCACGTGACACACGAGATAATCGCGTGTTCGCATTAATCCACCCGCTGCCTCACTCCATTAGCAAATAATCCTGGTTAAAGTTGGCCCTCCATCGTCTGTGGTGATTTTATGTGACGCTCCTTCCCCCACTTTCTTTTTTTTTTTTTTTTTCTAAATCAAGAGAGGATATCTTCTGAGTCTTTGTACATATTTTGGTCCTTCTGGTCACCTGATATTTTTGGTGGAAGGACAGATAGATAAACGTCTGCTTTCTATGGCATTGAAACTTTTTAGGTTTAACACAGTTAAAGGACTACAGCAATCTACTTGCAAACTTTATCGAAGGGATTTCAATGCAACACAATTTCAGATCTTTGGATGTACTTTTCTGGTTTACATTAATTTCCATGTCACTTTCCAGACTCTTCAAACTTTGAGTTTGAGCCAAACAAATCTCCATTAATGTTTGTCATCGTGGCGCATTTTATGCAGTGGTGCAGTTTAAATACAGATTTATTTGAAAAGCTCTGCATTAAGAAAGATTTAAATAATGTAACTTTGACGAACAGTAATGGTGACTCAGTGGATTACACAGCTTAAGCAATTTTCAAGGGTCCGCTAATGGTTTTCATATTGCACAGAAGTGAATGTAGCCCAAAGGCTGCCTGAAATTGTACAAAAAAAAAAAAACTGAGGCAGCAACTGATTACTGAGTAATCCTCCAATTATTTTCTGTTTAATGCAACACAGTTTTCTAAAACCCAAAGCAAGCTCTCCAGATTTGTTTGTTTTGTCCAGCCAACAGTCTAAAACCCTGAGATATTCAGTTTACTCTCCCACAAGTCGATATGCTCGCAGTTTAACGGCTGAAACGAACAAAACATTTGGTGTTTTGCTTGAAAAACAACCTAAATTAATATATAAATCATGCCAGATGTTTTTAAAAAAAAACTAAACTACACACAGCACCAGAAAGACTAACTGTAATGGAAAGTGAGTCTGAGTTGGGCTAAAAAATGTGCAAAACCACTGGCATGGTCAAGGGAAAAAAAAATGGTGATAGTGTAGCTCTGATGTGACTCTGTGTAGCAGCTGCACGTTTTAGCCCAAACAAAAAGGGCATCTGCGCAGCACCCCCTTTTTTTTTCGTCGCCCCAAACACACAAACACACTCCTGCCACATCACCCCACTCCTCAAATAACCTCGTGGCCTCTGAGGCTGTCCTGTTGTCGTGGCAACAAGCTCATCAGCATTCAGTGTGGTAGCTGGATGGTCAGGACCCGGCAGAGGGACATATTGTTAAAGTTTGTCCTGCTGGTGACTCACACTCCTTTCTCGCATATAAAACACACACACACACACACACACTCCTTCTCACTCTTTCTGTTTTTAAATTTTTCTGTCTCTTCTCCTCATGTGTTGTTATTGATCTGAACTGGTGGATTGTTTATCATTGTTGTTCATACCATCCTCCTGATCAGCTGGAGTACATGTATTCATCTATTGTTGACTTTTTTTTTTTTTTTAATCCGTCGAGTCATGTAAGGGCAATCAGTATAAATGTAATATTTATATATGGTAAATATACGGCATATTATGCTCTGTCTCTATTTTTAAGTGTAAGTCATGATGATTGGTGAAGCTCAGAGCGGGAATGTATGAAGGCCTGATTGTTCAGGCTTTACTACCTGATGTATGAGGTTGGTGTTGATATGAATAAAATGTTAAAACAGCAGGGAGTTTGTGACGTCTTTGAACTTTAAATATGCAGCCCTGAACAGATTTTCAGTATTTGAATGGAACATCTTTGGACAGCTCAGAAAAAAACTTACCTAAAGTCCCTTTGTGGTTGCTAATTTAACCCCTAAAAACTAATCGTTGTGCATCGATGCTACATACTTAGTAGTTTTCTTCAAGGAAAATGATCCCTTCATAAGTTAAAATGACTTAGATATAACTCTACACCATTTCCTCTTTTAGAATATGTGGAACTACGAAGTCTCTGCCTTTTTCTTCATCCACTTTTCCCCATTTGCTGCAGCTCTTCCACACCAGCTCACCTTTGATGCTCCTCAAACTCTGTAAAACTACTCTACAATACACAATGGCAATTTATATTTGAATAATTCAGTCATACATTTTCAAACTGGAAACTCATTCTGAAGAAGAAAAATGATGCCAAAAGTCCCATCCTGAAAGCAAAGGAGATTGGACCCTTGTTCTGTTACATATGAAACCCTAGAAGTCTAAATCCATGTTTTTGAGATTGTGGAGATGCTCAACTATAGTGTTAGCTGCTTATTTCGCTCATGATATGTCTTCTGGCGTATAAAAACCACCATATGGACATGATAACAAGGTTAAAAAAAAAAAAAAAACTTGGCTTGATACTCTCCTGATGTAATTGCTTACAAACCTGATTCTAACTCAAATGTTTTAGAAGTCACTTGATCCCAAACTCAATGTTTTGTTTTTATTATTTTATCACCTGCTACACTGTTTAGCATTGTTGAATTTTGTGTCATGTATTCTTCTTTTACTGCTATTACCCTTAAAGCGTGCCTTCCTTTATTTTATGTGCCTTAGCACCATTGAAGAGGAGGATATTCCCTCAGTGTGTTCTCGTAAGTTTTAAGTAAAATGAAATGAAACACAAAGCAACATATACATACACTGAACAACAATATAAACACAGCATGTAAACAGTCCTCCCTCTCTGTCTTAGTGGAAAAAATGTCATTTCTACTGTTGTTGCCAGTAAAGAGTTAAATTTAGCCAGTTGTGCACCAAACGTTTTTGAGCAACAAATTCTTCACCACTGAATTAATCCACAGCCTTGTCAGATGTGGTTTCAGAGGACAATGATCAGATCATTGTGTGACCAGGACAGAGACATTCCTTTGACCAGAGACTATAAAAGACCACCTTAAAACAGCTTTATTCAAATGATGCCACAGATGATAAGTAAAAGACAACAACAGTAGTCGGGGGCTTGAATGTCCACAACTTCAACAGTTGTTGTCTAAGAAATCATTTCAGACGGCACAGTACAAGAGATGATCTGCCACGTGACGCTCTGGATGGATGTGTCTAACATGATCCCGTCCACCAAAATGTCCAACAACTTCCCCGAGTCTTTCAGTCAGAGTGGGTCAACATTCACAAGCAGTAGCAACAACCTCAATAACTTTAAACCAGATGTGTGCATCAGTACTAACTTGGTGATTTCTGGTCTATGACTCCACTCTCTGTCTGCCAATTATCATTATTTCTAATACAGTGTGTACTTGTGTTGTTTCATTTCTGCTTTAGAGATACTGTGTGCTGGAACAACAAATATGTACTTCTGTGGTGCAATAATAAAGCTTTGTGGTCACCTTGGTTTCATGACTCCTACAAATGTGAACTAAAAAGGTCACTTCTATATATCAGGATTTAGGGCGTTAATTTAAGTAACCAGCACTGGTTGATTCTGGAACAATTAGTAGAAAGTTACAGAGTGGTACGTGGAGCAATATAAATGTTGGACATACCGATCTGTCTGTTAATACTTCTAATTTGATTGTTCTTTGACGTCTATTCTGTTGCAGAGATGTCATGTGTTGAAGCAACAAATGCTACGTTATATTAGATCCAACTTTATTGTCACCATACAGAGCACGAATACTCGGACAACAAAATGCAGTTTATCATCTAACCAGAAGTGCAAAAAAAAAGCAATAAATACATTATACATTATGGCACATACAATAAACACAATGAACAGCATGGACAGGTATGAACACAATAAACATAGAACTATAGTATCTGTAAGATTAGCTTTTTTATTTTAACTATTGATTAACAAGATAGAATTTAATAAAATATTACATGCTCAATTTAGATTTTTGTTCAGCATAAATGAAAGAATTTGTGCAATAGTGAAACTTTATGGCCACTTCTCTATTATAAACACCTGCTAAAAATGTGCAAGATAAAGGTCACTACTTCTACATAGCAGGCTTTAAGATATTATTTAAAAAGAGCAGGGAAGCCGGTTTATTAAAATAGTATCTTATCATACACAGAGGTTTTCAAAGTGCCTTCCTGACAAATGAAAATAAAAATAAAAATGATGCAATACATTTAAACCTGTGCACTATGTACTCTGTGCAATATCAGTTTTTCCACATATAGAAGAATCTGTGTAATAGCAGTATTTTTCTACTTACAGACGACTCGGTGCATTATAGATAAAATATTTTAATATTAATACTTCTCTCCCAGTATTTCTACTCATGAAAGAATATGTGCAATAAAATTGATATGTGAAATAATGCTATTTTCCACATCTGGTGGAATTTGTACAATCTGAATATCCACATATGGGAGAACCAGTACTGCTGTAATTTATTTTTATGTTCCAATGATGTTCCCTTTATGTTTGCATCATGTAACATTGTAAATTTTCCCACTGTGGGGTCATCATTTCTTAAATAAAACAGATAAACCATGTCAGAAAATTAAAGCAAAAATAAATAAATAAATAAAGTGATTTTTAAAAATGCACACAGATTTTTAGAATAATTAAAGCTGACTCTGTAAAAGAGCTTTAAAAAAATAAATAAAATAAAAATGTTAACAAAGCCCAGAGGTGAGAAAATAAAAGCATGTAAGAACAAAAACGTGCAATAAAATAGGAAAAAAGTCAAACATTTGAATGAAACAGTGGTTGTTTTTTTACAATAATTACCACTAACTTGCACATGCAGCAGTGTTTTTTTTTATGTGTGAGAGCAAAAAAAAACAAAACAAAAAAACAATAAAAATCTCAGACAAAAATAGACTTGGCTGTTGTTGGGGGGAAGCTCGCCTCTTTGGTCTTATGCTAATAACGCATGTGAGTGTGAAATTTCCCCAGACAAAAGGGGGTGAAAGATGAAGAAAGAATGGGGGGGATGGTGCGCAGAGACGGAGGAGGAGGAGCAGAGAAAAAAGAAGAAGAAAAAAAAAACACAAGAAAAATCCGACAAACCCGCGGCTCTCCAGTGGGCGTGGTCACCGAGCGCAGCGCTTCCTGCTCGGCTGAACACGTGGTTCCTTCCGCGTCTGCCTTCCTGCCTGTCTGTCAGTGTGTGAAGGTTTCCAGCCCTTCTTCTCTCACTCCTCTCTCTCCCTTTTATCCTCCCATACGGCTACAGCAGCACACCTCCTCTCTCTCTCTCTTTTTCTTTTTTTTTCTTTTACTTTACTCCGTCCTGCCTCCTCCTCCTCCTCTTCCTCCTCCTCTTCATCCCGCTCCTGCTGCACTTTTTTCCTCCGTCTCTTTGCGACGGCTTCCCGGGAACTGCCGACAGCCAGGCCGCGGTCAACGTGCAACCAAGAGGGGGGGAGTGTATGTGTGTGTGAGTGTGTGAGAGGGAGAGAGAGAGAGAGAGAAAGTGTGTGTGAAAGTGTGTGTGAGTGAGTGCGTGTGTGTGTGTGTGTGTGCGCGCACCCGCCCGCCCGCCCGCAACCCCCGTCGCCGCTCTCCTGCCTCCTTTTTCGGTCATGACGCTGGAAGCGATCCGCTACCGGACCGGGTCTCTGCAGATCCTCAACCAGCTGCTGCTGCCACACCAGACCGTGTACGATGACATCCGCTCGGTGCAGGACGCTTACGAGGCCATCAAGTCCATGAAGGTACGGGGCTCCTCTCTCTCTCTCTCTCTCTCTCCCTTCCTCCCTCCTCCCTCCACCTCCCACCTCCCTCAGCTGCACGCCTGCTGCATGTGCATTTATCCCCGTCATGCATGTGCTTCCCGTCGGCTCTTTTGTGCTCCCGCCGACCGCCGCCGTGCGCCCTCACCGTCGGCCTGTATTTTTGTTTTGGATGCAGCTTCCCACAACCCTCCATCCCCCCTTTTATAAAAAAAAAAAAAAGCATCCTTTATTTATAGTTTCCACATTATCATGTATAAGCTCGATAAAGCAGGTATCTGCACAAGAGCCACCCACCCATGAAATATGCCTCCCCCTCCTCTTTCTTTGGGAGAGATTATTGATGAATTATTAATGACCTTTGCCAGGGTTTTTGTTCGCGTTTTTTTTTTTTTTGGTCTTGTGCTGCACTCAGTGACACCTCCAGCTCGTGGATGTCTCCACACCTGGATCCCTCAAGTGTTGGGATAAATGCATGAGTTGTGTAACAGCTGGGAACATTTTGCAGGTGTTTGTTAATTGGAGCTGTGCAGATATTTTCACTCATTTTTTTGTCTTTTCACACACGCACACACACACAGCAGCTACTTGTTTGATCCTGGCAGGATGAAGGAATGTGCCATAAGCAGGAGAGGGTGATGTCATGTTAGTGGAAATGACTTCACAGGGATGATATCATCCAGTCGAAGACGTGGGGACAACTTTTGGCTGCTTACAGCAACACAATGCTGTGAGAGAGCTGAAGTTTGCACAGTAACCAGAGGTGATGTGATGCTTTCACTGTCTTCCAGGTGCGTGGAGCTCCGGCCATCGCCATCGTGGGCTGCCTCAGCCTGGCCGTGGAGCTGCGGGCCGGCGCCGGGGGCGACGACCCCGTGACCTTCATCAGGGAGTCTCTGTGTCACCTGACCTCGGCCAGGCCCACCGCTGTCAACATGGGCCGGGCCGCCCGCGAGCTGATGGAGTTTGCAGAGAACGAGAGCATGGAGAAGAACTCGGAGCAGCTCAGAGAAAGGTGAGCTGGTTTAGAGGGATGTGAGGCTGGATCACACGCTTGTTGTTTGTCAGAAGAGGTGATTTGATTGACTCAAACACTAATTAATGATTTATTAGGGAATGTCTGTTAGTGTGCATATTCCAAAATGAGTTCATTTTTAGCCCTCTGAACCCTCAGCAGTTTCTGTTTTTATGCTCCTGTCACATGTTTACTCACTGTGGCCCATGTTTCACTGCAATATCAAGTCCTGCTCCTCTATAGCTGCAACACAACCTTAGCTACAAGTAGAAACAACTCAGAAACAGCTTTTGTGCCTTGTGACAGAGTCATCATGCCGTCAATCATACAAGAAAACTAAAAAAACTTAACATTTATATGATAATTAAACCTTAAAGAAATAGGAAAAACCTGGAATCCAAGTCTATCCAAGAAGTGCCCACAAGTGTTTCCAATACTGGAAAAACAAACTGTGACTTTACATCCTATACATGTTTTACTATTTTCATTTTTAAATTTGTCTCCTCTTGTCTGCTCTGTGTAAACACAGCCTGCAGTTCAGCTGAAAAGTTCCAGATTTTTTGTGACACAAATGTTGGTCACAGCTGTGTCTCCAGTGGCTTCACAGTTGTGTTGAAGAACACAGAATTTTTAGTTTTTTACAGAATCTTGTTATTGCAAACATTTCATCTTTGACGAATGTTTAAATGGGACATATAGAACATGGTGGTTTTGATTAATTCACAAGTCACAATTTTAAGCACAAATGAGTAGTTCAAGGACCATCGGAAAGTTGGAAAGCCAATGATTTCAGTTTTTACAGTTTGTGGCTCTGATAAATGGGGTAATTTTTGCTATTTTCTGTTTTTTAAAAGGCAACCCTTTGTTTCAAACCCACTGGTGAGCTTTAAGGTTCAGAGGTTACCTGAATTACCACAGTCAGGGTTCTTTAGGCAACTTTACTTTGGATTTACATGGGTCCTGTTCAGATGGGGGTTTTTTTTTTTAGACAGCCACCCTACTTTTTTATTTTTCTTCATCATACTGATCAATTCTGACCAAACACTTTGATATGTGTCAGACTTCTGAGCCAGTAATCTATTTAAAGCTACCCGATAGAGTATTCGATCACTTGTCGCAGCGCCACGTTTTCACATGTGGCTCCCTGATTTGTTTGTTTGTTTTCATGCACCAGGATTCATGTGCACATCGGTGACATGATGCACATTCCTGCCAATGGTTTCACACTAATTCACTGGTCTTCTGGTGGCTTTCATGTGCCAGAAAACTGCAGCAAAGTGCCAGTAAAGGCAGGGAAGAGGACGACCGTTAGCAAGCAAACAAGGATGTAAACAATGCAGACTTCAGACTTTTTACAAAAACCTGCTTTGCAAATATTTTATAAGGACAGAAATGCATTTGCATTTGAAAAACATTTGTTTAGCCTGAAGGATACACAAAGTCTGTTTTGGTGAATGCAAACAGAAACTTTGTTTAACATTCAGCTTATCAGCTCTGCATGAGTCACGACAATAAGAACCTGCACTGTTCATTGAAAAGATCTTTACTTGCTTTTCTCTCCTGGATCTTTCCTGCCAGGTTAGCTGCTGCTATAACACGTCCTCATTCAACACCAGCTGCAGGTGTGCTTTTGACAAAGTTGTGAAAGTTATCAGATCTCGTATTAAGTGAAAATTGGGAAGGCCGTATATTCCAAATGTTACCGCAGATTAATTGTCGGTGTGAAAAGAAATGCCCCGAGTGGTGCTGTTTCTACAGTATTCACCTGCTCAACGGGGCTGTAGTTGAGACTGATGGATTTTTTTTTTCATTCAAGCAAACAGAAAAGAAGCAGGAAAGAAGGAGAACATATTTGAAAGCTTGAGCCATGTTTGTGTTGGTGATGGGGAAAAAATGAGGTTCAGGTGGATAACAGCTGTCCTGAAAAGACGATACTCCAGGTTTTGGGTGAAGATGCACCTGATATAACCAGAGGTGGTGCTAAGGCATCGGGTATTGAGAAGCTAAAATTAGGAGGCAGTGGGCTTTTTGTGCATTTATGTGTATGTATATCTGCATATGAATTACAGAGCCTGATTGGTGGTGGAGTTTTGGTGCTGATACCAATTTTTAGAGAGTAAAAATCTCTAATATTGATATATCAGCCAACATTCTTCATATCTACATAAACAAATATATGTTATTGTAATACTGAGAAGTGAAAATTATGGGGTCATTGTTTAGCTTTCCAGCAATTAATTTTTCAAACTAGTTAGCAGGTTACTATGAAGACACAATTTGACTGCACACTCAGCTGTGATAGCGACTCTGCTACATGCGCTGCACACAGTGCTGAGAGTAGGGATGCCCTGAGCCCATGTCAAATATCAGGATCAGGGTGAATCAAGGCATTTTTTTAACTGATCATTATCAGCAATAACCTAAGCTCAGTCCTTTTTGTACATTTGCCGTCACATAGTTATCGTAGAAGGAGCGCAGAATCTGTGGCAGAGATGCAAATTTGATTAATCGTCTTAATATTCTACAGCTTTATCAATCAGTAAATTGTTCATTTTTGACACAAGTTCAGCTCATTGAACCTTTGCTCTGTGCTGATATTGCTGTTTCAGTCAACAGACATGTGATGTGGGTTTAAAATGTTATCCAGACATAGTAAGTAACACCGTCCTAGTTGATTCCAGGTTGTTTCAAACACATGGACTTTGGCTAGAGGTTCTTAAACCTCACAGACGTTTTTGTCATTGTGTCCATTGGTAGCTAAATCCCTACAATACTCTCTGCTTGCCAATGCTGACCTGCCTGTACTCTGAGCGACTGCCTCCTCAGGTTGCTGCAGCGTTCAACACTAAGAGGCTTCACCTGGTGATGCCATCGACAAATACACATTTATTATTAACATTTATTATTATTATTATTATTATTCTGAAAAAGAGTAAACATACAGGAAGTCCCAGTCTGCAGGCAGATGGGATTGATTTCTTAAGTTTGTTACACATGAAACCTCAGAAGTCTGATTTTTAAAACCATCATTGGTACACTTGAGTTTTAAGGTAGAAATATTCAGCCGTGGCATCGACTGCTCATATATCATAAGATATTTAAAACACCATATAGTCGTGTTAACTTTGTAAAAAACCTGATTCCAGAGAGGATTTTGGGAAAGCAAAGCCTCCCTTAGCCTCTTAATTGCTTCACTTATGGATATGATGAATGGATATCAGCTACCATAGTAGATTCTGACATGGTCAGCGGTGACGGATCCACATTAAATCCTCTTTCTGTCTTCGAGTCATTATATAAAGTCCATTTCTGTTATCAGTTACAGTCATTCAGTCATTGCGAGTTGCCTGTAGCAACCTTCCATGATAATGACTCACTTAAATTGCACGCAGAGAGATGTATACAGTCTGGAAGAAGAAAAACACTGGTGTCAAATCAGGAATGGATATTGACAAATAGCCTGAGCTGAGAGCGTCTGGATTGAAGCTTTCATGGTTTTGACTGATTGAGACTCCCAGTAAATCTCCTTCCTGCTGTCAGAGGCAGTAATTGTGGTGCTTAATGGTTCATTTTAACTGTTGATTGTTATTTAGAACAGTTAATGATGTTTCACTGTGAGACTGTCAGGAAATATAACAGAACGTCTAAGCATCAGCTGCTACAACTCGACGTAGTTTGAGCTGCGGAGTGACACAGTTCAGCGAGACATATGGAGCCTTTTTGTTTCTGGAGTCGAACTTAAGGATTCACTGATTAACGACCTGGCTAATTATCCGATTACAGATTTGTACTTTTTCTCATTATTGTTTTTTTGTTTGTTTTGCGCTACTTTGCCACCTCTTTGTATCTGTAGTCGCTGCCCTGCCTGCAGCGCTCTCTCATTGGTTAAACATCATGAATAACAGCCAATCAACACCGAAAGATAAATATTGAAAAATTTGCTTTTAATCAAACATATAAAACATGAATAGATAAAGACATATCAGTTAATTATGCTAAGTTGTGACACCAGGGTTTTCATTTTCATGCTAATCGGTTCCACATATTGGTTATGCTCTCCTAGATTACTAAAAGATTAGTCTATACTATTTCTGTATAGACTGAAAAAAGATAAGAAAAAACTTTATTCATCTCAAAGAAAATTCTTTTGACAGATATTGCTCAAAAAACAAAATTACATAACATGAGTATTGCAGTCTCTAGTCGAAAAATACTAAGATACAGGTACGATACATAGAGAATATAAAAAAGTAAACTAAAATGAGAGTAAATTAGTAAATAGTAATACTGGCAATGATTCTGACGTAGTTAATGGAATGTGGTACATAAAATTGGAATATTACTCAAGAAAAATAAATATTGTATATGAAATTAAAAAGTTACATATGATAATAAAATATTAGACATGAGATATTGCGCCTAAAAAGTGAAATACTGTATAAAAACATTGTCTGACCTCTTGTTGAATGCACACTCAACCTCCGAAACACTTGTCTGCTTTATGAAAGAAATAACTGAAGAAACACTGAGTAGCAACAAGGTTGGAATCAAGTTTGTGAAGCAAGAATAATGAAAGGAAGGCGAGGGACAGATGTGGTGAAAACATCAAGACAGAGCTTGTGAATGAAAGAACAGACACAGCGACGAAGTGAAGTCACGACAAACACAAACATGCAGCCTCGGACACATAGAGTCCACAGCGGCAGACGAAGCCTCTTCTCAATTCCCACCTCTCTCTCGTGGCCCCACTCCTGCAGCGTAATCGCCTGGATCGAGGACATGCTGGAGCGTGACGTCAATGACAACAGGAAGATCGGTAACTACGGAGCCCAGCACATCCTGTCCGGCGTCCCGCGGGACTCTGTGACCATCCTGACGCACTGCAACACCGGCTCGCTGGCCACGGCCGGATACGGCACGGCGCTGGGTGAGACGGGAGCTCTGGGGCTGAATGAGGGAAGGCTGTGATCGTTGGAGGTATTTATAGTGCTGTGACTGTAACGATGCCTCTGTGTGTAGGCGTGGTGAGAAGCCTCCACGCGCTGGGCAGGCTGAAGCGTGTTTACTGCACGGAGACGAGGCCGTACAACCAGGGATCCAGACTGACTGCGTACGAGGCCGTGGCTGAGGGAATCCCCGCTACGCTCATCACAGACAGCATGGCAGCTCTGACCATGAGGGAAATGGACATCACAGGTGTGTTTTAGAAGATGAACGTGACAGATATCAGCATCATGTTAACCAACTATAATTACACTTTGGCTCGTCAGAAGTTAAATTCCGGGTATCTCTGTTATTCTGACTAGTCGTGTAACTCAGCTTGGACCAGTCAGAATTCTAATTGCAGGGATAACAAGCATCTTTTTGACTCGTCCAGATAGTTGTGCATGTGAGGCTTCCCATTGTTACTGACCCTGCAAAGCATTTGAACCACGTTTCATAGAAAAATGTTGTAGTGGTGGAAAAATTAGTTTAAAAAGGCTGTGACATAGGAAAGGCTTATCAACAAGGAGTTTATGGAGAACAAGAGTTTTATTTATTAGAGACTTTAGGTCCTTCACATTGCAGACATCTGTGACTGAATTGTGACTACTATTAATTCCAGTTTAACTTAATAGTAGTTTAAGATATCTTTCTTTCCTCCTCATTTACTATTTAAACATACTATGGCACTGCGATCTTTTCCACATTTGGCAAGACGTTTTGTAGCCTCCATGTTAATTTAGACTGTAAGACTCAAATGAACAAAGCTTTCGTTCTCCACAAACTCCTTGCTGATGAGCTTTTCTTATTCCACTGCTTTTACAACGATCTTATCCACCACAGCAGCAGCCATTACCTCTACTGGCACTGTTCAAAGGCTTTCCTGGACTAATGTCCGTCAGGAAGCCATGTATGAGCAGCATCAACGATTCAAACTAATCATAGTGACTGTTTGTGAGATTTGCAACTATTGTTTTGACCAGTAAAACTGCCAGATTCAGCTACTAAATTTTAAAAGCACAAGTATAGATATCTGAAACTGGAATTAAGTACTTGTCATAATTCACTCGCAGATATTAGCAGCTGAGTCTGTAATGAAAAATTTACATGAATGATGAAAGGGACATAAAAGAATGACACTGTAAATACCTGACATTTTTTGATGTTGTTGTTGTTTTTTAAATTGGGGAGAAGTGAATTATAGATATCTGAAATACATTTAAACACAGTTGGTATACAGTTTCATGTCTTTTATTCCATTTAAGTCAAACATTTCTAAGTGTTGTTTCTGCTGTCTCTCCCCCTCAGCTGTGGTGGTTGGCGCAGACCGGGTGGTTGCCAACGGTGACACAGCCAACAAGGTGGGCACATATCAGCTGGCCATCGCCGCCAAGCACCATGGGATTCCTTTCTACGTGGCCGCACCCAGCACATCGTGCGACCTGAGCCTGGAGAGCGGCAGGGACATCATCATCGAAGTGCGCCCCCCGGAGGAACTCACCAGTATAAATGGAGTCCCCATCGCCGCCCCGGGTAAGAAGGGGGAAAAAGACACAAAAGGGGGTTTAAAAGCTCTAAAATGACAGGAGCCGGGAGACTTTGAGTGAGTCCTGTAGAGGTTTGACAGTGAGGCGAAAAATATCAGGCTGAGAGAGACACTGAAGACAGGCTCTAACTGACATCACATGAGTGAAAGATGGTATGAAGTCGCCAAATGCTGTGTGAGGAACAAGATAGACAGCACAGTGTGAAACTGCTGCAGCTTTTTTCAATGTAGGTTTTATTTTTTTGTAGGGAATTTGTGTCTTCTGTTGAGACAGTAGACATGTTCCCATGATGTATTTTATGTAAGCGTCCAATTAGAAAAAGTTAATGGAAAAACTTCAAGAAAACTTTCAATCTGCAATTTTGCAAAAAATCTTTGCACCCACTTAAGTTGGTTTTTGACTGTTTACATGAAGAGTTAATGCACATAATAAGAGATAGAAACACCTTTTTCAGATACATTCCATCATAGTTGACGTTTGTTTGCGTGACTAATCAGCTGTTTCCACCTCTGGACATCATGAAACGTGTCTAGTATCAGCTGAAATGAAAGGATAATTACAACTTACAATGATTTCTGAAGACCTTTCTCCATTTTTCTCTCATAGATGGTCAAAGTTTCGTTTATGTCTTCGTATTTTTTCTCTCTTTTAGTGGTTTGCAAACAGCTAATTTCAGTTCAGACCTCTTCTGTTCTGTTTATTAGAGCCATGAGTAACATAGCCTCTGCTGCCACCTTATGACGACACAATGCAAACTAGTTGTTTATTTGCTCCAGAGCGGTTCATGGAAACAGGCCCGATTTGTCTTTTTCTGTAACTCCTCTGAAGTTCACCTCAATTTCAGTCGATAAACATATGGGCAGAAGGCGACAGACTCATCGCCTTAACTGTATGCTGCCCAGTCATTTTTGTCACCTCCCAAAGACTCATTGTGATTGAGGAACAGCCCTGATAACACAGAGAGGAAACAAAGTGTGACTGTGCAGGAGTGGAGGTGGACATGCAGCAGTCGTAACAAAGCGCATTCAAGTCGTAGTTAATTGTTTTCGCCTCAAACCCAGAGACCATCAAGGCCTCTTTTAATTTTAACATTTGAATGCAGTAAAGTGAGTAAGTCCCATCAAAAAGTGCAAAACGTGTGCGGAAAGGGTTAAAAGAGGCGACGAGGCCTCAATGCACTCGGAGGTTTCGCTGCAACTTTGAAGTGGGTTTTAGGTGAGTTTGCGAGAGCTGAGAGTTGAGTCATTTAATCTCTAATTATGTTGAGCTGAGAGGAGCTCGGTGACATCACGGTAATTAAACTCGTTTAATGAGCACACTGGACCCTGGAGAGGAGCATGTGTGCATGTACATTATTTTTCCTCTCACACCAATCACATAATTATTATTTATATATATATATTTTACTGTTAATTAATCTCATTAAAAGTCCCAAACTGAAGATCATCTGAAACGTGGACCTTCAGTTAAGTTGTTTTGTTAACTCGTGAATTTTACTGCACTGTGTCACACAGTAGCAGCATTGTTGTTCAGGAAAACACAACACTGAACCTCACTGTTGCACATCCGTCCTTTTAAACAGTCAACATTACAAACTCTGTAGTTTATATTGAGTCCGCCCCACTAATAGTCCTGCTGCTTTATGTGGGTTTTAACACAAGTGAAGCAAATGTGTGTCAGTCCACCTCTGAAAATAGTCCCCAACAAATCATTGTTTGCGCCTGTTTCAGAAACTACAGCTGTTTGGGAGAAAATATTTCACCTATTTAGAAATGAAAATGTGTGAATCTGGCCTAGTAAGATTGTCATCACAGCCTTTACAGTGAAAAAGAACGTTAAAACATAAAGCCAACACATTCAGGAGGTATCAAATTATTGGAAAGGAGTGCGTTTCTGAAAGGAGCTTTATAATTAGGGGAACTGTGAACTAAACACCATACTGTGTGTGCAAAGAAGTTAGCGATCAGCTAAAAGTAATGAAAAAACTGTTAAAAAATGATGAGTTAATCAGACAGGGCTGTCACTGTACATCCAACAAAAAGGTTTTTTTGACATAGAAGCTGCAAGAATACAGATTTATTTTAACCCTCTGATTGCTCAAATGTGTTGGTGGATTGGAAAGGCATTTTATCTTTGAAAAGTCACCAAAATTACACCACTTATTAGAGCCAGAGACTAAAAGCAGAAGTAATTCTTAAAATTTCAGCAACAATTCATGAACTATTCATATGAGAAAATCAATTAAATCAAGCCTACAATGAGATATGTCATCAAAATCACTTTATTCTACATGTCTTGTTTAAAAATCGGCCAAAAATCCACCATTTGCTCTGAAGAGAATTTGTACAAAAAAAAAAAAAAAGAAAGAAAGAAAAAAAATTCTGCATTGCTCGGTGCAGCTGTGGAGCCAGTATCGATCAGCTGTGATTAACAGTCACGAGACAAAACTTCTCTGACTTTTTGGCTGAAATGGGCTGAACTGCAGGTTGTGTTTACACAGAGCAGAGAACAAACTGAAAAAGGGAGATTGTAAAATATATATAATATGCAGAGCCACTGTTTTTTTCAGTATTAGTAACACTTGAGGGAATGTGGGAAAATGATGTAGATGCTGAGTCACAGTTTTTTTTTTTTTTAAATCTTTGTAGCATCAGGAATTAAAGAAATGCAGCTTTAGTTAATTTTTTTTATGGCATTATAACTGTGTCACATTGCACAGAGGACATATTCGAGTTCTCTCTGCCTCTAGCTATGATTGAACTGTTTCCATAGAGATGCAAGACTTTATATTGTAGAGAAAAAAGAGTTTATTGCCGCCACCGTAAGCAGGTTTTTGTACCACAGGGTGAGAGTATCGCCGCAGTTGTTGTGTGAACGAACCGTCTCACTTACTCCTGACTTTTCGCCGCAGGCATCGAGGTGTGGAACCCGGCGTTCGACGTGACTCCTCACCAGCTCATCACAGGAGGCATCATCACAGAGCTGGGGGTCTTCCTGCCCTCCGAGCTCCAGGCGGCGCTCACCGGCCGCCTCACTGCCCTCTAGAGCCGCCCGGCGCCTCCTGCTGGTCCGCGTGCACCGCTGCACGTTTACGTCACACTAAGAGACACTCTCATGTCATCACTAAACACTCACGGTCGCGTGTTGTGCTTTAATTTTGTTCAGCGCACAGTCACTGTTACATGTCAGCGGTGCACACTGAAGGAAAAAAAAAGTGTTCACAAATACACACAAATCCACTGCAGGGAGTCGAGCAGAGACACGTGTGCAGTCTCCCCCCCCTTTTTTTTTTTTAAATCCCTCTTCTATGGTTCATTTCACCTTCTCCTAAACCATCTTTCATCCTCTCCTGCCGCCTCTTTCTCTTTCTAAATGGCTTTTGCAACAACGAAAAGAGCTCAGCTGGACTCAAACCTATAAATTCTATTTGGCAGACAAATTTTCTGAGACATTACCGAGGTGATGTTTTTAGGGCTTCTTTAACAAGACCGAAAACTTCCAAAAAAAAAGTCTAAATGGCACGACTGGTTCTTCAATTCCAACGTAGTCGTGGTTTCTAAAATGCTGCTACCCACTTGTAAATATATATATCCTTGCTGGTAGTGTGTACATATGTAGAAAACTAACCCCTGCTAGTAAAAGGTACTGCTATTTTAACCAAATATGTGATTATTTAAAATTAAATTTGCCATCTAAAATGTTATATTAACATTTGATTTCTTTTCTTGGTGTAGAAACCTTTTGTAGAAGACTAATCTAAATTTATAGCCCATGATCTTCACTCTGACTTTGTAACCTCTACGGCAAAAATTTGAACAAGTGGAATCAGTCAGCTGAAGCCTTTGCTAAAACACGGCTGTATTTATACCTCACTCCTTGTTTGCATCTTGCTATTCAAACTTGTACTCTATCATACCCCACTTGTACTCTCATAATGTACTTATATATACATAAGTGTATATATATAAATATATATTCACACATATACATACATAAGCTTACAGATCACTCTGCTTTTGAAGCGATGGGACGTCTAAAAACTGGGAAATTGTGTCATTTGGGCTGTGACAGCTTTTTGCTGTGAGCTGTAAAGGCTGTATTTCTCTGTTAAAGGAATAGTTCACTCCAAAATGGAGACTCAGTTATTTACACAGTCAAGACTTTACAAATGTTTATTCTTGTAAGTCAGGCTTATTTTAAAATCAATTGCAGTCAGTTTTACGACTTAGAATTAAGCAAACCCATTTGCATAACATCTTAAAGAAGCCTAATATCACTATAATATTCCCGATGACACCAGGTTTGTTAATCTTGTTCAGCTGTCAAATAATGCAAGAAAAGGTAGATATTGGACTTTACAGCTATCCAAATCAGTATTTATTTGAACCACAAAATCTGCCAGCAGGTTTAAAAGGGATATTATCTTTAAAAAAGTCACCAAAATTAAACTATTATTCAGAGCCAGAAAATGTAGAATCAGAAAAATATGTCAAGTTTCAATGATTCATGTAGTAATCGTGTGTGATGTACAGTTCCATTTGGATATTTAACCAAATCTAACCTTAAATCATGATAGTTCATTAAAATCACTTCTATGAAAAACAAAATTTTCTGTGATCCTGAGCGCAGCTGTGAAGCTGTTATTGATCCAGTCACGTGGTAAAAACTCAGTGAGTTTTGGGCTGAACTGCAGGCTGTGTTTACACGGAGCAAATAGGATTTTTAAGTGAAAACAAATGTGACAGGATCAGCAACTGCTTAGATTTTTCCATTATGTTCCTTATGATAGCCTGCTGAAGTCACACAGCTTTACAATAATACCAGTAAGGCTAAATTGTGGACTTTACAGCTGCGTAAATCAATATATTTGTATTAAGAATGGAAAAATTACTACATATAACTTAAAAAGTCATAACAAGCCAACCAAGAACTGTTATCGGACTTTCTTTCACTTTCCTTTAGCTGTATCAAGTGTTAAACATCCTTCAGCACGTTATTTTGTGTTTTTACTGTAACTTTAGTGTTTGTGGTCATTTGCAGCGCTGTCTTCAGTGAAAAACCTCGTATAAATCCGCTGCTTCACATCAAACAGCAGACAGACACAGTTACAGAGGTGTTTTACAGCCAGGTATTTCCCTCAGGAGGCGGAGACTACAGCAGAGCTAAAAGGAGAGTAAATATTTGACTTACAAACACTTAACAGTTACGTTGCTCAGTGTTCAGGATCTGTAAATTATCAGCTGTTTGCTAACACGCCTGCCTTAACAGCTTTTAAACATCAAACTGATGACTGATCGCAGCGTCCACTGTTCACTTCTTTGCTGCATGTCATACTCGTCTTTCTCTTGTTTCCTGTCGTGTAAATGCAAAATCCCTAAAAACCTATTTACTAACAACTTTATTTGGTGATAAAAAGTTAATGGTGCATTTCCAGTTTGTTTTAACACCCAAATGTGGAAAACAGATCTCCTAATGCTGCTTTAAACACCTACAGTATTGACATTTGAAAGTGTTCAGACAAAGAAAGACATGAGTTACTCAGAAGAGACAAAAACTTTACTAACTCCGGGGATGCAGGAGGCGGCTTTTTCTTTAATTTGGGGTGAACTATTTCTTTAAGATGGATCCACGCTGCAGAATCCGTCTGTAAAAACCATTGCGCCACACACACACACACACACACACACACACCAATCAGAATGTAATATTTCACTCAGTTGAACTTCAGTTCGGGGCCAGACTTCAGACACTCGGTCACTTCTTGCCTTTGTGCTCAGTTTAGAATGTGTTTTGACTGTTTGGATTAATTCCTCCTCATTAATGAAAATCTGTTTTAGTCCTTTTACATCAAACCAGGGCAGCTGAAGACAGGTAGACAACGACGACTGCACAAAGGGTTTTCTCTGTAGTTACTGATCAACACTCGTGGCCCCGAGTTTAACTTTATTTTATGAAAGAACACGATTAGAAATATCACTAAATAGGGTGAAAATCCCATAAAGTTGGGAATTATTAGATTTTATCTTGTGCTGAAACTGTTTCAACAGGAAAAAAATTAAGATTTTTGAAGAAATGTTAAGCAAAATACCAAACATTCACTGGTATTAACTTTAAAAATGTGATCATTTACTACTTCTCTCACTTTCTATCAGTTCAAACGGAAACTGTTGCTTTTACAAACGTAAAGCTAAAGACATGGATGTGCACCTAAATGTACAAACTGACCCGATGAAGACGGATGTCAGAGTCGTGGCCCACATAAAATGCCTGTTAACCTTCCACCACCTCACATGCTGCTCTTCTGCATTCATTCATTCATTCATTCATTTAAACTGGCCACAAATACCCAGCTTCACTTTTCTACTCCAGAGAAAAACACCCTAAAGAAAAAAAAAAACAAAAAAAAAAAAACTTAGTGTCAATAATAATTGCAGTATCTATCGTGTCATTGTCCATATCTTTAAAATGCTGTAATGTAAAGCTCACTTCTCCATCTTCCTCCCCCTCCTCCTCGTCATCATCATCATCTCTCTCATCCATCAAACCTCAACTCACAAAGATGCTGGTAGGTCACAAGCGAGCGTAAAAGACACTTGTGTATTTAAATTTTCCTCTTCTTTTTTTGGGGTTTTGTTTTGTACAGTTAAACACGTCACGTTTTTTCAATTTTAGACGACGTTTCCAGACACATGTAGCAACTCTGTGGCCGTTAGACCCGCCGCGTATTACTTTTACTTTTTAAATCTTCAAGAGGTACGAGATTTCCGTTCTGTCCGTACATCATGATTATAACTGTTTTAGCTGTGGTTTGTTGGGGTTTTTGTTTTAATTTCATGACATTGTGATTCCTAGTGACTAGGCCATTAGTACACCACACTGAGGAGGCCTCCTCAACCATACACACTACCTCTCCGTCTGCCTGCACGGACTCAAACACTCAAATGCATGAACACAAGCACTCGGCGTGTCATGCTGCAGCAGAGCAGGTTGCAGAAATGAAATCTGGATTAAAAAATAATAATAAAAAAAAATTCTTCACATCTCACTGATGTTTCTTGAATCCAAAGTAACAGTTTGTGGCTTTTTTTTTTTTAAGTTTGCCAAAGTAGCCGACATTCAGGCCAACGTGTTATTTTTGGGTTGCAGCTGAATTATTTCTGCTTTGTTTTCACACCACGCTTCTGAAAGATCTCCCTCGAGAAAAGACCCCCCGACACGTGGCTAAAAATCAGGTGCCAAAATTCAACGCTGCTCGCCACGTTGATTCGACGAATCGGAGCAGGTGCTTGTGTGTTATCCAGCAATCAGTGTGGCCTGCAATTACCATGGAAGGAGTGTTGTTCAGATGGCCTCTTTAAGTGCAAGTATGTTATTGTTGTTATTGATAATCACTTGATCTGGGTTTAATTTTGTAACATGTGGAAATAGTTCAAAACTGGATTTTTTTTTTCTTTTTATATATATACGTATATGAATATAATGCTGTAAAAGTGCAGTCATGAATTAAGAGATTTCTCTTTCACATCAATACAGTTAAAAAGAATAAAACCACAGTGAAATGAGCTGGTTTTGTCTGTCTTGAATACACTGAAAATGTACTGTGGAAGTGTTGACATATTTGGAGACGTATTTGAACAAAGATGGGATCTGTTTTTGAACTCGGCCTACAGATAACGGTGAAATACTTTAACACTGCAAGGAAAACGTGCTTATTCAGTCAGTTATTGAACAAAATATCAGCAGATAGAAAGTGTTTCTGTGCCCTCAGAGGCCAGTATTGCCTCGTTTAGCAGAAATAACTTTTTGTAGGTGTTTCGCATAGTTGTCTGGAAGTTGCTTACAAAGTTTTGGCCCCCTCTTGAAAATCCCTTTAGTTGTATTTTAATGTTTTCTCTCTTTTGCTTTGTACAGTTTAACACAATGTTTTTGTGTTTTTTCCAATTCCAGAACTAGTTAGCAACTCTGTGAATATTACTTCTATACGTACTCAAATCCTCAAGACGTATGAGGTTTTTAATCATACCTGTTTAGCTGTGCTTTGCCCTCAGAAGCTCATATTTCCCCATTTAGCAGAAATAACTTCTTGGAGGTGTTTTGCATAATTGTCCACTAGTCTCTCACATCAGCTTGCCGAAATTTGAGAAAACTCTTCCTGCAAAATTCCTTCCGTTGCAAGATGTTTGTGTCTTTTCTTGCAAGTACTGTCTGGTTCAAACACATTTCAGAGGTATTCAAATCCTAGCTTGGCTTTACTGTTCCATATCTCTCAGTTTCTTCTTTTAAAGCCATTACTGCGGTAGATTTTCTCTGTGCTCAGGATTATTTTTCAGACAGAAAACCTCACATTTTCTTCCAGCCCTCTTCGACCTGATGCAGAATTTACAGTTGAATCTATAACTACAAGCTGCGTAATAACTGCAAACTGTGATATCTGCAGCACAATGCTTCACTGTTGGTTTTAGGTTCTATTGAAAAGGTGTCATTAGTTTGCAGCAAACATGTCTATTGTTTCTGTGGCCAAACAACTCCATGTTTGATTCATCTATCCAGAGCACATTCCTCCAAAAAGGCCTTCTGTCTGCCTGTATGTTCACTGCCAAACTGCTTCATTATTCCTTTTCCTGGCTCACCTCTCATGTAGGTCAAATCTGTGTAATCTCCTTATTTGAGATGCAGCACTTTGACACCAGCAGCTGCAAAGTTACCTGCAGATCCTGTAATGAAATTATGTGGTTCTTTGAGACATCTTTTCATATCACACAGTCTGCTGTGGGTCGGTCAGTTGTGGACACATCTGTTTAAAATCTGCGGCACTTGTAGAAGATAATCCAGAGTGTGGAATGATTTATTTCCAATAATCTTTTTAAATCCCTCACCAGACTCGTCGGCATCCACTGCAGGCCTCGGGGAGCTCTTTAGATCTTGGCATGATGACGCCGCACAGTTGAATAGAGAAGAAGAAAACAGCAGACCCGAGTTATCAGGGCTTTAAATAAGACTCGTGTTACTGCATAAGGAGCTTCTGGTAATTGGCACCTGATCTGAAAGCCCTGATTCTAATGTTCTAAAGGTGAGATACATGTAGTGGTGTTGGGACCTTTTCTTTTAGTTTCCTTTACACTGTGAAACCCCAACAGGGCTTTGCTTATTGACTCACATGTGTCAACCAGTCCAAATCCCAACATTGAGTCTGTTGTCTTCATTTGGCTGATATATTCTTATTTTAACCCTCCTATTACCTTCAAATGTACTGACATCTTTTATCCTTGGGTTCAATTTGACCCCAGGAATTTAAACCTCCAGAAAATATTGTAATTAGAATAGTTACCCAAGTTTATGTGTAAATAGCCCTTTAAATAAAACTGAAAACAATTATGTCAATTAGTTATTTAGATATGTTAAACACTGAATGGGGTCAAATTGACCCCAAAGATAACAGGAGGGTTAAGCAAGATAGGAAAGTCTTTCATGAGGTCAAAGAACATACCAATGCCACAAATTTTTCTCTGAAGAAACTGAGGCTCAGTCTTCACACTCATCTGTGTAGGAGCTTTTTATTAGTTTTGTTGTTTGTTTGGTTACTTTCGGTAGTAGTTTATTTGACTAGGGTAATATTTTTAGTTTTTTTTTTTTTTATTTTGTTTGTTACATTACATGGTGTATAGGTAAGTAGGGAGGTATAGGACTGGCATGCACCTGAGATTACATCTTTTTTTTTTTTCAGAACAAGAGAGGAAACAGGAGTAAACAATAATCAATATAAAAAATAAATAATTAAAGTTGAATAAATAATTCCTAGATTTTGTTTGGACAATGGACTTCTTTTGCCAGTGTCACATCAGTGGCTCTTTGACTTTAATAAGTTTGATGTTGACAAATAGCCACTACAATCTGAATGATTAGAATAAATCCCTAAATAATTTATCAGACATCAATTCATGAGGAATAGATAAAAAGACGTGCATTCCTTCAATAAATTTTGAGAGTAAAAGCTGGAATCAACTACTATAAAAATGGCTCTAACAAATTGTGTGCTTGTTTTTTCCATGTCTGCATATGTAACAGTGTGACACCAGCAGGCGGCGCTGTTGCAGCACAAGCGGAAGTGACTCTACTTCAATCCACAGAAGAAGAAGAAGATTCTCTTTGTGTACTTCCGTGTAGCAAAATGGCTCAAGGTACGCAGAAATTTAAAGCTCAGCGTCCAGGAGCCTCCAAGAAACACCAACAAAACAAACAGAAAGGACCGAAGAAAGGAGGTATGAGTCTAAAATGTCACAGTTTGTCCAGAAAGCTGCTATAAAAGGAGGTAAATTAACTGTTTATAGTCGCTCTGCTCCAACATGTGACCTGCGTGTAAACACGTTGTCTCTCATTATTCACTTTACAAAGTGTGTCAGCAGTTAAACGTCAAGCAGAAATTACTTGGACAAAATATCGAAATACTGAAGCCTTTTATAGCAATAAAAAGCAAATGAGGAGTCAAAGTAGAGTTAGCTGCATTTATGTAAACATGCTAACTGTGGAAACCACTGTTTTTTTTACCCACTCATTGCTTTCATTATATTTGATGTTGTGATTATTTTAATTGAAAAAGCTAATTTAATGGTGACTACTTGTACATCATCCCTAATAAAGCCAACAAAGTTAACGAAAGATGTGCTAAACTCTTTATAATGACACTTTGCTTGCTTGCATGCTTTAGTTTTACTGAAACCCCTTCTAGATGAGATGGTAACATTGCTGGCATCATCAGTCCCTAATGAAGAAAAAGTCTAAACAAAAAACAGATGATCAACGTGTCTAAATAACAGACTAGGTTATTTATTTTTTTCCTACACAAAACACTAAAGGTTGCTCCTACTACTGCTTCACCAACAGTGTGACTGTGATCTTGAATAAGCCTGTCACCCTGTCAGGGATAGTTTATAACTACATCTAACTTATTGAGTAATTGCTGTTGCTTTGTAAATACCTGCGTGCAACTCTCTCATTTTGCTGATGCTCATAGGGATCCTCCTGCTCTCTGATGCTGCAGGTAAACGCACTAAACTCAAAGAAAATAGTCGGACAAACATTTGGAAACAACAAAGTAAACTGTCAAATAAGAAGGAAAATAAATACAGGGAGACTGGCCACTCAATACTGACCCCAACTCGTTCTTCCTCCTTTGGAAATAATGTATATTCACGTTAATGATCAAGTCACCTATGCTGTTGTTCCCCATGAGCAAATCCACACAGCTCTCTTGCTTTGGAGACACTCGTGTTGATTCTGCTGCTGGCATATAATAAACTCCAAACAAAGACACTTTCTAGGATGCTTTTGGATGAATGTTGGCGCTTAAATGTTGACGAAGGCCTTCCCTTGATCGCTTCACAAAAGCCGACATAGCATTGCTTGTGCATGCTGTTAGTGTGGCTGTGTGCAGTTCAGACATGCCATGTTGAAAATAATAAAGATTGTTGTTGCGACTTTTCTATAAAAGTGGTGCTTGGTTAGACACAAAGCCAATATGTTATGTTGCTGTCAGATACATGGAAAGTAAAGTTTGTCTAAAAGAGACTTCATAAACAGCTTGAATCAAGTATTCAAAACACCTCTCACTAAAACACAACAACAGCTCCACATATCACAGCCTAAGAAATGAACAAAGAATTGAATTGAAGCCAGGATTTATTTTTAGTTTGTTGCAATAAATTTGAGTGAGCTGTGGCTTGCTATACATTAGTGTATGTGCATGTACCTTATAATGATGAAGATTGATTTATTGACATAATTTGAGTTATATTAATGAAATGCAGTGAATATTAATTAGCAGCACAATTTAGAAATCTAGAAATGTTCCGATGAGGACAGATAGACCTCAGATTTGTAAGTGTGAAAAAGAGGAAAGACAAAAGTAGAGTTTTCTGCGAGCAGTTTTCCATTCAGTGTAACAAAAGACATTTCAGGCCCATGTGATTTAACACAGACAGACTTTGGAAATTTGATAAGCAGGAATGACAAAATTTCACTGTGATATTTTTTTTTTCTTTTGTGAAGGGAGGATCATTGCACCTAAGAAGGCTCAAGTAGTTCAGCAACAGAAGCTGAAGAAGGTGAGGACAAGTTTAAAAAGTTCACAAAGTTACCTATCTCAGTCTTGTTGAGTTTCCCAGTGATGGCAGCTGTCAGCTTGACCGATAACTGGAACTCCTCTGCTGTTCCCTGAAGGGTCTAGAGGTTGCCATCAGGAACAAGATTGAGCAGGAGGTGACCCAGAAGGCCAGCACGTCCCTCCACAAGCCGCTGAGTGTGATTAAAGGGCCTGAAGGTAAAGGAAACCCGGGAGCTGCCCGTCCTGGAACCAGCAGCAAATAAGACACAACCGGGGACCTGAATCTCATGGTGTCGTAATATAATGGACTCAGTCGAAGTGTTATTGAGCTTCACTTCATTTCAAATGTCGCCTGTTCTGGTGATTTGGACTCCCAGATGTTTCCATTAACTTCAGAAGGTAATCAGAGCGAGTCTTGTAAAGATGCTTGTTTAAGAGGTTCATCAAAGATGTTTTGGACGATATGGATGCTACATAAACCACCACTGGGGGCACCGCAGGACCTAATACGTACAAGGATCAAAACAGAATCGACTTAGGAACTGTGTTGATATGACATTAAGGCTTTATTTTTATCAGTCCACTTAGAAGAAGGTTATGTCATTCTGTCAGATGATTGTATAGTCGTTACTGTACAGCAAATAAATGGTAACGTGAGAACAAAATGGGCTTGATAAAATATTTGATGTTTTGTACGGAAGGAGTGAAAAATACCACATGATCAGTTCTCTTGTATGAGGTATTTATTAGAATCCTGTGTGGACGGCATTTGTGGCTTAACACTTTGTATCTGCGTCTACATTTAAGCTTTGAGGTCACAATCTGATAATCTAACTGTACTTACAATAACAGCAGGATACAGTGTGTAACACGGTACAATCTAAGTTGTCATTAACACAATCACAAAACAAGCTGTTTGTTAACATCAGTGATAGAATACAATCAGCATATTAAGCAGCACAGATTCACCAGCACTTATTACTGAAGCAGGTCTGTAGTAATAATGTTTATTAAAAAGCCTTTACGGCCTCCAGGCAGTGGCTGGAGCGCAGGAACCGAGGGAACGAATCTTTGGCCATCAGATTGTAGATCCTCTGCTGGGCCTTGTTGAATGTGTCGGCACACAGAGAGTCCTCAACGCTCAGCAGGGCCTCGCGGGTCTCAGCGTCCAGGTTCACCTAAAGGGAGGAAAAGCAGATTATTAAAATAAGTTTTATGCTTTCCTTTGTTCACAAACGGTATCGATGCTTCGCGTTCTTCTCCACCGACCTCCTGCGGGGCGTCAGGGTTGATAAACTGGCTGAAGATGCTGCTGGCTTTGGTCTTCTGCAGGTTTGAAGGGGAAAACCTGTAGTCCTGGCAAGCCAGCCAGAACTCGAGGTTCTCCTCACTGAACTCTGAACGCAGGAAGCCACGAAACACCTGCAGACCAGCTGAAAGGGAAAAGAACAAAAGTGAGAAAACTAGAAAAGGCAAACTGAATACATGTTTGGGTACAAAGCTCTATGATGCAGTTCTAAGACAGGAAAGTGTAAAATGAAAGTAAACCTTGTCCACATCTTGTGACTAAAGTATTCATATATTTGCATGTATTAATTAGGATTAAAGTCTATGTATGTAACGTTCAAACAACAGCTTCAAATCCACACACAAGCAGCATTCAGTAGCAAGAATGGTAAATGTAAAAAAGTTAAAACAGCAACACCTGACTCAGTAATGTCAGTGTGCAGCAGTATCTAACTAACATTAGCCACTAGCTTTAAAAGTCTATTTTTTATGGATTAATTTAAACTTTTGTGCAGGAATTTTCTTTACTTTTTCAAAGCTGACATACTGTCAATAATATTAGCAATAATATTTAATATAAACACTTTTGGACAGCCAGGATTTATATCAGACCAGTTATTATTACTTTTTATAGCATGTTTGTGGTAAAAATGCAAACCACAGTAAATTTCACTTACTGTTATTACATTACTGATTTGTTGTGTAATATTAAACACTGACAGTTAGAAAATAACATTTCGTTTTAAAAAAAATTGTAAACGAACATTTTTGGACATAATCTGCTCTGATAAATTCACAAATTTATCTTAATTTCAAACATTTCCTTTTAACTTAAAAGATGAAACTGTCAAATACAAGTTTAATACCGGGGGGAAAATCTGAAGTTTGATCAAATTAGTGACAACAGAAAAAGAAGTTTTGGGTCAGTATTTTTACCTAGATTTGCTTCTAGAATGAGAGATCTCTTGTATAAATACAGACATTTCACAAAAAACAAAATATGTATTTTCATCGGTGTAGAAATGTCTTTAAGCATCTGTTTTTCATTGTTTTTAGAGATGTAGTTATCCTTCATCAGACGTTTAAAAGCCCAAAAGATACTCATGAACTTGTGCAAAATTAATGCCTGAAAACTTTTTAAATGCATTTTTATGAGATTGTTAATTATTTTACTGTTTACTCTGGTGCCCTAGCTGTGGAAGTATATTCTTTTGTTTTTCACTGTATAGAAATTGACATGAAATCTCAGTTGGTTTTTACTTGGCAAAGCTCAGGTTTTATCATCTGAACAATATTAGCAGCTCTGTTCTTTTTAGGCATCTCAGTAAGACATGACAGTGAGCCAGCAGGCAGCTGTAAGCAATTTAGCCATCATTAATATGAGGATTAACGCTTCCTTTTCCTAATGTGCCATCAAGAAGCACTATTTCATGGGCTCTTGAACCAATAAATTGACATTAGAAATGTTTAACTAATAACAAATAAAGAGAAAATTGTGCCTTACTTTTGTTGTTTAGCAGAGTTTCCAGGTCCTGAAGGATTTTTCCATCCTGAACCCTGAGTAAAGAGGCAGAAACAGTCAAGCTTTAGCTTCACTGATTTGCTAAATGTGTAAAATGCAGGTTTCAGTAGATTTACTTGTGCTTGTGGTCAGACAAGTGGCTTAACTTCACCCGCATCCCTTTTGCCCTGAAACACACAAGAAATCACACAAAATCAGCAATCATGTATTCACATAAAGCACGATGATCCAGGTAAATACTTACTTCTCCAGGCATGAGGAGGGCAGGTAGGAGAGCCCTTTACACATTGGGGTCTGGTATTAGAATAACTGCAACAGGAAAAACAAGAAAACCAAGTAGACGGATCTGTTTTGCTTCTGTCAGTCAGCTTCCCCGAATACACTGATCTGCTCTTTTATACTGTAGCCGACCCATATGCTCTGTGATCTGTCAGTCTGCTGCCCTCGAATGAGCAGGTGTGGCGATGGCAAAGATAGAGATGAAAACAGTTCAATGAGAGGTGGCGTACGTGCTCACAGGCCATGTAGGCCTGTCAACAGGAGACACAAAGCGAGTCGGGATAGATAATAGCAAAATCAGAGTCCATGGACCTTGAGTGTGTGAATATGTGGTCAGGGTACATTAACAATCTTAAAACTCTGTCATAAACAAACACAGACTGGCCTCTGGAGGTTTTCTAAAGTGATGAGGGAGGAGCAGGTGGACTGAAAACATCACTCTTATCTGGAGAGTCTGAGAACGGCAGGATGGAGACGAACAAGTTTACTGGTGATGGACAAGATAAGATGAGAAAATGAGGCCTCTACCTCTGCAACATTAATTATACCTCATGTGATTTGTTACTTATCTTAGGCTGTTTTGTAAACCTCTTACAGGACTTTCTCCAACCACTGCGTATCTATATGCTACTGCAAATTATGTTGTATAACAAATACAAAAAGTGCTATGATGAGATATAAACTCAAATTGTTAAGTACTATATTGCCAGGGTTGCACCTCTTTTGTGGATTCTTCTGGTGTCGCCCAGGTGTTGTGAGTCCTTTAACTGGCCAATGTGATTTTGGGGTGACAATATATATATGAGACTCCCCATCGGTCAGTTTGAACTGAAGAAACTTATTGGATGAGAGTTAAAACAACTTTGAGAAATACAAATAGGAGTTCAGTTGCTTCCTACTGAATCTCTGAATGCAGTTATTTTTCTCTTTTTCTTCAGTGTTTCTGCAACTTTTATAAACATCTAATTCGAGGTTTGCAGGAACTATATCAGAGACACAGAAACTTCACTGGAGAATTACACACATTTTAATGTTTAATTAAGTGAGTGTACAAATCTGACATGTAAAGATCCTACAGAGGGGCTTTAAACCATTACTTCATGCTCCACCAGTTTAGTGCTGACTGGTCAACATCTACAGGATTTACATGTGTGTCATATGTGGACAGAAATGATGATTGTTTTCATACATCTTAAAACATGCCTTGAGGGGATCTTTAATCAGGTGAATGGAGCAGTCACTAAACTCTTGTCCATGCATGATAAAAAGCCCTGCTCTAAAAAGAGGAAAGACTCCTACAAACAGCTGGAAGCAACAAATTAAACCTCAGATCCTGTTAATGCTTTGAGACCTGTGTTCACACCTTCATCAACTAAAGGCTGTCAAGAATTTAACATTAGTTCTATTACAAAAAATAAAAATCTGACAGAAATGTTTAAAGCACACTGCTTTTATCCATCCCCAAACATGTTTTGAGAGGCTCCTTGACCAACTGAATGGAGCAGTCACTAAACTCTCTTCCATGCATGAAAAAGTCCTGCCACAAAAATTGATTTGATTAGATTTTTTTGCAGAATATTTGTCAACTTTTTGGGCATAATGATCCCTTTCACACTGTTTTAATATTACAATTGTGCATCTCCTGTTGCTGTTTGATGCTACAAATATATAATAAACTCAGAGGACAGACTCCTACAAACAGCTCTAAGCAACAAACTCAACCTCAGCTCCTGTTAAAGCTTTGAGGTCTGTGTACCTTTATCAAGCATATGTCACTAGTTCAACCTTTTATTTAAAAAAAAAAAAAAAAGAAAAGAAAAAAAACAAATGTAGCAGTCACTTTACTCTCTTTCATGCATGTAGAAGCCTTAATAAGTTTTCTTGCAGAATAAGCTGGTCTGCTCTTTATTATGGTCCCTTTCACACTTATATGTGCACTGAGTGACCATGGACTCATGGCCTCAGTATTTTTTGGTCCTGGTTGAGGGTCTCTAGTTCATCAATCACAGATCAATAATATCTATCAGGTGTCTCCTGCAACCTCCAGCTTCAGATCCTCCACACTTGGCCGCCAGCAGGCTCCAGCAGCGGGGGACGGCTGCGCGCTTCTCTCGCTTCCTGCTTCCTCCACAGGAGAAATCCACAAGAAGGAGGGATCAACAGCAGCAGCAGCAGTAAACACGGAGACGTCCTGAGGAGGTCTGCTGGATCCAAGAGGATCAAACCCGGTTGGAGGACAGACTGAGCTCCACTGGTTTCGCCGGATCGGATCCTCTGCAGCCGACATGGGCGGCGGGTCGGTCCGCAGATAGACACCGCGAGTGAGTCACAAAATGGTCTCGTAGGTTTTATTATTAGACCATAACAGCGTCCACAGCAGTGTGAGGATCAAGTTAAACACGATCACCAGTGTACAAGGAGACTAAATCGCTCTTGGATATGTGGGTCAAGATGCGTCAGTGCGCAGTGAGCTGGATTATTATCATGGCTTTGCTCATATTTATAATAATTATTTATTTTATAATGATAATTTCACAGAGCGTCACTTGCTCCTGTCACTGCGGGTGTTTGGAGAAATCCGAGAGAATCCCACGGACCCTGAAAATGCAGTTTTGTTTCAGTTTCAGGAAACGTGTCAGTGGCTGCTCATTCCTGGCTGCATGTTTTGAATTTTTTAAATAATCCTGTGAGACTAAGAGGGTGGCCACAGTAACAGGGACTAACAATGCAAACTGACTTATTAAGCAAGATGGTTGATTCAATTGTAACTGCAAAAAAAGGATCACAGCGTTAGTTTATACCTCTGTCCTCTATTATCAGACAAGATAACACCATGTAACACTGTACAAACCCACTGTTGCCCAGCCAAATTTGACATATTCTAAACCAGTGGTTTTCAGACCAACTGGATCTGGATTATTGACGTTTGACCAAAGCTTTCTCTGCCTGTGACCCCTTTTCACCAGTTGCATATGGTTGTAGTCAGCTCGTGTAGACACTGATAAACTAAAACACCAATTGTCCTGATGATGAAACAAGATCCCCTACAGGTTAGACGAATGTGTGCAAACTTTGAAATTAAACTTTTTTTTTCTTAATTCATCTCCTGTTAAAGACGATATCACTGATTTTATATCCCAAAATGTGCTTACATCTGTTTAAAAAAAAAATATATATATCTTTTTGTTGCTCCAGAGGAAAATAGTCTGAGAAATATCCCAAAGTAGTGTGACTCAGAGTCTGAAGACAAGTTTGGACATGAAAAAGGAAAACAAAAAAAAAAGTCTGGAGGATACAAAGAAGTGAGTTTAAATCTGCTCCTCAGGCTACATTAGCTGCTACTATATGACAAGGCTGATTGTCCAACCAGCTTACTGGAGGTGGAGTTGCATTGTGGGTATTGTAGGCTCCAGGCTTTGTCACAGTCTTTGCTGGTATTCTTTTTGTGCCTCAGCCAAGTGCAAACCATGCACCTAGGGCATCAGTCACTCAAGTCATTAATTCTATTCATATACTAAAGACCTTCCTGAGGAGTCGTGCATATTCCAGCATGCTGATCTTTTGGGTCTCTGTTACTGTAGCTCTCTCTGGTATGGTCTTGATGTTTTCTACCATCCCCTTCTTTATTGTACCAAGCGCATAAACAACCACGGGGATCACGTCAGTGTTCATCTGCCACATTCTCTGTCCTTCTAGCTCTAGATCTTTGTACTTGCACTTCTTTTCTATTTCTTTTACTGCGATGTTTCTGTCTGATGGAATAGTCATATCAGTCAGTTTGCAGATAGAATGCACTATTCATTATTATTATTAATAACAGTATTCATATTTTTGTTATTATTATTACATTAGTTCTCTTTTCGTGACCATCCAGAATCTTCTCATAAAATTTCATCACAATTCTGACTTTGAAAGACTCTTCATATAAATGCCTACCTTAATATTTGAGACACTGACTGACGTACAGACTCTGGTGACTGAAGTGATATCCCTGTTTCCCATCAGCTGACTGTCGACCTGTTATGGGACCCAGACGGACTTGGCTCCTCTGGGCTCACTGCCAGGATGGTGAATCCTCTGGTCCAGACCAGGACAGGAAGAAGCGCTGGGCCGAGCTGTTTGACCAGCTGGACATCAACAAAGATGGACGCATTGACATCCGTGAGCTGCGGACAGGACTGGCGGGACGAGGGCTTTCCAGAGGCTCCTTGGAGAGGGTAAGGCAGCAGAACAACTGAATCACACAGCAGTCGATTCACTCAGGTACCATGTAAATACATGTGTGTGGGCACCGCGTCAGAGTATAGTGGGTATTATATGACATTCAATAAATACAATCAACCAGTTGGTGTTGGATTACATCAAAGTTGCACCTTCGATACTGTTTGGTGTTCATGGCTGTGATTTCAAGGAGCAGCTGGGATCAAGACGGTGTCCAGTTTGACAACCTTGGAGCTACGTTACTGCTTCATGCAGATGATGTGGTTCTGTTGACTTAATCAAAGAGTGACCTTTAGGGTGCAATGAGGAGGTTTGTAGCTAAGTCTGAAGCAGTTGGTTTGAGAGTCAGCACCTCCAAGTCTGAGGCCACGATTATCTGCTGGCAACGAGTGGACTGTTCCTCTTAAGTTGGGGAAGTGGCGATGCCCCACAAAATGAAGAAGTTAGAATATCTCAGAGTCTAGTTCACGGGTGATGGGAAAATTTATGTGAGTATGAGGCAGCGCTAACAGTAATGGAGGCATTGTACCGGCTCGTGGATGTACTGGAACATGAACATGAACTGGAGGGAAAACCTCACTGATGGTCATGAGCTGACTGATAGAATGAGATTGTGGATTCAAGTAGTCAAAATGGGGTTTTTCTGTTGGGTGGCTGAGCTCAGCCTTCGAGACAGGACGAGGACCTCGGATATCTAGATGGAACATGGAGAAGAGTCACTGCTACATTTGGTCGAAAGGAGGCAGCTGAGGTGGTTCAGGCATCTCCAAGTATATCCACAGAAACCTACATGAAGTTTTCACTTGGGTTTGGCCATTTCTTTTGTATAGAGACATGTCAGATTACTGTGCAGGGCTGGTCTTTGTAATTGTTTAGTGTGGTACTGTTGAGTACAATGACAGTACAACATGGATATTGTACATCCTGTAGTACCAGCAGCCACATGCCATTACAGAAAGTGATTTTTAGCACGACTGTGTCTAGCTCTTTGGGGGACCGAAGCACTCATTAATTCAGACAGTCTATATCATAATACATTTATATATAATAATACAACTTTTTACACATTAAAAATGTATTTTACTTCAAAGAACTTAGCTGGATTGGTGATTGGAAGTAAGACAATAAAACACAACTGTGTCCACGTCTGCATTAAGTGCTGCCTGAATATTCAGTGCAAAAAAAAACCCTTGAACACAACAAGTACGGCAGGAACAGAGTGCAAAAGGCACTCTAATAGATTTTTAAGAAGACATGTACACAGGTTTATGTTCAGAGGGTAGAAGGACACTTTTTACGCACTGTGACAGACCCAAGGCCCGCATTTGTCAAGAGTGTTGTTTATATTTAAGGAGAAAAAAAAGGCCCTGGCACACGTGTAGCCAGCATGTAGCGAGAATCAGCAGGAAAGTTGAATCAGTATTAACTCAGTATTTAACTACTCCTCTGTAATGTGCCTTTCAGTTGGGAAAAGAATAAACATCTAAGTTTGGAATTTATATTTCATTGAAATCATTTTATTCAACATGGCTCATTTTAAAAATGTGCCAAAAGTAACTGTTTGCATTAACCAGATTTTGTGAAAACCAAATAAATGACAGAAATTCTTGGACTTCCGGGTCTTGAATACCCAGTTATCTCCCCACTTGCAGTGAAGGCCTGTGTGGGATCTCTTCCATTAAAGAAAACCTCTTTGACACTCCGGATGTGCACTTTTACTGTTTGTGCAACAGCAGCAGCAGAACATCAACAGCTTCACTTTGTGTTGTGAATACACACAGACCGTCTCTCAGCTCTCGGTCCGTCCGTGACTGTTTGTTTTGGTAAGAAGTGTCTGCGTCACTTTCTCTCGTGCTGCTGCTTCCTTTCTCTCTTTTGTGTTTATGTGGAAAAGCTGTAAGAACACAACACAAACTTCAATGCAGTCACGTTTTAGGGACTTGCATCTCTTTGGGATGAAAACTATTCAATTTTAGACTTCAAGGCTAATGTTGGGGTAGGAGCTGGTGAGTGTTTGTGTGCGTAAAAGTAAAGGGCATCATGTTGGCTATTTTGGTAGAAGGAGTAGGTCAAGGAGGAGCTTGTAAACTGAGAATGGTAACCTTTCTCTTGCTGTGCACTTGATCTCTTTTCATATATAGATCATTGTGCAAAGAGTTTACTTCTTTGTAGTCCCATTGGAGCAACTTGCCCATCTCCTTTTTATCCCTCTTTCATTTGTTGTGTTGTTAAGCCAAAACCCATTTCACCAAAAGTTTCTGACAACGTTTTAGTAAGAGGACAGATCACATATTGAAATTCACTTTTTAGAGAATGATAAATGATCATTCCAATTGTTATTTGACAGGGTTATCTGTGCATTATGTTTGCCATACACTGGAAAAAAATGTGAAAAGAAAAAGGGGGAAAAACGGTAAAATGAGTGACAACCATGGCTTCCCAACAAAAATGGTAAAAGTAAAGTAAAAAATCTGAATTAGAATAAAGTCAAATATTTTTATTGTATGTTTTGCAGCTAAAAGTTGTATTTATGTATTTATTTTAGAAACTATTGCATTGATTTTATAAATAAACAGATGAACCAAAAAACTATTTTTTTGGTTTTTATTTATTTTTTATTTTACAGATTTAGCTAAAAATTATTCCAGTCAACCACTGTTACAGTGTTAACATGGGCTCAAGATTATTAAACAGTCTTTTTTTTGGAAGACAAACACAATACTCACAATTATTCATTCCTAAACACTTTTGGTTTAATTTGTTTAGATACATTTGACAATATCATCCAACTATTCCCAAATAGCTCTGCAGAGTCAATTTAATAACTAAAAATATCTTTAATTTTACAGACTTTTTTATTCAAAAAAGAAAACTACTGAAAAATTTAAAAAAAATTTTTTTTACAGTGTTGAGATGACGTGTCGCTATAATATACATTTAAAATGCTATGGAATCTTTACTGTATATTAAATTAACAAAACTAGATTACAGTAGATTCTCAGTTGTAAGTCATAGTGATAGACTGGATGGTCCAAAATATTCTTCAGTACTTTTAAATCCAACATGAATAACATAAACACATAATATGCAGTGTTTTACAGTTATTTGAATAGATCATTCCTCAGTTACACAACATGCTACTGCAGTATTTGACACAGTAGATGCTTATTTAAAGACTACAAGCCCTGGAGTCTTGCCTTTGATATTTCACTTCTGTTTAGTTTAACTAGGTTGTATTTGCACCGATTTACTGAAGCAAACTCAGGCTGTTGTGCAGAATTGTTGATAGACTGTCTTTGCAGTTATTCAGCAGCATTATATGATGTCTGATGTTGCTGGTGTGGACAGACTAAAATAGATTTCTAGTCCTAAAACCCATAAGAAGTGAGAGCTCAGCAGCTCTGTATGATTCGGACACATAATGTACCCGATAAAGCATTTGTTGAATGTGTTAGTAACATTTCATAACTTCTGACTGACTGAGGTTTCGTTCCCAGCAGCAGTTTTAATTCCTTTTCCTGTCTGTGCCGTCAGATCGTGGAGGCTGGAGACACCAACCAGGACGGAGTGCTGGACTTTGAAGAGTTCACACAGTATCTTCAGGCCCATGAAAAGCAGCTTAAACTCATGTTTCGCAGGCTGGATAGGAACAATGATGGTCTGTAGCAGCTCTAAGGGCACTAAGCTGAAATTGAATTAATGACATCAATATTTCAAAACTTTAGCAAAAAAGTTTCTTGTGTTCTTTTTAATTTGCTGTGTGTGACTGGTGGGTGGGTGTCTGCAGGTGAGATCGATGTAGCAGAGATTCAGCACTGTCTGCGCTCAATTGGTTTGAACGTCAGCCTGGAAGATGCCACCAGGATTTTACTGAGGTCTGTTATCAGTATTTCACTTCACATTAACTCTTTCCACCCTGGAGGTCCCTGTATGGAGACCAGGCCATGTCTGTTAAAGTAACCTGCCAACATTTTTAGAAGGCACATTCAGTTAGACAGCCACTTTGTAACTAACTCTGGTGTAGTTTCTTTTCTGATGCTTTAAAAAGTAAACTTTTGTGGCACTGATGTTCGATAACATCAGTATCACCGGAAGTCTGATGCCGGAGTCTTTCAAGTCACAGTTTAGTTTGGCGATGGGGAAAAGGATATTCATAGCATTTGAAAATTCTCCAGCAAGCAAATTTTAATAGGATTGATGCCGTCAAAACTGTCCTGCACCTATTGGCACCTGCTGGATGGAATCTTTTTTGTCTTGTCAGTTAGAGCAGGTTCTGCATTTTCCCCTATAATGTTTAGAAATGGGCTGCAAGGTGGAGCAGTGGTTAGCACCGTTGCCTCGCAGCAAGATGGTCACCGGTTCACATCCTGGTGAGGACACCTGGGATCTTTCTACATGGAGTCTCCATGTTCTCCCCGTGCAGCGTGGGTTATCTCCAGGTTCTCCAGCTTCCTCCCACACAGTCCAAAAACATGTTGAGGTTAATTGGTGATTCTGAATTGTCCGTAGATGTGAATGTGAGTGTGCTTGGTTGTCTGTCTCTAAGTGTAGCCCTGTGATAGACTGATGACCTGTCCAGGGTGTCCCCTGCCTTTGCCTAAGTCAGCCACGACCCTAATGAGGATTAAGCAGTGTATAGATAATGGATGGATGGATGGATGGATGTTTAGAAATGAACTTTACCACTAGTGGTAAACCACGCATCGCATTGTTATGACACACTGCTAATGCATTAACCCCTTAAGCCCCTGGCTATTTTTTATTTTATTAATTTCCACTTGAAAATACATCCCCAAATTTGGGCCCAAATGAACAGAGTCAAGCTCTGTGGAGAGACACTTATCCATTGAGCCCAACACAGATTGAAACACAGTAAGTATCCTTGCTACCAAGCAAGAGTGACATTTGAAAAACTTAAGGAAAAAGGTACAGTTTTACTTCTTCTTCCAAACCAAAACTGTACATTGGAGAGTAAATACCAGCTTTTAACAATGAGTCAGTGGCACTGATGATATTTAACCTGTTTTAAGATTTTGAACTGGAGCTCTACCAAATTAGATTTTAGTCGTCGTCGTACCAGACAGCCTAGTGAATGTGTCTGCTCGGCAACCTTCTAGAAATGGTTTTATAACAGATATGGTCTGGTCCACGTACAGCAGCCTTCATGATAGATGCTAAAAATGAACAAATTATTGATCCTGTCGCACAGTTTGTACCTTCTTTCTACTCTCTTTGAATTTCATAGCACGTGTTTGTGTTTCTCCCAGTATGGACAAGGACGGCACCATGACCATCGACTGGAATGAGTGGCGAGACTACTTCCTGTTTAACCCCATCACTAACATGGAGGAGGTGGCGCGCTACTGGAAACGCTCAATGGTGAGGTCAGATACACTGAAACACTCATTTTAAACAAGAGCAGCACAATGTATCTCTATGTAACAACCTGGCTGGTTAGGCAATTCACACAAAACACATACACATTCTTTGCAGTAGTTCCAGTCATCCACAGTGCAGAATACTAAAATATAATGTTATTTAAATACCAATAAATAACACCAAAACTACATAATTTATCAGCCAGAAACTAATCATTGGATTTTCCTTTTTCCAATTGTTGTTGAACTAATCATATGTCACGTGGGGTTCTTATGGTGACCGTAACAAATTTAAGCTTTAAAACCTGGTGTTTCATCAAATTCACTTTATTCCACGACTCAGTTTAAAAAATCAACAAAAATAAACTGTCTATGGAAACCAGATTCTGCAAAAAACAAAAAATCCTGCATTCCTCGACACAAACATGAAGCCTGTTACTAAGTCAGCTGCTACAAGAGTCACATGGCAAAAATTCAGATTCACATTTTGACTGAACTTGACTTGACTGCAGACTGTGATCACTCAGAGTGGAAAGGACACAAGAATGGAAACGACATTACATTGTGTCGAGTCATCATAATTTTTTTCAAATATTAGTGACACCTGTAGGCATTTGGGAAAACGTACAAACTGATTACAGGTTTTTTAAATTTTTGTACAATAAAACACAAAGAACTTTAGCTTAGTTTTCCTTTTTTTTATGATTTATGTCAGTTTACTGTTGTTATACTTCTAGACATGCTTGTGCTGTTTCCGTAAATGTACAGGAATTAAAAATGAGCCTACAGTGAGTAAAATTGTGCCAGAAGCAGAAAACGCTCCAACATTGTTTAAATTTCAGAGAGTTAATACATACTGTTCAACAAAGAAAAACAGAATTGTAAATATTGATTCCAATTATTTCTATCCTCACATATTTTTTCATACTTATTCTGACCTTGGTGGCTTCAGTAGATGTTGGACATCGGTGAGCAGCTGACAGTCCCAGATGAATTCACAGAGGAGGAGAAGAAGTCCGGCTATGTGTGGCGGCAGCTGATGGCCGGAGCTTTGGCCGGATCCGTATCTCGGACTGGAACTGCTCCTTTAGACCGCATCAAAGTCTTCAGGCAGGTCGGTGATCGGTCTGAAACATACAGTTCATGATTTGTGTGATTTTTTTATGATTTGCGACAGAGAGCTTCATCGTGACACTTCAGTCAGCCGTTACTGCTCTACACAAAGTGACAGCTTTCTTGCTGTTCTCTACCAGGTACACGGCTCATCTGATTTTAAGGGGAATGTGGTGAGCAGCTTTCAGTACATGGTGAAAGAGGGAGGACTGCAGTCGCTGTGGAGGGGCAACGGAATCAATGTTCTAAAAATTGCCCCCGAGACGGCTATAAAGTTCACAGCTTATGAAAAGGTAAGAAGACATCCTGACATTATTCTCTCTTTCCCCCTAAAGGCTACCTGTCAAACATTTATTAGGATTTTTCATTTTATTTTCAAATTTTTATGAGATTAATATTTCACTTCATTTCTCCTCACTCATTGCCCGTCTTTAGTACAGTCAAATACTTAAAGGAATCATTACATTATGTACAGCTTTTAAATAGGATTATTATCATCCTTTTTCACATTTCAGGGTGGCTACATTTTAATTTTTATTTGACTTATAACACTGCTTCCTATTTATCTTGTACACTTTACAGCTACAAGTGTCAACATTTTTAATCTACATGTTACTGTTGTGGGCTACAAGTTGGCTCGGTGGTTAGCACTGTTGCCTCTCAGCTAGAAGGTCACCGGTTCGCATCCTGGTGAAGACACCCGGAATCTTTCTGCATGGAGTTTGTTCTCCCCGTGCAGCGTGGGTTCTCTCCCAGTTCTCCGGCTTCCTCCCACAGTCCAAAGAATATGTTGAGCTTAATTGGTGATTCTAAATTGTTTGTAGGTGTGAATGTGAGTGTGCTTGTTTGTCTGTCTCTAAGTGTAGCCCTGCATTAGACTGGCGACCTGTCCAGGGTGTCCCCTGCCTTCGCCCTAAGTCAGCTGGGATAGGCTTCAGCCCCCCTGCGACCCTAGTGAGGATTAAGCGGTGTATAGATAGTGGATGGATGGATGGATGCTCCTGTTGTGCTGTTAATTTTGCAAGTCAAATTCTTCGTTTGTGTAAACCTGCTTGGCGACAAATCTTTCTGGTTCTGATTCTGAATAGGTCGACATTTTTGGAAGTATGTTTATTCTCTTATTTAGAGTATCTCTAAGTGTTGCCTGTAATTTGCTGGAGTCTGCGCTGGTTGCATGGCAGCCTCACAGTGAGAAGACTTCAGAAAGTCACTGATCCTGGTCAAGCACATAACACCCCACAAAACCACAAGACATAATGTATTTAATTTTGCGCTTTAGAGATGCTGCTTGGCAAATGTGGTTTTCTTTGTACACCAATATTATTTAAACATCAAGGGATTCGAAACTGCTTCACCTCTCAATAATTGCATTACTTCTTAGTTGACAAGTATTTCTTTATCTGAACAAGCAAAAACTAACTCTTCAGAATAGATTATTTTGTAAACCTGTGATCAGTGACACGCATCACAGAAAGTCATTTTTCTTCATTTAGAATCATTAATCATTTGTCTGTGAGCTCCTAAATTATGCTTTTTTGTCCCTTTTTACTCTGTAAAGATCAAGAGCATGATGCGTGGCAGTAATGAAGCAAGAACTCTGAGGGTTCATGAGAGGTTTGTCGCCGGCTCTTTGGCAGGAGCAACAGCTCAGACGGCCATTTATCCAATGGAGGTAATATCAGGGTAATATAAACATACAAATATTAAAGTAGCCTCAAGAAAACACACTTTGTTCTGCCACATGCCTTCAATGAACTGACTCCTTTCTCTCTTCTTCTCTATCTCTCTTCCTCTTCCTTCTCTTCAGGTGCTGAAGACTCGACTCACACTGAGAAAAACAGGTCAATACTCAGGAATGGCAGATTGTGTCAAGCAGATCCTGCAGCGGGAAGGTGTCGCAGCCTTCTACAAGGGCTACGTACCAAACCTGCTGGGTATTGTGCCGTACGCTGGCATCGACCTGGCCGTCTACGAGGTCAGAGAGACGTGAAAACACACAGCTGTCACGGTGCACTTCTCCTCAGTGTTTACCTTCTTCTTGCCACCTTTGCTCCACAGAGTCTGAAGTTTGCTTGGCTGAACAGGAACAGAGGTCTGGCCGATCCTGGGATCATGGTGCTGGTCGGGTGTGGTGCCGTCTCCAGCACATGTGGACAGCTGGCAAGTTACCCACTGGCGCTGATCCGCACCCGAATGCAGGCACAAGGTGAGGATAACTGTGGTCATGGATGGGTGACAAACTAAAGGAAATCCAACATAAAGTGTCCTAATAGGATGTTGAGCCTGATCGCCATTCATCTGGCAGATATGACTTCATTTTATGGTGTGATGGTAGCGGTGGAGATCATAAGAGCATATTACACCCATAGACTCCTATTAGTTTGTTGAGCTTTATTGGTGACTGTCATTCACATGATCTTCTGACCTATCAAAACATTTATTGAGAATTTTAAGTGCATTCACTAATTTATTTTGGCGTTCCTTTAATTTGTCACTGTAAAGCTGATGAATAAATGACATCAATGATTTAGCCAATAGTATTGAAAGAATTGTATAACATACCTCACTGCTCACATTTAAGCTTGATTAGGTTCATACATGAGCCACTGGTTATCAGTAATTTGCCATAACTCAAACACAGAGTTTGTAACAGGGTCATTCCATCTCAAATCATCAAATTTTTAGAACAATTTCTGCTTGATCTCTGTAATTTGCCCGTTTTCTTATACTATAAAATATGGATATTATTAAATATATTTGTCAAATTTAAGCTTGATATATCAAGTTGTTGTTTTTTTTTAATTCCTTTTGCGGGTTGATTCACTTTCAGTAAATTTTGTCACACATTGAAATTTTAGGCTATGTGTAAACACCAATCTCTCAAAACAAACCTATTAAGAAACTGTAGCAGGTAAAAGCCTGAAACAACACTGTAGTTTCACATTATTTCATTGACCCAGAATCTGGACAAGTAGATCAAACAATGTGTGATTATGGGTAAGTTGAAAAAAAATGAAGCCATTATAAAAAGTCCGGTATTGAGCACACATTAACATAAAAAATTGATGGAATAAATAGAATGAAAATAGAATAAAACATTTTTTAATATGGGTTATATTTCTTTTTTGGATTCCACAATTTACATTTATGTTAAAAAAAAAAAAAAGATGGTCAAGCAGAAAACCTCTGATGATTCGAGATGGAAAAATCCAAGATGTGAACATGGACATTGTAAAAACAAAAAAGGATGAAGGTTGAGCTTTGCTGACTCTATAAAAGACAACAAAAATGTAACACTCGGTCCTCTTACTTACTTTTTCCAGATAATTCAGCTAGACTTTCACTGAGTTTACACAAAGCTCAGTTGTTTCCATACTTAGGTCAAGTGATGGCGAACAAGAACTCCATGCAATGAGGAGGACTGTGGGATGCAGTTGAGAAAAACACAAGCAAATTAAGTGTTGTAATAGAAGCGTCTTAATGAATCTCACCCCTTTTCTCTCCCATCAGCTTCAGTGAAAGGAGCCCCTAAACTCTCCATGTTGGCTTTGATCCGCAACATTGTGACCAAGGAGGGCATTGCCGGACTTTATCGAGGAATTTCCCCCAACCTGCTGAAAGTTGTCCCTGCTGTCAGCGTGTCCTACGTCGCCTACGAGTACACGAGGATAATGCTGGGAGTGGACATCGAGGGTAGGAGGGGAGGAAAGGGGAAAGGGTAGCAAGAGGTTTGGGGTGGCTTTCATGGCAAGCATGCACAGATCTGCTGGCAGCGCATGAATGAGGACATGGGCCTTGACTGTGGATGTTCCTGAGACTGCACTGGTTTCCAAGATGAGGATGACATAAAAACAACAAATAAATGTTATATATAGAGTTATATATGAACTGGCAGCTGCTGGAGAGGATCAAGTGTGATATATTGGTTTTGAGTGCATGCCAGCAGTTGTGTGAAAGCTAACCAAGCAGCATCTTGCACTTGCAGTGACTTGGAATGATGAAGATTTGCATGAACTTGCCTGAGAACAGTGTACCCAATCTTGGAAGCTATGTTACATTCCTACAGCATTATCTTTTCTCCCAGGTGGGATTTAGAGAAGATAGAGGACTGATCCAGTGTACTGTTTTGTAAGTGAGAGGAACCTGAAGGTGCCGCACATCCACGTGAAGTTCCAGAGTCGGGACTTTGATTGAAATGTCTTAAAATAATGCTAAAGTAGAGCGGCAGTCATCAAAGATAGTTACTGAACTTTGTTCCTGGAGGAGATGGAGGAGAAAAGAGGAGAAGACACGTTCAACTGTCTCTTTCCTGGAAGGATTACTACTAAGTAAAGCGCACCGAAAAACTTCACATTTTACAGGTGAAAAGCTGCCAAAGCTGCATCAAGAAGCTCAGAGGATTAATAGTAACCACCTCTGCAACATGTGTGTCATCAGTGTTCACTACATGGTCCAGTACCACGCAGTATTTATATAAACACTCTGGTAAAGAGGTAACTTTGTATCACAACTACTGTATGTGAAATATATTTAATGCCAATGAACACTTTTGATCGTCAGTATTTATGGGCAAATAAATGCATGCACGGTGCTGCTTTTCTTATGCACTTTCCATTGAAGTTTTTATTGAGGAATGAATGTTACAGATGTTGAGAGGATGTGTCAGTCTGCAAACATGGACTAAGCTTACTACTTTGTCGTCAGGTCCATTAACTGATTCCTGTCTCAGCCATTTTGTCTTCAGTAGCAGTGAAACTTCAGATTCAGATTAGTTTTATTGTCATTGTAGCAAGTACAACGAAACGTAGACCCTACAGTGTTTATTTCTATTAGATTCACTGAGAACTTTTGCCTGTGCAGGACAATAATTATTAAATGAAATGTTGAGGTAAGGTTTTGGTAACCATCAAACATCCAATATGTTCAATTTTCCAAGTTTCCTGCAAAAAAAAAACAACAATGAGGTCCAAAAGTCTGAGACCGCTTGTGACAATTCTTTTGCTTTGCATTTGTTTTGAATTTAATACAATTGTTTCATTATCAGCTGAACAATTTGAATGAATTTGAGTAAAAATTTGAAATTTCATCAATGCAGAAATTGCTTTTTAAAAAAAAGTCTTAATTCAACTACTGATCTAGAAATAGTGCAGAATCTTAAATATTTCTTCTATGTTTTGTCGGAATTTTTTGTGTTTGAAACTTCTGATTATTTAATAGTTAGCATGAAAATGTGACAGATTTTTAGCGTGGTCCCAGACTTTTGGACCCAATTGTAAAATGAATTTTAATTTAGTACCATTCATTTGCCAGGTAGAGACTTAGCTTTTTGATTAGTCAACTCCTATTAAATACAAGGGATATTCTTAGTCACTGCACAACAGAGGAACTGAACAGGCAAAATTTTCTTTAAAAGCAAGGAATAAATGACTAGTAAAAGAATATTACCTTCATTTTCTTTGCAAACAGTGTAAATCTACATTTTGATTTTTAGGAAACGTCCAAGAAAATTTCAAACCAAAAATTTAAACAACGGCTGAATTGTAAACCAAAACTAAACTTGAGTGAATGGCAGAGAAATTAAATCCCTCTGATGAGGTAAAAAAAAAAAAAAAAACATTTAGCAGACACAGGTGGCTACAGAGAAACACTGTATGAAAATATATGTTTTATATAACACGACAGACACTGGATTTTATTCATTTATAAAGCCTTTCTCCTTTACACGACTTTATTGCTGTCTTTCAGTGTGTGCCCTCAGACACCACATTCAAATAATTGGATTATGCTGCTGTTTTTCCTGAACTTTGAAAATCCAGTTTTACTTCCTGTGTACCTGTGACTAAAATAACCTGCAGAACGATCTAAAGAGTTTTTATTCTTAAGGCAATTTATGTATTTAATTTCATCTTATTTCACTTCTAGCTGCTCTTATTTTAGTTGATTCATTTGTTTGAAAATCTTAAATCATCTACTTAAATTTTTATTACATTATTATATCAAGTTTCTTATTTGTGTGTCCACTCTCTTTAATTTTTTTTTTATTTGGCTACATTGTAAATGAGGCTTCTATACCTAAAGTCAGTAAATAAAGACTGAATAAAATGCTTCATACAAAGTTTCACAAAATAACCTATAGGGAACCTCTTGGAAACACTTCCTGAAGTTTATTTATGTGACCCTAAAGAGAACATTCCCAGGACCCCAAGGCTTCCCAAAATAACTTTCAGGGAACCTTCTGGTACTATTACCTGAAGATTATTTATGTAGACTCTTCAGGGAACGTTCCCAGAATCATGAGAGTTTCGCAAACTAACCTTCGGGGAACGTTGCCAGAACATTTATGAAGGTTCCCTGAAGGTATCTTCCCAGAACCCTTAGGTTTCACAAAGTAACAATAACAGAACCTTCAAGAACTGTTCCAGAATGTTCCCTGAAGGTTACTGTTTGCTGGTGTTTTTCCTCACTGCGCACCTGGGACCTGGAATCACCTGTAGAACTATCTAAATCCAAAACGTGACTTATTTTTATCTTCAGTACAACTCTGGTTTTATATTTCAGCCTTTTTTTATCGCTTTTAAATGAGGCCTCCATACTTCAATGTGCTCTGAGTTTAATAAGGATTAAATAAATTGCATCATCCAAGCAGGCACCCATAGGTTTGACAAAATGACCTTTAGGGAACCTTCTGGGAATGTTTTTTTTTTTTTTTTTGTGGAAACTTCCAAGAGTTCTAAAGGTTTCACAAAATATCTTTCAGATAATGTTCAGCCTTCAGGAATCCTAGGATTGTTCCCTAAAGATTATTTATGTAGACACTTCAAGAAATGTTCCAAGAACCCTGAGAGTTTCAGAGAATAAGCCTCACGGAATGTTGCTACAACATTTGTAAAAGTTCCCTGAAGGTTAATGTTCTGGGGTTTTTGCTCACTGTGCACCTATAACCTGGAATAACTTGCAGAACAATCTAAAATGTGACTAACTTTTAGTATTTTTACAATTCAGGTTTGTTAAATTTTTTAAAATCTTATTTTATTTTCATTGTAAAATACTACTCCATATCTCAATAAGGATTGGCTAAAACACTTGGCACAAGCACGCAGGAGTGTTGTAAATACCGGGTGTCTGGTCTACACTCCCGCCAGGAGGAGGCGATGTTTTTATTATTCAACGTCGGACCAGAACCCCTCGAAAGCATAAGGAAGAAGAGGAAGAAGAAAAACCCGGGGTGGAAGATGCATTGATTGGTTATTTTAAGCAGGGAAGTTTGCCGGCGTGGTAGGCGATCTCACTCACATTGGTGTCCCCGTACGCTCCCGTTAACCTTCCCGCTTCTGCGCAGCTCGACCCGGCCACAGCTATCCAGCCTGCCCCCTGTGTGTCTATTCGCCCCTTGAGAGCAGCATGTCTGACTACGGCGGTCTGCCATCTAACGGAGTCGGCGCTGGGATGAAAAAAGACGCTTTTGCAGATGCTGTACAACGAGCCAGACAGGTAAGTCCGAAGAAAGCGGCTCGGGAGCTAGTTAGCTGCTGGGAAACCGCAGCTAGCTTAATTACCCGTGACGTTAGCTTTGTAGTTAACGAGCTAGCAGCTAGCTGTTAGCTTCTCGTTTGTCTCACACGCTCCGCGAGTCGAGGCTGTAACTGAAAGCGGGGTGAGTGAGCAGCGACGTCGGTCTCTCTTAAAATAGAATAATTTTGTCGCCACCGGGATCCTTGAGTTAAGTTAAATGGACTTAAGCTAAGTTAGCTCGGTTAACTAGTTACTATAGTTAACGGTAAGCTGATCTTCAAGTCAAGCCGCCGTTATTTATATAGCACATTTAAAACAACGACCCATTAGCCGGAGTGCTTTCCACCAGAGAAATAAGATCGGTGTTTAAATATATCGGACATGTTTAAATGTTAGGGTCGAGACCCTTCAGTGTTATTTAACATATAGCCTAACTAAAATTAAATACTAAGGTTAAAACTAGAGCCCTACACCGATATAGCAGTTAGCTGATATGACCGGAAAACACATTTGCACAAACGCATGTTTCTGTGGTTAAGATATTGTGGAATCGACGTATATGTTGTTCGTTAAGATTCTTCTTTTCTACAGATAATTGTTAGGAAAATTCTTCAGTGGAGTCCTAACTACTCCAAATCAATACACAGAGTCGTCTTTTAAGTCAAAGCAAAGTTTTACTTGCAGCAAAGAATCACATGCACAGTACAGATTCTGAACAAATGACATCAGAGTCAAGAAATGTAATACAGACATACAAAAGATTTCTCCTCTGCTCCCATCTGCTGAGCACAGGCTTGGTTACTTTTTTGTAAGTTCTGTCTTTCACGGCCTTGTGTATTTCAAGAGTTGGACAAAGAGCATTGAATCATAACATATAACACTGGATTTTTAGAACAATGATATTGCTGAAAAAGGTGCCTCAAATAATGTAGTCAATTATACCGTATGTCTAGCAGAGCAGCTCCAACTCCAGTCTTTACAATACACTTGGTGCTATGAGCAGCACATGTAGCAGAGTCTATCTCAGACAATGGTGAGGAGTCAGGTGGTGTCTTCACAGGAAGCTGCTAACTAGCTTGTGAATAACATTGCTTGAAAATTAATAAGTATTGATAGTCTTTTTACTTTATCAATATCTCTCTAAAATATACATGAGTGTATGTAAACACTATCAGCCGATATATCAGTATTGGTATGTTTTAGTTTTAAAAAAACATAATCTGTTAGGGTCTAGTTAAAACCTACAATACTAAGACTACAATACTAATAATTATCAAAGTATACCTGACTAATTTGAATATTGATGTAAGACCGCGCAATATATTATATAATACTAGGCTTAACATAAGGGTTAAGATTACCAACCTACAATGTTATATATTTCAACAAATTGCGTGACTAATTTCCAAAAAATTAATGCCTAGATCCTGCTCATGGAAAACCCAATGAATCCAAAGACTCCCCATGAGCAGCATATTGGCAACAGTGGAGAGGACACACTACTTTATACAGGAAGAGACCTCCAGCAGAACCAAGCTCAGGGAAGGCAGCCACCTGCCTCGACCCATTAGGGTGAGGGTACAGGGGAGGGGGAAAAGGAAAGCAAAGACAGACGACAAACAGGAGAACATAAACAGTGGACACGTCGGTCAGACCAATAGCTGCAGATCAGACAATGCAGAAATACCTGAGAGAGGTTCGGGGATAAAGAGGACAAAGCTCAAACTAACTTGTAAAGAAAACCATATGAATAGGATAGCCAGGGTAAGGCGTACTGACTTTTTAAAGAAAATGAGGTAGAACTATTAAAGCAAACGCATAGAAAGAAAAGAAGAACCTAATTCAAGTGATCACACCTAAACAGGGTGATTTAAAGAAACTTAAAGGGGGCTGTTTCAGGAATACCAAAAAAGCAAGCAAAAAAAATAAAGATTGAACTCTTAATTCTGACTTGAAATTGAAAATTGTGGGACAGGATTTAATGAGACTGTTTCAGCGTCTGGGTGCAGGAAGCAAAAAGTCCTGTCGCTTTTGGTGCTGAGGCACGAGTGCATCAAGATTCATCGTACCCAGTCTATAAAACTTCACAAG